GCATATTAAACTGCAGATCCAAAAGTTCACAGGCTTGCTGGGAAAAGGAGGCCAAGTAGCATCAGCAGAAATGTGTCCAGAACATGGGAGCAATTTCCCAAGTTCACCTCTGTGATCACCATTTAACAGATATGACTCCTCGCTCCACCCACAGGCGGAGCACCCCATGGCGTTCGTTCCGAAACCCTTCTTATAAGAATGGTGGTACAGGCAGGGATGTATAGATAGGTCAAGGTGATTTTACAGATGATAATTTCACAACAACTAAGAGAAGGAGGGTCATAAACGTCCAAGGGAGACCTCGAACATCTGGGGGAAGCCTGTGTCATAAAATAGTCATCTTGAACCAACTGGCTTTGGTTGGATACACACCAGCTTTATAAAGCTTGGGGGTCCAGTCCAATGTGTTGTGTTCTTATGTGTGTGTACGTGATGTGGGTGGGCCAGTGTGGGGGGATCATGGAAGGCATCTTGGAGGAGGTGCCCTAGGATCACTGTGGACTTCAGAGAGAAAGGCAGCCTGGGGGGTAGCCACAAACCAGCTGAAGTGCCAATGGTTTCCTTTTTTTCTCTAGGAGATCACAAACCCTAAACAGGAAGTGTTCAATGCTAACAGCAACCTCAGTTCTGGGCCTCTGCCTACCTACCCCCTGGAACAGCTGGTGAACCAGCCCGTGGAGGAGCTCCCGGAGGGTGTGGACCCCAGAAGGAAGGAGGTGGGTCAGCTTGAGCATCAGGAAGAGCTAAAGCTTGTCCATTCATTGGGCAACACTAACTGATCCCCAGGGTGTGCCCTTGGAGATGACGAGGTGGTGGGGACAGCCAGGTGAACAAAACATACCTGGTCTTCACCTTCCTGTGAAGTTACATCTCGCTGCGAGGAGAGATCAGAGGGGCCTGGTTACACTATTATTTAATTTCAGTGGGGATAAGTGCCATGAAGAGTATTACAAAAAGGAACTTGCTTTAGTCAGAGAAGACAGCCTTCTGAAAGATGAACAGGAATTGTTCAGGCAGAGTGGGCTATTCCTGGAGAAGGGAACAGTACACACAAAGCCCCCAGACCCCCAGGCAGGGAATAAGCACCGGGCAGAGCAACGCCCAGAGTGGTGGCTGCTGGAGAGCTGGGGAGAGGCAGCGGGCCTGAGGGGCAGGGCCTGAGGGGCGGGGGCCAAACTGAGCAGCGCCTTCTCTGCCATTTAGGGACGGTGGTAAACGGGTAAGGGAGCTCTCGGGGCTGAAGCAGGCGGGTGGCTGTCAGGCTTTCTCTTTTAAAGACCACTGTGGCAGCTCAGTGAAGAAGGCGTGGGAAGGCGGCAAAAGCGCCGCTCTAGGTTAGGCCGAGAGGTAGATGGGAGCTTCGGATGGGGGGGGGGGAGGCGCAAAAGGGAAGGAGGCAGTTTAGAGAATTAGGAGGTCAAATGAACGACACTTGGTAAGTACTGGGTAAGAGGTGAGAGAGAAAGGGGGAAATTGTATTATTCTCTAAGATTAAGCAAACGAACAAATGAAACACCCTGGGTCAGATTGCGCTCTGAGAATGATCATGAGTTCAATGGCAGCCATGTGGTTTGGGGCACCTGGGAGACATCCGGGTTGAAATAGGTGCCCGGTGGGCAGGCAATTCAGAGTGCCAGGAAGACCCATCTGGTAGCTGCAGGTGCAGCCTGAGTGGATCACTTGCAGGGGGTGGGGGTGGGGGAGGAGTTGGGCAAGAACTTGTTAGAAACACATTTCTAATATTCATGAAGACTCCCAACAGACTTCAGATCTAGCTTGATGGGGGTTACCGAGAGGAGAGAAAACTTATTTTGTGTGTTAGAAAGCATAAAGAAGTCTTACAAATGAATTAAGAAATCTACAGAAGAGAGATGCCTGGTTTCTCCGAGAATATCTGAGTCTGTGAGGGGTCGGGTCCTGACATAGGTCAAGTGCACTGTTCCCAGAGCATTGGCGCCTGCCCTTCCCCTTGGAGACCACCTGCAGGTGTTCTCCCAGACATGCCCATCTGTGTCCTCACTGATATTGGCATGATCCCAATACGTTAGTCATAATAGTAATATTACAAATATTATTTACTCGGCCCTGATACATAAAAAGTGCTCTGTAAATGTAAGCTGTGATTATAACTGCTTTTTCTACTCCTGAGAAAACTCAGGCCCAGACAAGGGCAGTGACTTGCCTGATGTGACATAATAGTAGCAAAGACAGACCAAGAGCCAGGTCTTTTGAGTCCCACAGTTACCATCAACCACATCCTGTGGCATAAAAAGAGGGTTTCTAAAGGGAAGGGCAGCCAGTGTTACTGAACTAGGTGATTGACATGAGGCTGAGTGGATAAGCTAATTCTGAATGAAACTGATAGAAACAGCATCACCTGCAACATAGTGGAATTAGTCTAAGAAGTCTTAGAGTCTTTAAAAACAATCAGTTGTCTGTTGCTGATTTTTTTATCATGGGAGTAGCACACATTCTTGTGGGAAAGCTGTGGGTTCAATGTCAAGAGGGGAGGGTGGGAGAGGTCTCCAGACCTCTGGCTGCTCCAAACTCAAAAGCGGGACCAGTGACAGTAAACAGTGGGGTGACGGGTCTCACTAAAGGCAGTAGCAGGAGGGTGTCTTAAGTGTTTGAACATCAGTGAGTAATCCAGAAAGGCGGATGTGGCCATGGGTGAGGCCAGCAATCAGCTGGCAGGACTGCAGGGTTCAAGAACAGGACCAGGGGAAAGATACAAGTCCACTGGGATGGGCATTCCCTGCTATCTAGCCTGAGCGTCAAAGTCCAGGTCTCCACCAAACTGCAGAGCCAGCCTGGGTGGACTGGAGATGGCACCTGAAGCCACTCGCAGATCAAGGGCATTGCAAGGTTGTGAGGGACCTGGCAGGGGTGGGGAATGCTACGAACAAACTTGGGGTAGGCGGCACTTCCCTATTCACTCAGTGAATAGGTGTGATGCCCAAATCACTCACATTTGCTCTTCTTCCAAAACAAGGCACTCCACTGCCCTGCTAGGGATGTGGGGAGGGCTCCCGAGAGGCTTAAGGAGAGATTGCCTAGGGGTTGGAAGGGAGTCTGAGGACGGGTTGGAGGACTGGGGCATCACCACCACCTGAGCTTGCGGTCCAGCTGCAGGTGTTCTTCGTGGGAGTCAGCTGAGCATTCTGCAGAGCAATTTTCCCTCAGTGGAAAGAAACCCACTGTCTCACCCCACCCTGTGCCCTGTTGCTGCCTGAGGGGAACAGAGATAAAGGCTGGAGGGTACCACTTTATAGCAGCTTTAATTTGGGGCTCATACTTGAGTCTTGAGGGCACTGAGGTTGCCTTAAAGAGTATCACTACCATATTAATGGGGGGCAGGTATCATTTCAGGCAATCCCCTCGTCTTATGGCTGACGACACCCAAGGCCTACAAAGGTCTCCTAGCTGTAGGTTGTTTCTACGTAGATGAACAAGAGACCTTGTTGCCAATGCCCTTTCACATGTAATATTTTCATTTCCAAAAAAGCATTACAGAGAAGTGAGAAGTGGCTTTTAAAAAATTTGTCTGTTTATAGAGAAAAAAAGTTTTAATTCTTATTTCAGGGCTGCTCACAGCCCTGTTCACTAATATATATAGTGTGAACTTGACCCTGGTCAAAAGGACCTAATCTAGCTCAAGCTTGTTACTGTTTTTTATTCACCATTTATTATTTTAATTTTTGGCTTTAGAGAGGAAATGGGGCGGGAAACATTGATTGGTTGCCTTCTGTATGCACCCCCAACTGGGTAACTGAACCTGCAACCCCGGCACGTGGTCGGACCACTGGGAACTGAACTGATGAACTTTGGGTTTGCAGGTCAATGCCCAACAGAGCCACTTCTGCCCAGGCTGTTACCGTATTTTTTATTACGTTCCCAATTCAGGGATCAAATTTCTTGGACTTCAGTGTCACCTGCCTCATCCCTCTCCTGGCTCTCCTAACATTGCGTTTTTGCTTTCTGTTTGCTTTCTATACCACACCTATGTGACTCATCAAAGCAAACCTTGGACAGGAATGTGACCTTTGCCTTCTGGTCCCTCTCTTCTAGGGACACCTGTCCCTTGAGGATTTCACCAAGACCTTTGGGATGACTCCAGCTGCTTTCTCTGCCTTGCCTGTGTGGAAGCAACAAAACCTCAAGAAAGCAAAGGGACTATTTTGAGAAGAGTGGCTGTGGTTGTGAAGCAGTTTCATTATTAATCCTTTGCTAATTGAAATTTTACAGTTGTACCTGTGAGCAGCCATCTGTGGCAATGCTTTTGTTTACTAATATATTCCTCCATAAAGATGGTGCCTCCATAAAGAGCCTGTGGTCCCAGTTTTTGTTTTCCAGAAGGTGGCTCCCTTGTTGCTATCTTACGGTGTTGCATCGCTGCCCCAAGAGCTTCTCCTCAGAAGAGCAGCCAGACACTCCAGGAAATATTCGCTCCGAGACTTCGTAGGCTTTTCTTTCTCAGTGGCAGGTGGGCTGAAGTGTATTTGCAGTTTTACACCTTTTCCCACAGTAATGGTTTTTCCTTTTACTTCCCTCACTGCCTTCCTTGGGTGATAAATTAAAGGGGATCTCTTCTTTGAAAGAGTATAATGGCCTAAGAGATGGCCTTGGTAGGTTCCACAATACTCACTAGCCAGTCCTCAGTGACAGCAACATATCCACTGGATCCAGGCTGAAGGCCTAATGGCAAGTATGACACACAAATGCTATTTCACCCTCTTTAGTATAATTAATAAGGCAAAGGAATAGATGCTGGGTCTATAGTTATCCAGAGTCTCTGCAAAACCTCATTAGCTCCTCAGACGGAAACAGCAGGAACTTGGTGCTGACTTTGGGCGGGACTTGGATGGCCACATTTCCTTTAGGGTTTAACAGTGATGCATGAAAAGTCCGTTTGAGGCCACCAGGAGGTGATTTCCACAACTTCAACAACTACTGTTAAGGGTCTGCAAGAATGTCCTTTCCAGAAATAAGTCAAACCAACACAAGGTTAATAAAGGCTTTAATTTCACACACACAAAAAAACTCTATGCATAATTTAAAAAGGAAATCAAAACAAGGAAAAACCGTAAAGGATAAAGAGGAACAGTTCTGCTAAAACACAGATAAAGTGCTGCTCCATACAAAACAAAACAAAGAATTAGAACCAGAAGTCATTCAACACAAAGAAAATCACCTCACAGATAATGTGGCCAAAGCTGCCAGCAAACCTGGTAGTGGCTCAGTCAGGCCAAGTGTAGGAGGCTTACTTGTTCTCCTTTCCTTAGCATAAACCAACGCTAGCAGGCCAGAGTGGTTGGAGGGAGGGAAACCTGGGACTGGAGGTGTGTACAACCACATGCGACCACACTCTGCATCCTCGTGCTTGAAAGACCAGTTCAGCTGCTTGCTTGTCTTCGTTTTGGCACGTGACCTAACAAACTTGGGTCCTGATCCAGACCCTCTGTCCACTCTATTCTTACACCAGTGTACATGTCTATTCTTCGGACCTCTGTACTTTAAGAAAAGTCCAATGTTACCAAAATCGATTGCTTATATTCATACTGGCACACTTTCTAATTAAAACCACAAAACCTCAGACACATAACACATATGAAAAAGAAAATTTACTCGTCATTTTTAAATATGATACAACCAAAGAGACTGCCTGAAGTCTAGCAATCAAAGCATGCCATGAAGGGATCAGTGACTGCAGTGAGACACGGCCAAAGGATTCTGTCGCAAAACTCTCAAGGCCTAACAAACTAGTTTCCCAACTAAAAAAAATTTTTTTCAGATGCTAATAAGACCTATCAGTAAAGACATTAGAATTTTGAAGTCATATATTAGATGTTAGAGGGCAGGAATCCGGTTTTTGTACATGTTTAAAGAGAGCATTACTCAGTGTGAAGCAAGATGGGAGGAGGAAAAGGACATCTGCTTTGGGGGACATCTGTTCTATGTGACCTGCAACTGGTGTTGGGTTGTTGATTTTTCTAAAAAATTCCACATAAATGCAAGATGCACATGTAATTGGGAACCTAGCTGTTTCCCCAATTCAACACAAGACACTACCTCAGGGGGTTGGTATTAAATCAAATAGGGGGCCAAAAAAAAGTTTGGATGACTAAGAGCATCCACTGTGTCACTTCACCAGACAGAGAAGAGTGAGCGAGAAGGGCAATGTTTTTAACATAATTTCTCTTCAGATCACAAGTGAGTTTATAAACTACCGTCTTTCTGTATGTTTCTACCCATCCCCCTATGCTCTCTACACTCATAATGTTCAACTGTTTGAGACATTACAAAGAATTTCTTTAATGTAGGTGTATTCAAATAGCCTTCATTAACAACTACACCTGTAGCTGTGGCTGTATAGTTAACGTCGTGCTAGCTGCAGTATGGAAGGGGAAGTCATGAATTCACTTGCTGAGGTTTTAATTCGTAAAGCTTCTCCTTCAGACTTTCACACTAGATTAGAGAGAAAGAGACGTGCAGTCTAATGTTGCCTCCCAGAGTTAGCTGACATGTAGGTGTTGCTGCATACCTCTTAAATAACAGACCGTGGCAACTAAACAAACAGCTTTTGGAATAAAAATATAAATAGCACAAGTCATGGATTTGCTTCTTTTCTATCTTGCTGAAACATAATGTAGGAGTGTGCACACACACATCAATATACCTCTGGAAAAAGAGTCCATCTTCTCACAGGCTGACATTACAGTCACGGCTACCAAAGTGACGACAGATAGTATCTGGCCACACGCAACCTTTTAATTCTCCATAATGACATTAGCCAATAAGAAGCAACAAGTTTGAAGTTCAATTTTCCCTTCAAAAAAAAGAAAATTCTAATTGAGATCAGCTGTACGCAGAATCAAGTGCTGTCGAGTTCCAGTTCAATGTCCTTTACAACTGTGCAGCCACGTGTGGTACACTCACCAGGAAAGGCAGTGACTCTGCGGACTGCCCAGGACTGCAGCACCTTGTACCCTCCCGGCCCAACGTACCAAAGGCACCGCCTCCTGACTGTGAGCAAACTGATCACACTGCACAAAAATATTATCTACTTATAATTTTTAAATATGTAGTCAGCTAAAAAAAATTTAACATGGTCCAGATAAAAAGCTCCATCTGTAGTCATTAATCCTCCACTAAACCAAAACATGAAAGTAATTGTAAAGCGGGTAATAAAGGAGTGACGAGAGAGAAACTGACCAGGCTACAACCATGAACAGCTATGGAGGAAAATTCAGTGAGGTAACTCATCTACCCCAGTAACTTGTATTCATCCAACTAAGCCCTGCCCAAGACATGAAGACCAAATCAAATTAGGTTTCTGAGCCAGGAGTACTTCTAAACCATACAACACACGCAAGCTATGAAAAACAAGTTAATGAGGGTACTTCACCGACCATCTAGGCTTATGGCATTATCTCTATTTTTTTATGCCCTAATGTACCCCTCTCTCACTTCAAATAATTCCCCTATCTTTTTAAAATAACACTTCTCAAAATCTCAAATACAGACACAGGGAAGTAATAAGTAGCTAAAGAATTTGATTACCGCTTCACTTGTATGAGAAAACCAGCTATTTTCAAGAAAAAAGAAAATGGCTCCCCAGCGGAAAAAGCTAGTTTTCAGAATAAATATTTCCCTCTGCTCTATACTACTCCTGCGTATCCTACCACTGGTATATTCACCAGAGCAGCATCTAAGTAAATGATGGGAGGCAAAGTTTTTATTAGTAGTTTAAGCAAAGTGCTAGGGCCATTTATAATTCAAAGATTCAAAATTTTAGAAGAGTTACTAAGTCAGAACACATCCAAGTTTCAAAAGCTGGGGCTGGAACTCTCTTAAGGCAATTTTCCAGGAAAGATGTTGCATTTTCTGTGATAATAAACTTTAAAATATTTTCTCTCCTTGAAAACCAGACACAGTTTTGCCCCTATTAAGAATGGGAGAGTAATCCTGTTCATAGTAAAAGAGGAAAAAAAAAGAAATATCAAAGGTTTCAGTCTGCTATAGTTAACTATGATTCTAATGATCCCTGGGCTCACAAAATTATTTTTTGGACAGAATTCTACTCTCAAAGTCTTTACATGGTTTCACAAGTTGCTTAATCAAGCTGCTTAAGTCAGCCGAGTGACTAATATAGCAGTTAAGGTTGCACTCCAAAAGATCATCAACTCAAAGCACCTAACCAGTAAGGTAAATGTATTATGCACCATTTCTGTGTTAGTTCTTGTGATTACCTAAACCAATCACATTTTAATTCCCAGCCTGTTTTAAGGGCAAAGCCAGACAGACAGCAAATGGTTAAATGTTCAAACTTCATTCCATAGCTCATGTACTTACTTCACACTCCTAGTAGGGCTTTTAGCTTTAGTGGCCCAGAGTTTTAGCTTTAACACAAGAATACCCCTCTTGACCTCTCTGTTTGAGACGAAGATGCTAGCATTCTTCCTCATCCCTAACTACCCCTGCTGGGGTGTCCCAATTATTTTCCTACCTCTTAAAGTTTTAAAGGATAATGCTTGTTCCATAAAAGAATGACACAGAAGAAAAATCAAAGATTCTATCTTCACCACCATAATAATATAGATGATATACAATGAACACATTCTGAAGAAATCTCTTTTAAAGAAAATACAAAGTGTACAATTAATACCAAATGTGGGATCTTAACACATTCCAAGCACCAACAATCCATTTCTTGGGACTGCATGTAAACAGCAAAAGCATTACAAATCCATGAATTAATTTTTTAAAAAAGCCCCCAAGTCAGGTGGCAGAAATGCCCCTCCTTTGCAAGGAGCACAAACTGTCCTTAGTGTAACATGGAGAGCTGGTTTTCCAGTGAACTTCACTAATAAGAACACGCATGAAAGATTACAGACTTGAGTGAAACTACTCAAGGAACTTAAAAGCTAAATGCTAACTGATATGTATACCTTCACACATCTCTTAGGTGAATGGACTCTTTGACAACTTCATTTCTTTCCCAACCGCTGTGCTACTAATTTTGAGCAGGAATACTCTGGTGGCTCATCGTAACTCTTTTAAGGCTCCATTCATTCCTCATATATGTGTGTATGTACATATATATACATATATATATATTTACAACATATATTTCGAAGACAAAAGGAAGTGCTACTCTTGTAGGAGAAATAGAGGATAGTCAGCTATAGAGGTGAGACCAAAGTTTCCATAAAACAATTAGCATGGAGCATTCCGCAAAACTGCAATTTTTGTCTTTTGGTTTGGCCCTGAGCTGTTGGTTGCTCCCGCATCAAGCAGAGTTCTGAATTCCCCTCCGGCGGAGGGCAGGTGCGGGGTGACGGTAAGGGAGCACGTGCAGTGCGCACTGCCGGCCCAGGAGCCTGCTCCTCACGAGGCCTGACGAGCGGTCTTCCCCGCTTCCATGCCAAGTGCCTGAGAGTTCTTTTCGGTTTCCAGCAGCTCATCAAAGATCTCCCTTAAAATAAAACAAACCCCAAAATGAGCATTTAGTGAGCAAAGCCAATAAATAGAAAGTACACAATGATAAAGTATGCATAACCCCATTTGGTGCCTAATTATTATTAAATAAGCAGTTCATTTATTTGGTCACCATTTTAACCCAAAGTGTTGATTTCTAAGAACAACAGGAGGGAGGAAGGCTGGCAAGAGTCAGCTTTCCTAAAAATGTTATGCAGTTTCCATCAACATAACGCGGATTTCCTAGCTGATACAACTAGAAGAAAGCTTCTATCAAATAAAGGAGTCTCAAGTTCCACACCTACATGCTACGGCGTGATGAGTAATTAGTACGGAGTTAAGAAAGAAAATATTCTGGACTTATAAGGAAATAAGACATAAGCCTGAAGCAAAGGTAACAAAACCAAAATTATCAACCAATTACGTGATGGGAACATTTGATTCTTAAAGAAAGAGAAAAGAGTTGGGTAATTTTTAGCCTGTGGCCTCAGATCTGGAAAGTTTCTTACTTGTGCATGTAAAAGAAGATGTAACCACTCCGATCCCGATCGCTCTGCATCGAAGCCTCTTGGATTTTAGATACCTCTAGGTCATTGTAAGTAAACCACGCCTGCTTCTTAATGTCGTACACATCACTAATGTAATGACCTGAAACAAATAAAATCTTAACACTGAGGTTTTAAAAAATTTCTGAATTTTTTTTAGATACAGAAAGTTTCAGAAAGAGACAGAAACAGCCACGCTATCTATTTTACCCCCCTTCCCCCAAATTTCCAAAAACCATTAAAAACAAGTATAAACATTTAAGGGAGGAATATAGCACACCAGGACAACTTTTTGACAAAAGATTTCAGTTTTTCTTGATGCATTCAACTTATACCACCCAAAGTCAGGAAGAGAGCTGCCTAATAAACAGTAAATGCTGGCTACTTCATTTATAAAATGCTGAAATCATTTTGTCCATTTACCTGAAGAAGAAGTGCTACCAATATGGCTGACAACGCTGATGAGCCGATAGGAATGAGGAAGATTTCCTGTCTGGAAAACAGAAGTGGGCATAACTTTTAACTGCTTGTTTGAATAAAAGCGAGGCATCAAATTTAAATTTATTATCACAGCTGACATGACTACATTTTAGTGCAGGTGTAGTCAGATTCAATAAATTCTACTCCCAACTAAGAACGTATCCTAAAAAAATAATCTGAAAGAAGAAGAGAGCAAAATTACTTACTGTAGCATTATCTTTAATAACAGAAAGTTGGAACAATAGGCTCAATAATAGTTAAATAGTTAGTGGTGTAACAACTCAAACAATATTATTCAGTTATTTAAAAAGATCCTATGGGCCACTAACATATTAACTTGTTTTTCAAACCCACATAAATGCACAAAATAACCACAGATCTACACAAATAAGTATGTTAATGGTTAAGTACTAAAAAACAGGAAGAAAAAAATGAAGAGTTGGTATGTTGCTGTAGGGATTATGAGTAAACATTTACATTTGAAATATTTTTTAAATGCTATTAAAATATTGTTAGAAAAATAAAACAAAACTGAAAAGAGATACTCCTACACTGAGGCAGCACTATGGACACAAATTCAGCTATATATAAACCAAAAACCATCAAAATATTCATAAACTTTGATAGAGTAGTTTACTTGTGGAGATTAAAAAAAAAAAGTCCTAAACACAGAAAATATTACAACCTTACGTAGTTCCTCAATGTATGATTTTATTACAGTGAAAAAAACAAACAACTTAAAACACTCAATGTTAATTAAAAATAAAATAAATAGTATATTCATTTGAGGGAACATAGCACAGCCATTAAAAACAAACCATGTAGCCCTGACTGGTGTGGCTCAGTGGGCTGGATGTTGTCCCACGAACTGAAAGGTCACCACTTCCATTTCCAGGCAGGGAACATGCCTGGATTGTGGGCCAGGTCCCCGGTTGGTTGGAAGTGGGCAAGAGGCAACCAATAGATGTTTCTCTCTCACATCGATGTTTCTCTTCCTCTTTTTCACCCTCCCTTCCTCTCTCTAAAAATAAGTAAATAAAATCTTTAAAAATAAAATGAAATAAAATGCTTATAAAGACGTAGTCTTTAACAAGCAGAATAAAAACTGTACTTAAACGATGGCTTTTAAAAAGCATACTCAGGAGTATAAAATGACAAAAGAATATGGCAAAATGAAAACAGAGCAATTGTTTACAGAAAAAGAAAGATAAAAGATTCCAATGCATTCTAGTTAACACCTCTGATTCAACAGATTTTATAGTTTTGGTAGAATTAAAGATGACTTAATATACATATGACCTGGAGAGCCACGTTACTCCATTACTATTACCTAACTGCACGTAAGGTGGTCAGGGTGTATTTCTGGTTCTGTTTCATTTTGTTTTGAATCTTGTAAGAACTGAAGAGCAAAGGACAAGAGAAAGCGAAGGCCACTTGATGGCTGCCACAGGGGCAGAAACGACTGCAATGGAAACCGACAGTGGGGTCTGTGGAGATGAGGAGCAGAAGCGATACTGACTGTCCGACCAGGGCCCCTCAGGGAATACAAGGCCACTCACTTCAGCATTTCTCTTCAGTTCCTCCGCTTCGGCTTCTGTGTACTCCATATCTAAAACGTCCTCATTTCCAGAGTCCTCATCAGAACCCAGCGAATCCAGAAAAGAGTTGTTAAATTCTGAAGAACACAAAAACAGAGTCTTGCAGAAATTTCTTGGAATAGATACAAAGAGATGATTAGGAAGTTAAAAAACAGCCTGAGTACACTTATTATTAGGGTTCCAAATCACCTAGCCCACTCTGGGGACCAACAATTCAGGCACCAGGCATCTGTAAAAGAAATGCTTCTTTTCCCTTTTAAATATATTTATATGAAAGGGGACATAACTACATAAAGAACAAAATGGAAGAGAATGTAATTTTATTTAAAAAAATATTTTACTTATTTATTTTTAGAGAGAGAAGAAAGCGGCGGGGTGGGGTGGGGGGAGAAGCATCGATTGGCAGCCCCTGCCCACCCCCAACTGGGGACTTGGCTTACAACCCAGGCATGTGCCCTGACTTGGAATTGAACTGGTGACCTTTTGCTTTTGCAGCCCAGCATTCAATCCACTGAGCCAACTGGGCAGGGACTATAAACTTTAAATAAACAAACAAATGACCTATATTTAATATCCTCAGAGAATTGAGATGGTATTGTTTCCATGAACCAAACCAAACCAAAACAAACAAAACATTAGAAAAAAAGAAATAGTCATACATGCACAAAAATCAGTTTTTTTAAATATAAAAATAAAACACTCAAAAGAATGTTCGGAGTTACAGATAAATTTCCTAGAGACCAGAGTAAAATGACAAAATGATGGAAAACTGAAGAAAAGAGATGAGAAAATTAAAAGGACCATACTAGAGCCTTGGATGGTGTAGCTCAGTGGATTGAGTGTGGGTTGTGAACCAAGGGGTTGCCAGTTCAATTCCCAGTCAGGGCACATGCCTGGGTTGCAGGCAAGGCCCACAGTGGGGGCTATGTTAGAGGCAATCACACATTGATGTTCTCTCCCTCTCTCTCCCTCCCTTCCCCTCTCTCTAAAATAAATATGTAAAACCTTAAAAAAAAAGAAAGAAAAAAGGACCATACTAGAAAGTCTGGATAATAGGAGTTTCAAAAGAGAAGAGAGAATTTGGAGAAGAGGCAATCAGTGAAAATTTCTTAGAACTCAAGGACACAAGTTTCTCAATTAAAATGATTAAGTGCCCAGCAAAAGGGCTAAAACAGATCCACACCAAGGCACATCACTGTGAAACTTGATCACAAAAACAAACAAACCAAAGAGAAGATCCTATCAGATTTTTTATAAAAAAGGCCACATCAGTATAAAGAATAGCTTTAGGCTTTTTTCATTTTATTTTTTAATGTTTTATTTATTTATTTTTAGAGAGAGGGGAAGGGAAGGAGAAAGAAGGCATGGTTGCCTCTTACACGCCCCCTACTGGGAATCTGGCCCACAATCAAGGCATGTGCCCTGACTGGGAATTGAATCAGCAACCCCTTGGTTTGCAGGCCAGTGTTCAATCCACTGAGCCACACCGACCAGGGCTCTTTTTTCATTTTAGAGCAAGAGAAGAAGGAAAAAAGAGAGAAAGAGAGAAAGAAAGAGAGAGAGAAGAAACAATGATCTGTTATTCCACTCATTTATGCATTTATTGGTTGTTTTTTATATTGTGCCCTGACTGGAAATTGAACCAGAAACCTTGGCGTATCAGGATGACACTCTAACCAACTGACCTACCTGGCCAGGGCTATAGCATTTTCATACAGCAACCCAGTCTTGTCTGTAGGCAGATAAGACTTCTTCCCTTGCCCAGCAGCATGACTGCAAACCTGGACTTCTATATTTAGCCAGACAATTAATCAAATACTAGAGTAGAATGAAACATGCAAGGTTTCAAAAAAATCTAAGCCACACCCCCTCTTTTAAAAATCTTTATTTATTTATTTTTAAAGAGAAGGGAAGAGAGGGAGAAAGGGAGAGAAACATCAATGTATGGTTGCCTCTCATGCATCCCCTTCTGGGGACCTGGCCTGCAACCCAGGCATATGCCCTGACTGGGAATCCAATGGGGGTCTCTTTGGTTTGCAGGCCCATGCTCAATCCACTGAGCTACACTAGCCAGGGCTTTATCCCCTCCTTTTCAAGAGAATACTGGAGGAGCTCTATCAAAGCACAACTAGACCAAGAATGACGAAGAGTGAGATATAGAAAACGGGAAATTCAAACAGAGGAAAGAATCAGACGGAATTCCCAGGATACTGATTAGGACAGCTGTAACAGATCTCAGGATAGCTGTGCATAGATGTACAGGGCAGCCAGTCTAAATTGGAGCAATATGACTCCATACAGCCATCATCACCACCATAGTGCCATCTTTCAAATCTGAGGACAGAATGCCTTGGTGAGCTTAGCTTGAATTCTCATTTGTAACTGTTTCTACCATGTTCCAGCCAAATTCTTGCTTTTTCCTCCATGTCATGGTGTGTAGACAAGCCCAGAACACTCATTTTGTACCCTCAAAATGTTCTGCTGTGATCTATTTCTGAGAGTTGGAGAAAGACCACAATGATTTTAGAAAACACAAAAAACAGAGTTAGCTCAACTTCCGGTGACTACGTGTTCCTGTGGACTTGCAGCACTTGGTTCATATATTAATTCTGCCAAATGCCATGACTATGGTGAACGTTATGTTTCTGAACACTCACTCATAACTGCTCACTGACTTCCCCAGAGTGAGCTCTTAAATTCTTGGGCAAACTGAAGCCACCTTATCTTCTCCTAGGAGGCTCAACAGTGGGAGTATTGCTCTTTCACACAGGTGAATTACAGATAGATTGTCTTAGCTATTTAATTTTTTCAAATAAAAAATATATTGTTTAGGGCTATAAATACAGTAAGTACTATTTTAAAAATAACAAAGCTACTGCCCCAGTTTGTGTGGTATCATCCTGCAAACCAAAAGGTTGCCAGTTCAATTCCAGGTCAGGGCACATGCCTGGGTTGGAGGTTCAGTCCCCAGAAGAAGAGTGTGAGGAAGGCAACCAATCAAAGTTTCTCTCCCTCCCTTCTTCTCTAAAATCAAAACAAATTTTTTTTTAAAAAGGGGAAAAGAAAAAGCAAGCTACTAATTAATACAAATGTTAGAACAGTGGTTTCCTCTGGGAGGGAGGAGGAAGGAAGGGGTATCCAGATAGTTTCTAAGGTTTTATTTCTTTACCTGGGAGGTGTTCAAATTTATTGTTACTTAAACTAACAAACCCATTTTTCATGCTCTTCTCTGTGTGATACATTTCACCATTAAAAAAGGTAATTAAAATAATCTCCATACCTTGAAGACTTAACTCTGTAGCCCTTTTGATGTCATCATCTTCTTTCTGTTCCCAAGCTTCCTAAAGAGACAAGAACAAAACTAAGGTATTTAAAGAAGTCTTGATTAAAACCTATTTGATGAAGATAAAATCAGTTGCTTTAGAAGTATTTGCTAATAATGTTTTCCATAATTTTATAGATGTTTGGAATATGACCTATTGAAGGACGTGGAGAAGTTCTGTATTTCCTCCTAAAACACACCCCCAGGGATTAAAAAGGCTTAAATGCTATCTTTGCTAGTAAGTGACATTAGGCATGCCAACCAAAAGTCATTCAATGTGGCATTCTGATATAATCCCTTTCCTTTGTACATGTACGAAATGTCTGACATATGGCAGATACTTAGCAAATTGCTCTGCTCTCTCCCTGATTTATAGCATGCACCAACTTCCACGGTGTAAGTACTCTCACCATGGCCTACCTTAGGCCACCAACGTGACACTGAATGCAGGGTTGGAAAGACGTATATAAAGCTGGTTCTCCTGAGCTGACAGTGAACTGGCTCTAGCACACCAATGACACAGAGTTTATGACAGCAGGATAAACATTATTTCCACAAGATATTATTCATAGATTTGTATTTTTGTTCTTGCTAAAGATACCAAGACACACAATAGATTGTTGGTAAATATTAAATGAATGCTATGGCTACTACTTTTCTAAATACATCTGAAGTTCTCTTAGAAAAACTGGTACCTCTAAAAATGTCTCAACTAGATGACTAATTATAAAAAGAAGCAGGGAAATGTTGACTATAAAAAAATTATCCTCCCCATTTTCGTAGAAAAGATAATTTACAAACAATGCATGAATAAAAAAATATAATTTAATCAGGATAATTTTATATTTAATTCTAGACTTGTTTTTAAAGAACTCAGAACAAGCTATTCTACATTACAGTGCTGGGAGCAATAAATACTGTGTTTAAAACCAACAGAGATATTCTCTAAGGGGAAATAAGATTACTTAAACTTTTCCAAGTATATAAAGTCTGTGCTGAAAACAGAAAGAGACTCTCTTTCAGTTATTAATAGAATGATACGGGTATACCAAACTAAAGAAAATTCATCTTATAATCATACTCTCACAACTGAGAAAAATACAGGGCAGGACAAAAAAGTAGGTTTGCACTTGTGAGTACATGAAACATAGTTTCTTCCTGCATTAGTATTTATTAATTATTGTATTATTTTCCTTACGAATCTCTTTTGCCCCACCCTATAAGTTTGTTTTAATCTGGGTCAGCTGACAAAAAATACTGTAAGATACTACTATTAATAAATCAGACTTACATTAAAAATAAGTTTTCTAAAACAAATGATCACTATGTATTACTTGTAAAATAGTTGGACATACAGCCCTGGCTGGTGTGGCTCAGTGGATTGAGTGCTGGCCTGCAAACGGAAAGGTCGCTGGTTCGATTACCAGTCAGGGCACATGCCTGGGCTGTGGGCCAGGTCCCCAGGTGGCAGGCGGCATGCAAGAGGCAAATGACTGATGTATCTCTCACACACTTATGTTTCTCTTCCTCTCTTTCTGTTCCCCTACCCCCCTGCTCTAAAAATAAATAAATAAAATCTTAAAAAAAAATAGTTTGACATATATACATTTGATCATAAGGGTAGGTAGGAAGGTATTTTTTTAATAAACAAAGAGATACAGAACAGTTGGTTCTGAAATGGTTTTTAAGTAGTTCTCAACTTTGCTTCACATTAGAATCAAATGAAGTTTTAAAAACTCCTTATTAAAGGACCCATGGACACAGACAACTCTGTGGTGACTGCTGGGGGAAGAGGTATAAGTAGACTAAAAGGTAATGGAAATAAAATACAATAAAAATTAAATTAAAAAATGCCCTCCCCCAAAAGAAAACTAAGAAATTTACATGCCCACACCAGAGCCCAGATCAATTACATCGGAATCAAGCACCAGTATTTTTTAAAGCTTCCCAGGCAATATTAATGTATATTGGGACCCACTGTTCTAGAGAAATTGGATTTCTCAATCTGATTGTCTGTAAACACTAAAACTGTGCATTCATTCTAGGGAGTCTTAGTCAATTTTTATTACTAAAATGACTTGGATTGTACAGGATTAGACAACTACAAAGACATCGCCTTTTAATCTGATACCTTAAAGACTACAACGGTGCAAATAAGCCAGCTTTGGCAAATGTAAGTATAAAGAACTAAAAATTAAAGAACAGACTACTACATAAAGAGGAGAGCAGATAAGTGTTAGTATGTGACTAAAATCTAAGTATCAGGTAATATTTCTAAGAATTTTATCTTCAAATAATTCATAGGGAAGAACTCATGAGAAAATGACCAAAACAAATACATTACTTTAAAATGTAAAAGATAAAATCATGCTGTTATACTGGCTGTTTTGACAGCTTGCAAACAGGTTGGCTCGGGATGGGCTCTAATAACCCCTTCTTGCTTTAGCATGCAGTGAATTATTGTAATGGGAGGTAACCAACAATATATTTTGTTGCATTTGGATTTTCAAAAACAGAAAAACTATCACCGTATCTGTTTCAAATCCAATGCAAAGCTCCAAAGTTGTTTTTATTTTGTTTGTATTGGTAGATCAATGATATTGTATTCAAATCGCCCAGAACAATGCCTCACACCTAAGTGCTTAACACATGTTCATTATTGTTATTACTATTCTATTTCATGGGAAAGACAGGTATGGAGAAAGTAGCAGTATCATTCTCTTACTTGCTCCTGGAGGCTCTGAGCCAAGGCCTGCTGAAGCTCTTGCTCTTCTCTTTCACGGTCCATGTCAAATTGCTGAAGCCAATCAACCTCTCCTTGAGATCCTTCCGGGGTTTTGTTTTCTTTATTCTCATCACAGTCTTTAGTTATCTCAGTAAAACCGGCTGGATCTGAGGAAGCAGAATGTAACAACTGGGAAATCCTCTCTAATAAACTGAAATCTCTGTACTACAGTGGCATCTACTGTTCAGAGAGTAATTTACCATAACGGGACACACAATTTCATCTTACTACAGTCTAGCCCAGGGTTTCTCAATCTCAGAACTACTGACATTTTGGGTAGGACAATTTTTTGTTGTTAGGGGAGGGCTGTCCTATTCACTGTAGAATGTTTAGCAACACCCCTGGCCTCTACCTACTAGATACCAGTACCAACGCAACTCCACCCACCGCCGCCTCCAGTTGTGACAACCAAAAATAACAGACATTGTGAAATGCCCCCTAGGGAACAAAACTGCCCTTCTTTGACATCCACTGATCTACAGCAATGGTTCTGAAGCTTAATCAATCACCAGAAGCACTATGGTTAGGATGGAGAATTAAACAGCCATATCCATAGGTCATAATGTCACATGACCGAGTACTAGCAAAAAGAATTAGAGTAAATTAAGAATTAGGCTAGAATCATTAGGCTAATAATGAGATTTACTCCATTTATTACAATATATATCACGTGTTTCTTCATTAATAATCAAATAAGCCTTGTACATATTCTGAATCGAGTTCCATAACACATGTAGTAAACATCTCATGTACCACACAAGTATATCACGACAGGCACGTTTACAACACTCATTCAGCGAAGTAAAAGAAAAATTAATCATCAATTTCTTTTTGTTCTTCTTCAATCTCTAGCCTATGGATAGCCAGGATAAACAGTATGGTCATGATTTTGTTCTGGTTATTTGAACTGTGGAGCAACAACACTTCACTGTAATTGTAATACTGGTAAGTATTAAAGGTAAGTAGGGAGATGAGGACTCTACCTACCTACCTACCTCCAACATTTTACCAAAGCAAAAATTCTAACCATAACAAGTTAAAGAAATTCTCATAAAAAGTCAACTGATTAATAAGAATTACTTTTACAGGTTCATTTTATGATTGTTTTAAAATAAGTATATGCTCGCCCTGGCTGGTGTAGCTCAGTGAATTGAGCACAGGCCTGCGAACCAGAGGATCGCGGTTCGATTCCCAGTCAGGGCACATGCCTGGGTTGCAGGCTGGTTCCCTGCAGGCCAGTTCCCAGCAGGGGACGCATGAAAGGCAACCATACATTGTTGTTTCTCTCCATTTCTCTTTCCCTTCTAAAGATAAATAAATACAATCTTAAAAAAATAAAATAAAATAAATATATGCTCTTTACCTGCCCCCAAACTGCATTTTAACCATTTAAGTGATACTTTTCTATAGTACGAACAACTCTGAAGCTTACAGTAACTTGGTTTCAGATTCTATCATTCAGAAACTAGTCATCATTTTTTAAATTGTATTGAACTGCTAATTAAATATTTACCACTAACACCAACTCAATATTCATCATGAGAGGAAAAGAAACTCAGGATATACTAAAGTCAAAAAGCAGTATGATCCCAATTTTTAAAAATTATACTAGGAATATTAACGATTTCCTCCTTTTCTCCATGCTTGGAGAAACAATCATTTCCACAGCCTGGAAGAGGCAGCTCTGAAGTCTATACGAGTCTGCCTAATCACTTCGGCCTTAGCTTAATGAACCAGGAACAAATATTTCAGCCAACCAGTCAGATTACTTGTAAAAATTTGGATCTGAGACATTCAAAGTTAGACGATGTTAAGCATTTCAAGTGGAAGAAAGATTTAGAAGTTGAAGCTACTATTTTAGGGCATGAGTATTCCTACTTTATTATCAAAACATATAATATATACTCTGTATTTATCTTTAAGACAAGATTATCAAATGGGTACAAAAACTACTTAAGATCTATGGGAACAAATATGACCATGATTTGACACACTTTTAAGAAATTTGCACAGTGGATCAAAGGACAACTGTGTGTCGAAACTCAATATTCTTATACTAAATATATTACCCACTCCTGCCCCCACTCCAGTTAAAATCTGCTCCTTTACTACATTCTGTATTTCAGTGAAAGGGATCACTGTCCACCCAGGTTTTTTTTAATGACAGAAACCTGGGAGTCATTTTTCACTTCTCATTTATCCTTCATATCAGGTAAACATTTTTTCCTATCTATTGAATTCATCAACTTTTTTTCTTTTCAATGCCAAAAGGGCACCATTAACTTTTGGTCTGGACTATTGCAATAACTTTCTAACAGGTCTCACAGGATTACTTTGATTCTTCTCTAATCTATAAACTACACACTGATCTTTTAAAAATTCTTTATCAAACACTTGTTTGCTTAAAATTATTCAATAATTTCCTAATGCTTTTGGAAAAAAGTCCAAACTCCTAAACATGGCTTTAGGTTATGTAAAAACTTGTCTAGTCTCATCTCTTGTTTCCCCCCCTCAATACTATGATCCAGTCATGCAGCTCATTTTGAACTTGGTTTTTGGTTCACTAACTTGCTATGACCTTTCTCTTATCTAGGCCTTTGCACGCACTGTTCCCTCTGGCTAGTGCCTGGGGACAATGAAACCTTACTTGGCCAGCGTTCCTGCCCCATCTCAGTTGATTCTTGAGACAGTAAATCTCTTGGGCCCCAAATATCTGTTGGTAATCTACTATGTATTAGGCACTGTTATAGAAACTAGGAATGGATATAGTGATAATTAAGGCAAGATGGCTCTTGTGCTCAAAAAGCTTAAGTGCAAAGGCTGAGATGAGAAATAATTTAGCATATTTGAGGGACAGAGAAAAATGTCATTATGGCTGAAAAGAGTAGAGCGAAAGAGGAGTAGAGATGGCCTATGTAAGAAACGTGGATTAAGTGCGATGGGAGAAGTCGCAAGTTTTAAGCAGAAAAGTGACAGTGTGGTTTATGTAAACATTACTTTAGCTGCTTTGTTCATGAAAGAAGGTCTGTAGGGCACAAGAGTGGAGGAAAAGACATTAGGAATCAGTTGTGGTGGCCAAGGTAAGATATGGAAGACGAGTTGTAGCTATGAAGATGTTGATCAATGGTTGGATTCAGAACATATTTTGTAGGTAGAGCTGATTAAATTATGGATGGCCTGAATGCAAAGTATGAAGTAAAACAAATCAAGGAAGATACTTTTTGGCCTGAGCAACTGGATTTATCATAGTACCAATTTGCTGATATGGGGAAAGCATATTTGGAGAACAGGGATAAAAATGAAATAGCCAAATGGACATTTCAAGTAGGCATTTCAACATACATATTTAAAGCTTAGAGGAGAGATCTAGGCTAGAAATATAAATTTGATATTTCATCAGTATATGAGGTTATGGTACTACATATCACTTAAGGAGAGAGCTTAGGTAGAAAAGAAGATACAGCTAAGTACAGTATCCTGGAACACTCCAACAATTAGAGTTCTGATGAGGAAAGGAAAACAAACAAACAGAAAACCAAACCCGAAATAGTTAGTTTAGTAGAAAGAAAAAAAAAACTTCAATAAGCAGGGAATGATGGAAGCTCAGAGAAAAAAGTTTATAAAGTAGATAAGAAGGGAGTGGTAGATTGTGAAATACTTCTCATGTAAACTTGATTAAAACGCTATTTCAGTGAATTGGTGGGGATGAAAGCCCACTTGGACAGAGCTGAGGAGAATGAGAGGTGATAAGAAAGTACAAAGTATGAATTAAACAACTCTTTCAAAGACTTTGCTGTGGAGGGAGCAAAGAGAGGGGGCAGTAGCTGAAGAGGCACTGAAAAGTCCTAAGGGAGTTTTAATGATGGGTGAAACTAAGGTACAGCAGAAATAATGAGAAGAGAGGGAAGAACTGAAGCATTGCATGGCCTCTGCCTATAGGCTGCAGGCACTGAAGCAGGTTACACAGTGGAGAAATAAAAAAGAACAGAGGATCTTATAAACTGGGTGGGGTAAAAGTAGGTTTAACAGTTTTGAGTTCACAAAACACAGTTTAGTCTTATACTATTATTTATTAATTATTGTATTATTTTCTATACAAACAAATGTAAACCTATTTTGCCCCACCCTATACAGGCTATAAAGTACTTAAGTTTGCTCTCCCCAAAGCTGCTACAGTAGTAAAACCAACTGTGATCATTAATGGTTTTGAAAACCTCAGTGTTCTCCCCCACTGGCATGGATAATCTAGAACTAATTGTACATAACTCCCTTTGTTAATTTTAAGGATATGTAGGACTAAGCAAAAAAATAAGAGCTGAAAACAAAAAATAAATGGACAGGGGACAAAAAGTGCTAATATTAACCAGTGATATCTAAGGATAGTAATTATAAGTTTATTATGAGAACGGGATTTCATAAGAATACTTGCATCAAGAGGGATAAAAAAAGAAACACCTACAAATAAAAATCATCAGCGTTTTTTCCAGAAAAATTGAGGATATACTAATTCTTTTCACTTGCACATAAAATAATTCAAAATTGATGAGGTCCTAACCCCAAGAATACAGACAATAATTCTGTGGTACAGTACCATTCTTTTCATCTCCAAATCCTAGGCCTGATTATTGAAAACACATTAGCTGGCTAAGTAGATATAGATATTAATGATATCAGAAGAAAAAATTAGAGTTGGACATAGAAAGAGGCAGTAAAAATTTAAAATACCTACAGTGCAAGGTACGGAGGCTCAGTTTGGTTGTTCCCATGGATAACTTGGAAGTTACAAAATATAAACACTAATGACCACAAAAAATAATTTTTTTATCTGCATAACACTTTACATTAGATGTATAAACTATCTAACATTCTATTTTAAACCTCCTGAAATATGTCTGGTAGAGCCCCATACAGGTAAGAAAACAGCTAGTAAGCGGTATGGCCAAGAGAAGAGATCCCTTAGTTCAGTGGTCTTTCTACGATTATGAAGGAATGGACCCAAAGGAGAACAAAGAACTTAAATAATTTATATAGCTGAGCCTCCACATCTATGGGTTCTGCATCCAAAGATTCAACCAATCTCTGATAAAAAATATTTGGAAAAAATGCTACCTTGTTGCTGGTATGTACTAGTAGTTGTGCATCTTCAAGTTTTGGGATCTTCGGGGGTCCTGGAACCAGTCCCCCACTGACACTGAGGGATGACTATACACTAAAACTTAGTACAAGTTCGGATATAGAAAAATGAAAAAAGAATTATACACATTTCTGAGAAACCAGAGATGAGAGAAAAGTGACCAAAAACTAACACAAACATTTATTAAATGCACATAAAAATACTAACTTTTCTTTTGATGTACACCTAAAAGAATATGGCATATTTTACCATTAGCCTCTGGGTACTACTCACATTGTGTACTTCTTGTTTTTTTAAACTGTTAAAAAATCATGAAAAAATTATTAAGTCTGTTATATACACTATACAGATCCATCTTACCTCCCATTATTTAGAGGCCATTTGTCACATTAAAGCTTTGGAACACAGATGTGTCTTGTTTAACAGATATCTTCATTAATCCTACCTGGCTCTGTGATTGTTTTGGGTTTCTCAGTTTCCATAGGGTCTGGATTTTCAGGCATTTCTTGAATATCATCCTCTGCAAATCCAGTGTCTGGGCTGCTGGTTGGTTTATCATCATCTACGTGACTCAGAGACGGTGAAGCTTCTCTCTTACTTATCTCTAAAACAGCTGCTAGAAGCTCTTCTTCGCTCATCGCATCAAATCCTGAGTTTTCCACTTCAGATTTATCAGGCTCTATTCTGCATGATTTTGAATCCTGAAGAAAAGAGTTACTTTTAAAGGAAACCTGAATGCCTACAAATACAACAATCTTAGAGTTTAAAGTGAGAAGTTTATTTTAGTCCTAAAAAGTTTCCTTTCTTTGATACTTTGGATTACTTAATAATCAATATCTAAATTCACTGACAAACTTAATATACTGTTACTAATAACTAAATAAGAATACGTTTGTTGATTCCAGTAAGTATTAAGTACACTATTTGCAGAAACTTGAAAAATCTGTAAAAAATAGTAAAATAAATTGTTCAAAATCCATCAGAGATAATACTGTATTTTTGGTATATTTTCTTCCAGACATACATGGATTATACTGTAAGTATTGTCACTATATTTAACATTCCTTTTTAAAAGTTGGCAGGTCTTTTTTTTTTTTTAATAAATGAGGAAAATAAAAGGCACAATGACATTATGTAAATATTCAGAAGTTATTTTCTGAATATGTTTTACTTTGGGGGAGAATTTTTTTTTAAGATTTTATTTATTTATCTTTACAAAGGAAGGGAAGGAGAGAAGGAGAGAAATATCAGTGTATGGTTGCCTCTTGTGAGTCCCCTACTGGGAACTGGCTTGCAACCCAGGCATGTGCCCTGACTGGGAATTGAACCGCGATTGTGTGGTTCCCAGGCCAGCGCTCAATCCACTGAGCTACACCAGCCAGGGCTATTTTGGGGGAGAATTTCTGACTTTTTGTGATTCAAGGTGATCAACCACAAAAAACGACCTCTAGCTTTAAAGGAAGGTGGAAAACAAGTCAGAACAAAAATAACAAAAACAATTACCTTACTGAGAGAGGTTTAAAATCAAACAGTTGCACAGATGATGCAAACTCCTAGAAAAGCTTGTCTTTTCAAAGTATTAACTATCCTTATGTGTTAAGATAGAAGATAATGTATTTAAACCCTCACACCCATTATTTAAACCTTCAGTTTATGTGGTTAGCCTGTTGATGTAGATCTTTTAACTCTGGTTCCACCACATTAACAATTAGTACCAAAATTAAGCAGGTAATTGCAATATTTGAGGACTGATATGTAAAAGTACCTTTGAAGATTTATTGGAGAAAGCAATTTATCTATAACTTCCACTTCTTAGAAGTCTCGGTCCTGGAAATGACCTGTGTCCACTGATGCATAAAGATGTGGGATAAGAGGGGAGACCCCAAAAACCCTAGAAAGTGGGCCCCTTGTAGTACAGGCTTTCCTGGCTGAGTGTTCCAGGAACCCATCTGTGGCAGTGTAACAGCTGGCATTGCTGTGAGAGGCTGCATTCAGCTTCGGTTTTTTTTTTTTTGAAGATTCTTTCAACACATTTGCTTGTTTCATGATGGGTGACTCATGAGTGTACCAGCCCACACCATGCTGTTGAGTGTTCAGTAGCTTTTGACCACAAACCGCATGACCCCCTGCCCCGCCCTCCCTATTACCTGATCTTGCCCCCAGTGGCTATTTTTTTGGTTTCCCCAGATGAAAAAAATCTTCAAAGGGAAATGTTTTGCTTATGTGGGGAGGTAAAACAACGGCAGAAACACTAAAAAGCATCAAAATCAGTAAGTTCAAACAGTTTTCAGCAGTGGAAAAAAGTCTTGATAGGTGTATTGCATCAAATGAAAAGTAATTTGAGGATGACTAAAGTTTAAAAATGTAAGAATAAATACACAATTTTTATAAACAAATTCTGGAATTTTCTTGGTACCCCCCTCGTATAAACTATTCAGCCGTAAAAAAGGACATCTTGACCTTGAGGGCATTATGCTAAGTGAAATAAGTCAGACAGAGAAAGACAATACCATGTAATCACAGCTATATGAGGAATCTAACAAACAAATCCAAAATCACAGATACAGAGAACAGACTGCTGGTTACCAGAGGGTGGTGGTGGTGGTGGTGGGTGTGTGTGTGTGTGTGTGTGTGTGTGTGTGTGTGTGTGTGTGTGTGTGTGTGTGTATATAATGGGTGAAAGGGGCTGAAAGGCTCAAACCTCTAGTTACATAGTGACTACAGTTAATAATATGGCACTACACATCCGAAAGGTGTTGAGAGTAAATGTTAAAAACTTTAGTCACAAGAAAAAATTCTTTTGGTAACTATGCATAGTGATGGATGTTAACTAGACTTACTATAGTAATCATTTCACAATTATGCAATACAAAATACCACATCACTATGTTGTACCCTGGCTGGGTGCCTCAGTTGGTTGAGTGTTGTCCTGCACACCAAATGGTTGTAGGTTTGATCCCTGGTGGGGGTATACGAGAGGCAACCATTTGATATCTCTCTCACATTGATGTTTTTCTCTCTTTCACTCCTTCCCTTCCTTCCTCTCTAAAAATCATAAAACATACCCTCAGGTGAGGATTAAAAAAAAAGCCTTATGGTGTACACCTGAAACTAATACAATGTTATATGTCAATTATACCTCAATTAAGAGTCTCAATCCACCTTCAAACAGACTGGTTTTGTAGCTACAGAAAGCACATTCTAAAACTAATGTTTGATACTTCCAGTCAAGATGGTGGCAGGTAAATACACTACTTGCATTCTCCCACAACCACACCCAAATTACACAGGAACTACAGAACAACCATCATTCAGAACTACTTGAAATCTGGATGACTGGAAGTGCTATGACCAAGGAATTACAAAAGGGGTGGAGAGGGTGGAGATGTGGAATAGGCTGGTTCTGCACCCATGGGTAGCAGATAAAAATCAGGACAGATATCTGAGCTCCAAAGGTGCCCCACAAGGAGTCCCACACCAGACCCCTCAGCCCAGAGTTCCAGTGCCAGGGAGAGAAGTCCCCATTACTACGGGCTGTAAAATGGGGATTGAGGCTGAGGAAGACAGAGGGCTTCTGGAGTTCCAGGCAGTTATTCTTAAAGGGCTCACCCATGAACTTACTCAGACTCACTCACTGAGGTCCAGTACTGGAGCAGCCCCTTGAAAAGCACCAGAGACATACGGGAGGAATCAAATTGTCTAACATAAGAGCGAGAGCTGAGGGGTCGGGGTGGGCAGCTTTCTCCCAGACAGAAGTGTTGGCAGAGGCCATTTTTCCTTTGATGAACCCTCCTCCAACAGAGCCAGCAGGCTGATATCTGAGACTATCAACCTGGCTCACAAGTTTGACCCACCATGGTGATTCTGAGTCCCTACTCCACCCAACTTTTGGGCCCACCCAAGCTGTTTCCCTTGAAAGGCCTGTCCTGGCTCATGCTTCAGATTTTCCTAAAATCTCTCAAACACAAAGCATCTGGCTTCAGTGTGTCCTGTAAATTAAATGCAAAGTAAAATTTAAAAAATGAAATTGCAAAGATCAAGTAAAAGTCAATGAAATGTAAAAGAGTAAAGTAACAGAAAAATAAATGAACCAATGAAATATGGCAGTTCTTTAAAAAACATCAATAGAGACTTTTGGCCAAGATGGAGGCATAAGTAGCCACACTGTACCTCCTCACACAACCAAAGTAAGGACAACAATTTAGAAACAAAATAAGAATCAGAACTGACAGAAAACTGAACTGTATAGAAGTCTGACAACCAAGGAGTTAAAATAGATACACTCATCCAGACTGGTAGGAGGGGTGAAGTTGACTGGTGGAGAAGGGTCGTGACAAAAAAAGCAGTGGCACCAGGCATACAAGGCAGCAGCTGACAAACCCTGGGTGCACAGGCAGTGGCTGGCACACCCTGGATACAGGGTGGCAATGGGCAGACCCAATGAGGTGGCAATTGTGAAGAGAGGCATGGCATGCAAGGCGGCTGGCAAACCAGGTGGTCCCACGTTTGTGCACAGATAAACCAGGCAAAACTGGGGGGTGAGACAGACCACACAATCCAGGGTCCCAGCAGGAAAATAAAGCCTCAAAATACCAACTGAAAACACCTGTGGGGGTTGAGGCTCAGTGAGAGACTCTGCTCACAGGAGAGTTTGCTGGAGAGACCCACAGGATCCTAGAATGTACACAAGCCCACCTACCCAGAAGTCAGCATCAGAAGGACCCAGTTTGCTGGGGGAAAGTGGCAGAGGGGACTGAAATCCAAGAGAGAGCGGAGCAAGCACCCTTGTTCCCTCTTGGACCCTGCCCCCACATACAGTGTCACAACCCAGTGACGTGGGTTGCCCTGCCCTGGTGAACACCTAAGGCTCTGCCCCTCATATGTAACAGGTGTGACAAGGAAAAAAAAAAAAAAAAAGCCCAAACAGAAGAACAGATCAAAGCTCCACAGCAAATACAACTAAGCGACAAAGAGATAGCCAACCTATCAGATGCACAGTTCAAAACACTGGTGATCAGGATGCTCACAGAACTGGTTGATTCTGGCCCCAAATTAGATGAAAATATGAAGGCTACACTAAGTGAAATGAAGCAAAATGCACAGGGAAACAATAGTGATGGGAAGAAAAATGGGACTCAAATCAATGGAGTCGACCAGAAGGAAGAAAGAAACAACCAAACAGAAAACAATGAAGACACAAGAATTTTAAAAAAATGAGGACAGGCTTAGGAACCTCCAGGAAATCCTTAAAGCTTTCAACACCCGAATTATAGGGATACCAGAAGGGGAAGAGGAAGAGCAACAAATTGAAAACTTATTTAACCTGGTTAAGGAAACAGACATACATATAAGTTCAGGAAGTGCAGAGTCCCAAACACAATGAACCCAAGGAGATCCAACTCAAGAAACCTCATAACTAAAATGCCAAAAGTTAAAGACAAAGATAGAATCTAAAAGGCAAGAAGAGAAAAGTAGTTACCTACAAGGGAGGTCCAAAAAAACTGTCAGGTATTTCTCAACAGAAACTTGCAGGAAAGAAGGGATCAGTAAGAAATATTCAGCGTGACGAAAAGCAAGGACCTACAACCAACATTATTCTACCCAGCAAAGCTATTATTCTATCCAGCAAAGCTATCACTCAGAACTGAAGGACGTATAAAAGGCTTCCCAGACAAAAAAACCCAAAGGAGTTCATCACCACCAAACCAGTATCACACACAATGTCAAAGGGTCTTCCTTAAGTAGATGATAAAAAAATATGAACAATAAAGTGTATGATAAATACTTATCAACAACTGAATCTAAAGAACAAAATAAATGAACAAGAAGAACAAAAACAGACTCACAGAGAATATTTTGATGGTTGCCAGAGGGGATGAGTGAAAAAGGTGAAGGGTCAAGAAGTACAAGCCCATTGTTATAGGGGATGTAAAGCAAAGCACAGGGAATATAGTCAATAATATTCTAATAGCTATCTATGGTGTCAGATTGGTACAAGGCTTATCAAGATGTTCACTTAGTAAGTTATGTAATGTCTAATTACTGGGAAGTACACCTGAAAGTAATATAATGTATGTCAAGTATAATTGAAAAAATATATAAAAATAAAACAAAACTAGTGTTTGAACTGATCTGTTAAGTTTATGCTCTACCCTGTGTATTAAATTTGCTGATGTTGGTTATAAAAGGCATTTGGACAGTAAGAGCTATGCAAATCTTTGTTGGATATTCTAATGAGAAAGTACCTACCTTTTCCAGGTCTTCCTGCTGCTGTTCACAGCCTGACATTTCACAAAATCTCTGGCTAAGGGCCACAGAACGTTTTAGCTCATCCTCACTGTCTGAATCAAGACATAAAGCCAATGAACTCTTGGATTTTAAGGGGAAATACCTGTAATTCAAGGGGGAAAAAAAACCCTGTATAACTCTGATAAACACAGTTCTTGTTATTCTTTTGATACATAAATCCCAAAATAAAACAAAAAGCTTTTCTTAAATGGAAAATAATATAATAGAAAAAGATGTATCAAAAGGTATATTTAAGAATTACCTTTGCCCTACTTCAAAGGAGTCATGCTTTGACAATTAGCTCCTATACCACTACATATTATCAGCAAACCAATCACTTTGTGCCTTTTTTCTTTTAATGATCAGCCCCAAAGTTGTTTGTTAGTGTCTTTATAAAGCAAGTAATCCACTGAATGCATGCAGACATAGCAATGAAAAAAATGTTGACAATAGAGCATGAGAACTACTTTTTAATCTTTTAAATTATGATTCATGTACTTTAAAAGGAACAGTAACAGTAACATTCCACTTATCCACTTATATGTAGGTCAGACTTCTGGCAACCTCTACCTTCCAGAACACAGGGATTCAAAAATAAGAGAAAAGGCATCTGAGGAAGGCAGCAGTTTCAAAGCCCATACACTCTACTCTTTAGACAGGGACCCTTCTTTCCCAGGAAATGAAGTATAAAATAATGTAGCAAGTTCATCAAGAAATGAGAGCTAAGAAATGAGAGAGAATAACCACAAATACGATAATAAAGAACTATAAAGTTGTTTAATGTAAAGGTAAACCATCTTGTAAGATAATGTCATCTGAGGGCATTATCATATTAAAACAGTGCAGTAACTGACACTTGTTAATGTTGATTCTAAGTCATTACAATGTATTTAAATTATCTTCAGTATATTTTACTTAGAATATGAGGAATTCTACAATGTCATAGAGTATATAACCACCTAAAATGGTTAAAAATTTTTAACATTAATTCTTAAAAAGGCAAGCTTCAGTTATATAAAAATTCATTTATGTGAAATATCAAATATTCTTCAATGATACTAGATAAGTAAGGTGTTACTGTGTTGGCTTCCAAGTGAGCTGAAAATAAAGGAAAAACTGGTAAAGGTCAAAGAGCACAAGCTTTCTTTGATGGAAGTTAACATAAATTCATATGCTATACTTAAAAAAAAAGTAAAACGGAAATTGGAAAAAATGCAATTCATCTAAATGTGAAAACTAAATAAACATAGAGAATGATGGCACTAAGAAATAAGAGGCCACAATGGAAACCAGGAGAACTGCAGAGCAATGTAGATCAAAGAAAAGAGGCAAGTGGTCAGTGATAAGCCCAAACATAGTCTGTGGCCGAGAGCAGCCAGGATATCACTGCACTCCAGCCTGAACACTTGAACAGCCTCCTGTTATATCTTCAGAAGGGTTTTCAGTATAACATAGTAATAGCCAATTAGCCATCTTAATTTCTCATTTCTGATTTCTTGCTCACCAAGCAAAACTGAACACATTAGTTTGTTCATCCAGGTAAATACTTTACTCAATGAGGGTGACACCTGGCTACCAATAACACCAGGATCACATGTGACAAAGGACACTATAAAAGAACCAATGGTATTCTGTTTCATAACTCAGCCTCTTTTAAGTTTGATCGGCATGACAGGTCTTCTAGGGCCTAATATCCTTTATTGATCAACTCTCAAATTCTCACACCAATAGACCCTGGAGAACAAATGACCATGCCAAGTATCATGAAGCTCAATGAAATCATCTCTTTCTTGAAACTATAGTGATTTGGTACATAAAGAGTGCATTCCATTAATAATTACTATATTCACAGAAGGCAGCTTGCCTGTAGTAATGAAAAATATTCATCCTGTAAATGCATCACTTGCTCACTTTCTAAGCAGCCAAGTGGTATTGCTCATTTGTATCTTGAGAACGGGCAAGAGTATTCATATCGGTACCATTTCAGATTTCTAGTCATGTTAGTCATCTGGTTTTAATTGCACTGAAAAATAATTAACAGGAGGAAAAGAAAATAGCAATTCCCAAATGTCATTTTATGGTAATATAATCCCCCCCAAAGCCCTTAAACAACAGAAGTGTATTTTCTAAAAGTATTTTTTGGACAACAAATTTTCAGGAAAACTAATTTTAAAGACCAATGACAAGCAAGTCATTTAGAAGTGTCTAATCAGGAACTATGTGGTTCTAGTTTAGTCAAAGAAGAGGAATATTTTTTAAAAAGCATTTGCTTCCCCCTTCTTGGACAAACTTTTGGTTATCAATAAATAAATAGATAGATAGATAGACAGATAAAACACTAGTAGAGTAGCTACATTCTAGTGTGTGTTTGCTTTTGTCTCCTTTCAGAACAGCTCCAGATCATTGTCTAAAACAAGAAGTCCCAGACTGGCTAGCAGCAAGTAATAAGATATTTTGGGATTTCCTTGTGTATCTTTGAAGAACAGTGCTTTATATCAATATGGGTCATTTCAGCCCTTCAATCCTTAAAATTCCTCATCATCAGTCAATTTCTAGAGATGTAGGATGAAAATATTACATATTAACAGATGATTTAAGATACTATAGAACAAAATTTTGAGAGGACCATCTGAAATTGTTTCACTATTAAAAACTTGTTATTCCCTAGATTATAGTTTAAAGCAGATTCAGGAAAATTTCAAAGTATAGAAATACAGAGCAGTTATCATGCAAAAAGAAAACCAATAAAGAAAGGGGGAGGAGATAATCTTAGAAACTAGGGTAAACCAAATCCTTAAAAATACAAATTCTGGGTATACAAGAAATATAACTCACTTTGAAGGTGTAGAAGGGCTGGTGATGCAGGAATTCACCATTTGAGAGGCTTTCAATGGTCTAGAACTACCAGAAAATTAGAAAATATAAAATGTATATATAATTACATTATTAACATATATATTTAACTTATAAAATGAATTATTCTGCACTATAGACCCTTATATATCTTTTAAAAAATTAAACATTTATACTACCTTTACTAGCTATAGAGGCCAAAAGAGAAAACAAACTACTATCTCCGGCCTCTCCTTGATCCAATGACTTTATTAAATAAAGAGCACTGGAAACAAAATCACAAAGGTAATGCATATAAAAAGAACAGCTTGGAAAAAGTGATCTTGTCTTAGTACTTTACTTTTAAGCAATAAAATAATAATAGCTCTCATTTTTTGAGGACTTACTAGATGTCATGCACTACAGTAAGAATGTATGTATTCCCCATCATTTAAGTTTACAACCACTCTATTATTTTCCCTATGAATAGGTCAAGGAATTTGTCCAAAGTCTTAAAGCTATTAAATTATAGTCAGGTAGCCTGGTATCAGGCCTGTGATTATGTATAAAGAGCCTACACTGATGGTTTGATATAGTGCTACTGCCAGAAAGAGTAATAACTCTACCAGCAGAGGGTAGTCGCTTCAAGCAAAATAAAAAACAAACAAATAAAACAAACGAAGAACCGAAAACCACATATATTTCAAAGAAAGAACTTAAGACAAAAAACCAGATACACTAATAATTGCTGGGACCACACTTTTATTAGTAGACTTGTTAATGCCTTTAGTATAAATTTATACAATGTGGTATATATTTCAATTAGTAACCCAGGAGAAATACACTTTTACAAAACTGTATTAATTCACATTAGCAAACGTTCATTCACTTTCTGAAATGTCTATTATTCTACTTTAGCCAAGAAACTTGGCTCATTCCGTCACTAACCATATGACTTTAAGAAAATGACTTCATCTCCCTGGATTTCTTCTGTAAAATGAAGAATTTAGAAAAAAAATCTCTAAAATCCTTTTCACCTCTAAAGTTCTAAACTTTATGACTATCAAACTAGAGTGCAGGTATAAAAGAGAACTATAATATATGGTTCCAAAGTAATGCAAATATGCAAAAGAAAGTTCAGAGAAGTCCTAAGGTTTTCCCAGAATACATGATGAAACAAAATAAAAATTAAAGGTTACTTCTTTTCTCATGTAAAACCTTCTAGAAGCCACTAAAGTACTCTACTTCTCTTGGTAATAATACATTTATGAAAATATAATCTATTTTGGGGACCCCCATATAACATTTAATATCCTGTTTCCCAGATCTGAATATCTCAAAGAGTCAGTAAAGACATTTGTTAAAAATATTGAGTTCCAAGTCCTATCTTAGATCTAATGATACAGAACTTCTAGGGAAAGAACACAGGAATCAGTATTTCAGTGTTCAGGCGACTTTTATGAGCATGCACATTAAGTTTATATTCCAACATGTATCAAACTGTCTTCTAGTGATCCAAAAGCGTAAAAGCATTGCCTTAAAAGATGACTAATTAATTATGAAAGGCAACTAATATACTTGGAAGAATTCTGTTTAAGCATTTTATTACTTCAATTTATTATTTCAGTTACTTCAAGGAGGCAGTAATTTAACTCAAAATCCCAAAATAAAGCCAAATTAAAATCTCTTGGTCTGATTTTACCCAGGAATTGTGTTATCTATCTAGCTCAATCATTCTTTTGATTAAATTATTAAAGCATTTCTATTTTAAAAGCAAAGGCAAAGATATTCTCTCTCAAGGACTTACATTGCCATATGTGCACTCCAACCGAGGGGAAAGGGTGGTTTTGTATTTTCAGTGCAATGAGATGACAAGGTCAGATATCTTGGAATGATGACCTGCTGCCCAATCTTGTTGTTAAGTGAGAGAGTGATATTGAAGCTATATCGCTTCAAATGAAGAATGAGGATCCTGAAAACAGGAAATGATGACATTACTAGTCTGTACATAACAAAGTTACCTCTCTTATAGGTGAAAAGAGATCACAGCAACTAACCATGTGAGATAGCTGTTGATTTAAAGAATACATTTGACCAAACTAAACATCTGGCCAAAGAATATCTATTAAATACCTGCCTCGTGCTAGGCACTGTGCTAGGTACTAAGAATACAAATAAAAATAAAACACCAGCATTAGGTGTATTTAGGTTAAACATAACGTTCCTAGAGAAAAAAAACACACCAACCCCCACCCTCACCTCAGATAGTAACACTAAGTTTTTAAATACTAATATTAATATTGCATTAAATTCTTAAATTATTTACTTCAATGTTATGTAGTTTTAAAAAACAGGTGTTATCATTTTAACTAGTGTTAAAACAGTCCTATGTTTGATGGTGAGTTTTTTCAAGATGATTTCTGATAAGAAGTATTCTTATTTCAGTAGATTTTCTCTGAAGAAAGCTAAAAGAAAAATAGAAAAATTTTCTCCACTTAGAAGTTCTGCAAAATTTCATAGCATATCTGGTTTGTGGGTCTGAAAAGGCTTTCAGCTGTTAAAAACACTTAAAAAAAAGATGCATTCCTTTTATTTTTTATCTTGTTTTTTTAAAAAATATTTTATTATTGTTCAATTACAGTTTTCTGCATTTACCCCCTACCACAACCCTCCACCCCAGCCCAACCCACCTCCCTCCCTTGCCCGCCCCCGCCGACTTGGTTTTGTCCAATGTGTCCTTTATAGTTTTTCCTAAAACACTTCTTTTTCGTTACTATTGTGGCATCCATCTCACCTCTAACGTGGAGCATAATCTTTCCCTGATGGACTAGTTACACTTCACAGTATACAGGAACACTTTAATTACCAAATTTTAGAACTCCTATGGGAATAAATCTAAATTCTAGGCAAAAACAGTTTCTGATTCATGGTAAACTGTTTCCTTTCTTACCATATATATACACCTTCATCACAAAAGCCACAACCTCAAAAATTTGTGAATTGTAGTTATCAACTCTATTTTTCTTTCAAAAATTATGCTACAGAATTCATAACCTTTAAATTCACAACTTGAGAGAACACAGGCTACAACTAATGTGAAGAGACTAAAAGTAGTATCAGATGTCACATATTTTGACTGAATTTTCAAATAATCATACCAAAAATAAAAGGTAGTATGAAAGAGACAGATCATAGTTAAAATTACTGATTTGTAAAGATGAGATGGACTAGAAATAAAAAGATTTGGTAAAGATGCCAGACCCTTCAAGAATAATAGTAGACTGGCTCCAACAGTGAAATGAACAAAAAGAAAGTCAGTCCAATATTAGGATTTATGATACAAAGTCTTTTGTTTTATGTAAGTTTGGAATAAATTAACCTTTAACATAAGTGACCTACTGGGAAAAAAAACAAAGGAGGAAAATTGCCCTCAGTATTTTTTTCTACTTTGAAAGGCCAAATAACTAGGCAACTGGAAAGGGAACAGACATTCAGCTTGCCAGTTCAAACACATATTTTTAATTATACACCGATTTCCTTTGTTAATGACAGCTAGTAATAATCCTTTGCCTTAATACTTGTTCCCTTACCCTCCTACCTCAAAACATAAATGGCAAAGAGCAAGTCTCTTAAGTAAGAAATGTATACTATGGTCAATATATTAATAGTGTTATGATTTAGAAAGTCATTTCTTTAAAAAAATTTCATTTCCAGAAAGGAGCAGATTATGAATTATAAAAGAACTAGTGTCTAGAGGTTAGATTCCAGAAACTCCATGCTTACGTCTTAGAAAAACTGAAACTAATGAAAGACAGTAAAGCACTCGGCAGGCAAAGTGCCATATAAATACTTAATGTTAATAATAACCTTGTTTGTGATTGAGATCTATTCTCGCAAAGAACTAAAATTTGTACTATAATCACATAGTAATTTTTCTAGCTAGTTTGGTTTTACATTTACTTATAAAAAAACTAATACAATTTAAGTTAATATCATTCCTAATTCAGAATTCTTTATTTTTATAGAAAGCTTATCAACTTATAAGATCCTCTGAATAAAGGAATGTACAAATTACAGAAAATTATTTTTCCTATTTTATTTTCATATGTATGTGTATATGTCTATAGCAGATTTTTACTGAAAGTTTGGGATAAGAGAGGGAAGGACTACAGTACAACACAGGACAACGAATTATAACTGAACATTATACATACATTACTGAATTAAAAATCTACTAGCTATTCCGTATCATTCCAGAGTTTCACGGACCAAGTCCTTTTGTTGCTACCATTTGGGACTCTAAAGTTCCTCCAACCTTCCAAATCCTCCTCCTTTCTTCTGCATTCCAGATCTGCAACCTCTGCCCTCCCCACAGTTCAGCTTTGCTGACTCTCTTTACCAATCCATTCTGGTAAACCTCATTTATTCAGTAATATTTCTAAGATCTTTAAAGAAGAAAAATTTAAGAAAAAAACTTAAATTTTTTTAAGTTAAAAAAAAAACTTAATTTTACCTGGGCAGCCTGTTAAATTTGTGCTTGACAAGCGCACACTTCCCATTACACTTCTCACAGGAATACTCAAGTTCTTCTGTCTGTAGAAAGACAGGAGGGAAAGATAAAGAAGCATGAAGCTGAATCAGCATTATCCCATTAAATGCTACTAATCTCTCCTATACTACTTCAGTGGAATGACAACTACGACCAGTTTAAATGTTTCTAGGGTCACAAACCTTACTAAATTAAGACCTAATCTTCAAAATATAGTTACAATATCATATCCTATTTCAGAATTTCTAATTCCCTTTTTTAATCAAGGAAACACCTTAATCTATGATAATAACTAGATAGTACAGCAGCAGATTCTCAACTTTTTCCCCATGAATACACAAGAACCATTGTCAAAAGTATATTCGAACTTAACATTTGGCCAGAGCAAATAAGATCACCTTCAGGTTAGTTGAAGTTCCTGGTCTATTAGATGTAACTACCTTTTCTTATAATGGAACTCAATCTTCTGGTAACATCCCACTAAAAACAACTGCTTTAAAAGAATCAAAGTTTGGGGTGGATATCATTACCTAGAGAAAACTGAAACAAATAAAAAAAAAAAAGGGGGGGGAGGGTAAAGATACCTAACAAAAACTTCAAATCCTATGGTAATTACAATAGTAAGGAATGATTAAAAGAAAAGGAAAAGCAGAGTATCTTTGGGTGGAGCTAAATGTTCATCATTTAAAGAACAGAAAGGTTTTCTTTTTTTAAACTTTAGAGAGATAATCCTGCTCATTAGCTACAACAAAACAAGAACCACTATTATAAAGACAAAGAGTTATAATCCTGTCCTGGCTGGTATAGCTCAGTGGATTGAGCACGGGCTGTGAACCAAAGGGTCACTGGTTCGATTCCCAGTCAGGGCACATGCCTGGGCTGTGGGCCAGGTCCCCAGAGGGGCAACATGAGAGGCAACCACACACTAATGTTTCTTTTCCTCCTTTTCTCTTTCCCTTCCCCTCTCTCTAAAAATAAATAGATTAAGTCTTTAAAAAAAAGTTACAATCCTGGCAAATTGCCATCAGTTACAAGGACTGCTACACAACAGGACCCAGAATATCTGTAACAGTATATTACAGACACAAATACGTATTTACAGCTTTGGATAAAACTGACTCTTCTTTGTTGTTTCTAACAGGGTACATACAACCTCAGGAAAGCAGAGTATTTTTTTATTCCTCAGATCTTAGTATACTCACTTATATAGTGTCTCCAATTTTAACCCACATTACCAAATTTTAGCATGTGTTATTTCTTATGCTTCAAAAATTAGTATTTATTTATAAATAGCTGCTTCCAAGGTTGTCTAAAACACTTGCTTTCAGTCAAATGTATAACTACTTAAGCAATCAGTTTTCTTCGAGTTAACAATAAGATTTATCAAGCTTTTAAAAATATCATTTATTATTTCTCATTTGTTTTCTCTGCAAGAATTTTGTCCATATTACGCCTTAAAGAAACCAACTTCAAATATGATTACTTATGATATATAAAATTTGGTTATGTGAAAATACCACAAGATACTACTTGCCCTAAAGAAAAGATCAAGAGAATCCTGAATTGACCGTGGAGGGAGTGGCTTTTTCCTTCGAGGAAGGTCAATGGAGAGGTCATTAAACTGCTCTCTTTTGGGAATAATCTCTCCACATCTGTAAGAATAAAAGAAGACAAATCTAAGCATTCAGAAGCCTAACTGCAACACAAAAATGAACACAAGTATACTTCAGAAACACTGTTCTCCTACAGAACTTATTAAGTACTGATAGAGTATGACTAGGCATAAGAAATATATAACATTTAAGACATATTTACTTTAACCCTTATTAAATAAATACAGGCAAAACCTCAACTGTAAGTATTTAAGCACTTTCATAAATGTGAAAAGGCCTCTAGGTACCAAGATCCTGGCATTTTGGAAAAAAGGCAGGAAGCTACTTTGGTTAGAACAGAATGAGCAAAGGAAGATTGGTAGGAGATGAAGTCAGGGTTACAAAGAGAGTACTGACAGAACTAATTTCCATTTTAAATGATCACTTTGACTAATGTGTTTAAAACAGACCACAGAGAAACAAGAATGGAAACACAGAGACCAGTTTAGAAGGAAAGCAACAATCTAGGCAAGAGATGATAGTAGCAGAGTCCAAGGCAGTGGCAGTGGAGGTAGTAAAAAGGGGTCAGACTCTGGATGTACTGTGAACAGCTGAAATGGTTTGTTGACATTAAATGTACCAGTGCAGGAGAAAAAAGAGTTCAGAAGTACATTTATAAACTGTCATTACTAAGATAGGGAAGACTACAGGAGGTTTTACAGGGCATATTAAGAACTTTAATTTTAGATATTTTAAGTTCTTCAAATGGAAAGTTCATAATTCTTCATATTTGAGGATATACCAGAATGCCATATAATAATTAAAAACCAGTCAATTAAAAAAAATAGGCATTTTGGCAAACTGACCAAACTAACCTACAGCAAGAAGGAAAAGAGACTAAATGTGGAAAATTTCAATGAGGAATAAGATATATAGAATTTCCCTTCAGCCAGAAATTATTTTGTGTTTAAAGAGCAATCTGAAAGAAAATTATTACCAAAGCAAGGAAGGCAAGGCCTTTGAGGAGACAACTGTAGCACTGCAGCTATAGCCCACAGAACCACGTAGCCTCCCACACCTGCCACTCCTGGGCCACTGTTCAGCGTAGCTGCCTGCTGCGCCCACATCCCGCGAGCAATGTCGCTTCACGCACCAGCGCACACATCGTAACTGGACACAGGACATTCGGGTGCTGCACAACTGCACTGCCTGACTGATGCTATTGGCGCAATGCAGCAGCCACCACTTTGATGTGGTCTTTTTTTTTTTTTTTTTTCCGTCTTTACCTTGAGGACATTTTTTCATTGTTTTAGAGAGAAAAGAAGAGAGGAAGGGAGAAAAACATTGATGCGAGAGAGAAACGTTGATTGGTTGCCTCCTGTACAGGTCTGAATTGGAGGTGAACCTGCAGCCTAGGTTATGACCTGACTGGGAATAGAACCTGCAACCTTTTGGTAATGGGACAACGCTCCAACCAAGTGAGCCACACTGGCCAGGGCTTGATGTGGTGTTCTTTCCTCCTATGGACATTTCTATCAGAAGCGACTGGAATTTGCCCATCAAAAGAAATTTGGTTGGTACTCCCGCAATTAAACGAAATAAAAATTAAACACTGCTTTTCCCTCCGACTTGAACAAATTTTGTTCAGAAAGAACACTGGAAGAAAGGGAAGGATGGCTGTCTGTCATATTATGGAGCTGGCCAAGAACTTCATTCAGTTTTTTTCTGTATGACAGCTCTAGCAGTGATTAGTTGTCTTTAACTTCATTCAAAATAATTTTGTTAGATTGTATTGTGACAGCTGCCACCATCGGTGTGCATTAAAAAAAAATTTACCAAAACTGGTGAGAATTTTGTGTAGCCATTTTAATACTGAAGATGGAAGAAAATACGCAACATTTTTGGCATGTTATGCTTTATTATTTCAAGGAAGTTAAAAACACAACTGAAACACACACAAAAAATTTTTGTGCAGTGTATGGAGAAGTTGCTGTGCCTGATCAAACATGTCAAAAGGGGTTTGTGAAGTTTCTTGGTACTACTGACATTTTGGCCAAGTAATTCTTGCTGTGGGGCTGTCTTATGCATTGGAAGATGTTTAGCAGCACCCCTGGCCTCTCCCACTAGAAGCCAATAGCAGGAGATAGCCAACATACTCAAAATATCCAAATCAATAAAGTTATTGGTGAAAATAAAAAAATGTGTCTTTTATTTAATGGAAAAACTAAATGAACCCTTTGGCTCATTTAGCCAAACATTAACTGCTGATGGGCTCTCTAACTTTTACAAGAAGATACGCTGCATTTGTAAGACCAGAACTTTTTCTTTAAAAAGTAACATCCTCTGAAGGAAAAAGGGCTGAAGAAATCGTGAAGTTAAGAAACGTCACAGATTAGTGTCCACATTCCACATCACTGTTCGAAATTCTAACCAAAAATACTAGAATGTTTAAGTGGAAGAGACCTCAATGAACACTATCATTTTGAATACCCTAAGAAAAACAGACATATATGGAAGCCAGAAAATGGAGAGCAAATACATATATGGGTACTGAGTATTTCTACAAAGAGTTCCAGCACTAATGGAAGAAAAGCAATGTTTAAAGAATAATTTCCTTAAACTAAAGAAAACACTAAATTTTCAGATGAAAAAGGTCCATCATATTAAAAGCAAGATTAACAAAAAGTGTCTATACCCAGATGTACAAGTGCAACTATGAATTTCCAATAAGTAACAAAGACTTTCAGGAAGAAAGAGATTACCCACAAAATCAGGTTTCTCCCAAGTGACATAGAGTAACAAGATACAACCAAACGGTATACACAATATTTTGAGGGGTAAGGTAACAGTGACTGAATGATTCTATATTAAGTCATTTATGAAAGCCACATAAATAATTCTCACTTATATAGAGCTGTGAAGAATTCTACTGCCTTTGAAAAACTGTATTCAGAGATGTACTATCAATAACTGGAAGAGCCCTGACCGGTGTGGCTCAGTTGGTTGGGTGTCATCCAGCAAAACAACAGATCGCTAGTTAAAGTCCCAGTCAAGGCTCATGCCTAGATTGCAGGTTTGGTTCCCAGTCAGGGCAGATGTGAGAGGCAACTCACCAATGTTTTTCTCACTCTCTTTCTCCCTCCCTTTACCTTTCTCTAAAAAAGTAAATAAAATAAATTCTTGAAGATTAATTAAAATAGAACCTTTTAATATGATATAATGAACATGGAATTATTTAAATGTAGAAAGTAGATTTGAGTAACTAATGTAAACATGGTTAAAAAGCATTGAAGTTAAAAAATATTCAATTTTTGATCTATTTTATAAGAATCCATTATTAAAAATGATTTTTTGGTTCAACAAAATATGCGACTAAGAGGAACAAGTCTTTTCAGGGTAAAAAGAACAAGTCCTCTCAAAGAACCTGATGTTCCACACAGTGATAAAAAGAAAACACACACACACCACCCCCTCAAAGAAGGGGCAGATTCAAAATGAACTGTTACCAGTAAAGCAGATGACAAAACATTTAAGTATGCCTTAGTTCTCAACCAACCAAGAATTTTTATAAAAGATAATGACATTGGAAAAAGATGTTTGTATTTAGGTTTTTCCATGACATAGGAATAAAGATAAGAATTAAAACTTCCGTGAGAGTTTCAATCACTTGCCATAAAGAATTAAAAGGAAAAGGAGGCTTCTTGGAGACTACTTACGCTTTACAGATAATGGAGTGCTGAACCTCAAACTCCAAATTAGTAATAACAGGGCACGTATATACTCTAGTGGCTGATGTATCTGGTAAATTTTCTTCTCCAGGAACAGGTTCAGTTTTCCAAGTTTTATTTAATTTTTCCATATCTTCTTTTAGCTGATCTAAGCACTGACTTAAAAATTCATGAGCATCCTAAGAAGGCATAATATCTTTTATCAGATCAAAACATTTTTTGTCACAGTAACAGCTTATCAATACTGTGATTTACTAAAACCAAGCACTTGAAAGTCAACACATTATATTAACAAGGTCAAATTTACTCTAACAGTTTACATACTTTGTGAATAAGAACAAATGATGAATTTTATATTTACTATCAGTGAGATTAGTATGAATAAATAATTGAATCACTTCTTGTTTTTTTTAAAGTTGATTTTAAAAAATAGCCTTTGTAGCTAAAATAGCCCAAGTTGCTGCACTGATAGACCACATGTGTATTATTAAAAGATGATAAAATACATAGAAGAGTCACACTGAACCTTACGAGAAATCCTCAGGTTTTCCAACCTGTGATGAACACAACATATGTATACAAATCTCACTTTAAAATAAAAATACACACTAAGTGTATTTAGTGTGTTTTAGGTAACGCACTGAAATCACTTCAAGTTCCCCTATTTCTAAAGTGTTTAAAAACCGCTGATACTCACATTCTGCATATAACCAGAAAATCTCTCTGCTGTAGCAGAAATGGCATTTTTAACTTTCTTGAGTAAATCTTTTTTGGTGTCTGAATTACAGGTATCTTTTTTAACAAGCAAGTGTGCAAAGCGCCTGGTAAAACAAAAGAGAGCAGTTTCACATGTTTTATAAAACACTGAATGGTATTATATTTTAAAGACTGTTAACATGGCACATTAAATTTTAAGTGTCTAACAAGGGGAGGGTAAGAAGAGTATGGGAAATGTAGAAGCCAAAGAACTTATAAGTATGACACATGGACATGAACTAAAAGGGTGGAATGTGGCTGGGAGGGGGTGTGCAGGGTGGAAGGGATTGAAAGGGGAAAAATGGGACAACTGTAATAGCATAATCAATAAAATATATTAAACATTTTTTAAGTGTCTAAAACTCCATTATTCTATGATCAATAAGGTAAAAGGTTACTTAGTAAGTACATAACAGTTACCTGATAAGTGCATTGGGTGGAATTTTCTTCCATGGGATACCTTGTTTAAGCAAGTCATTTGCAAATGACTGGAGTGAAAACAGAGATTGTAAAATAGCATTCATGTAGCAGGTATTTCCCAAGTTGGAGAAGCTGAAAACAAACAAACAAACAAAAAGTTTTGAAGACGACGGCAGTTCCTAAAGAATGTTCACTAGAGCAGGGGTTTCTCCAGTAAAGAATGTATCAGAATCACCAGGAGGGCTTATTAAAAGACATACTGCTGGGCCCCAACTTCAGAGTTTCTCATTCTGGACAAAGGTGCAAAAACATGCATTTCAGAAAGGATCTCAGTTGATGGTGATGCTGCTGGTCTGGGGACCACACTATGAGAACCACTGCATTATAATGATTTAGTTTTATCTCAAGGAAAACCATACACTTTCAAATAAACACTAAAAAGGACTAGGGAGTATACTGGCTGAAGCAGCTTAGTCAGTTGGGCATCGTCCTACGAACCTAGCTGGTGAGTATTCCTGGTTGGGCTGCACGCCTGGGTTGTAGGTAAAGGTCCCCTGGGGTGTGTGTGGAAGGCAACCAATGGATGTTTCTCTCTCACACTTGCCCTCTCTTTCTTCCTCCCTTCCCCTCTCTTAAAAGAAAATTAGTAATGAAATAAAAAAATAAAAAAGTAAAAATTTTAAATATGTACCATATTTTTCCGACCATAAGACACACCTAGGTTTTAGAGGAGGAAAATAGAAAAAAAAAATTTGAAGCAAAAATGTGGTAAAATATTTAATAACGTAAGTAATGTAATATTTCACCAATGTAAATGTAAACAGAACTCAACGGCAGCATTAACAACCATTATTCCTCCCAAATTGGGGGTGGTGGTGGTAGTGGTTGCGTCTTATAGTCCAAAAATATGGTATATACATAAAAAGGACTGGGGACTTATCCAAAGAGCTATTTGTTCTTAGAACCACTGGGTTATAGAATACAGGGTGGGGCAAAAGTAGGTTTATAGTTGTGAGTACACAAAACAGAGTTTATTCTTATATTATTATTTCTTAATCACTGTATTTTCTACAGGAACAACTGTAAACCTACTTTTGCTTCACCCTGTACATGTTGTGTTTAGCTTTAATGGGTACTACACCACTATTTTTTTTAAGGTTTATTTTATTCTCATTTGAGGACACGTTCATTGAGTTTTAGAGAGGAGGGAGAGAGAGAGAAGCATGGATGGGAGAGAGAAACATCATTCAGTTGCTTCTCACACAAACCCCAACAGGGGACTGAACCTGTAACCTAGGTGGCTGCTCTGACCAGGAATTGAACCAGTGACCTTTCCTGTACTGTCTGAGAGGCTGAGATTGCTAAAATTTTAGGACCCAAAAGGAGGGAGACATGCAAAGAGCTCCAGACATCTACACAGAACACTGCTTGAGAATTTAGCTAAATAGCAACCTGTGCATGCTTAGGGTAAAGCCCCATGACACCAGGCAGAACTTCAAGGAAAAGAATGCTTACTGGAGAGCTATTAAACCAATCTCCAGCTCTCATGATAGATCTAAAATTGTTTGAGTTGCCACTAGTCAGAGGGAACTGAGAGACCTGGATGAATTCATAGGGTATTGGTAGAAACCCCCGAGGGTCCATGCTTTAGGGAAGGAATGAAATTAACCTTAGAGTAAAGGCCCCTCTAGATTTGACCCCAAAAAGCTGAACTACAAGTCTTAAAACAATCAAATCTAATTATAGACAGGGATATTAAAAGTTATATATGCTTCATGTGATCAAGAATGAGAAGGAAAACATAAACACAATGAGGAAAAAAATGAAAGACAGTTAAAAGCCCCAAATTAAACTTCTAGAGCTAAAAGAACAATATTTGAAATGAAAATTTTACTGAATGAGATTAATAACATATTAAACATCAAAGAAGACAGTATCAGTGAACTTTAAAACTTAGCAATACAATATAAAAAATGAAGTATCTATACATTTTAATATAAAATTGCATTTTATATAATTTAAAATAAAATATACCCATATATGTTGTAAATTATTAAATATAATATGTGATTATATTTTATATAACCTTTTGTATCCTTACATATTCTACTTTATTGGGTATCAGGATGGCAATCCCTGCTTTCTCATTGTTTCCATTAGACTGCTAAACCTCTAGCTTCTTTTCTTTATTTTAAAACTTTAAAAATCACTGTTCTAAGATTATCTCTAGTACATAGCACAGTTCAGTTTTGCTTTATGAGCAAATTTGAAAACATTTTTCTTTATTATATGTTAGCCCAATCACATTTCTTTTTTTTTTAAAGGAAAGTTGAGTGAGCTTTTATCTTTTTTTTAAAAAAGATTTTATTTATTTATTTATCTTTAGAGGGGAAGAAGAGAGGGAGAGAAACATCAATGTATGGTTGCCTTTCATGCATCCCCTGCTGGGAACTGGCCTCCAGGGAACCAGTCTGCAACCCAGGAATATGCCCTGACTGGGAACCGCAATCCTCTGGTTTGCAGGCCTGTGCTCAATCCACTGAGCTACACCAGCCAGGGCTCCAATCACATTTCTTGATATTACTGATATATCTGGACTCAACTCTGCCATTTTATGTTATAATTTTACTTACCTATGTGGTATGTTTTAGAAATATTTCTGTTCATTAAAAAAATACTTGTATTTTTTTACTTTAGTGGTTATATCTATATTTATACTTTCTTCCTTGTCTCTATAGCTTATTTTTGAATTATGATAAAATATACATAACATAGAATCTACCATTTTGAGTGTGTAATTCAGTGGCATTAAGTATATTCATAATGTTGTGGAACCATCACCACATTCTATTTTCAGGCCTTTTTCATCTTCTCAAACAGGAACTCTGTCCCCATTAAGTAATATGTAAGTCTCCATTCCCCTACCCCAACCTGTGGTAGCTGCTATTCTACTTCCCGTCTCCATGAATTTTACTCCTCTAGATACCTTATACAAATGAAATCATGTAGTATTTGTCCTTTCGCATTTAGCTTGTTTCATTTAATATGACATCCTCAAGGTTCACCCATGCTACAGCATGTGTCAGAAGTTTCTTCTTTTACAAATAAATTTTTAAAGTATTTTATTGATTATGCTACTACAGTTGTCCCATTTTTTTCTTCCCCTTTATACTCCTCTGTCCAGTACTCCACTTCCCTCTAGCATTCCTCTCCTTAGTTCATGTCCATGGGTTGTATATTTAAGTTCTTTGGCTTCTCCATTTTCTATATTATTCTTAACCTTCTGGTCTATTTTGTACCCCCCAATTATGCTTCTTATTCCCTGTACCTTTTCCTCACTCTCCCCCTGCCCTCCCCCCATTGATAAACCTACATGTGATCTCCATTTCTGTGAATCTGTTCCTGTTCTAGTTGTTTGCCTAGTATTTGTTTTTAGGTTCAGTTGTTGATAGTTGTGAGTTTGTTATCATTTTGGGCCTTGGTGATAATGAACTCTTTTAACTTGACCTTAGCTGGGAAGCATTTATTTGCCCTTCTATTCCAAATGATAGCTTTGCTGGATCAAGTAATCCTGGATGTAGGTCCTTGCTTTTCATGACTTGAAATACTTCTTTCCAGTCCCTTCTTGCCTGCAAGTTTTCTTTTGAGAAATCAGCCGATAATCTTATGAGAACTCTTTTGTGGGTTAACTCTCTTGCTCTTTTCTCTTGCTGCTTTTAAGATACTCTCATCTTTATTTTTTTTTATTTTAATTGTTGTTCAAGTACAGTTTTCTGTAGATTCTCTCATCTTTAATCTTGAGTAATTTAATTATGATGTGTATTCTTGTGTTCCTGTTTGGATTCAACGTATATCCGACTCTCTGAGCTTCCTGAAGTTGTATGTCTATTTCCTTTACCAGGTTGGGGAAGTTTTCTTTCATTATTTGTTCAAGTATGTTTTGAATTTCTTGTTCTTCCTCTTCTCCCTCTGGCACCCCTATAATTTGGATGTTGGGATATTTAAAACTGTCCTGGAGATTTCTAAGCTTCTTCATTTTTTTGAATTCTTGTTTCTTCATTCTGTTCTGAGTGAAGGTTTATTTCTTCCTTCTGTTCCAAATCTTTGAGTCCCAGTTTCCTTACCTACACTGTGGGTTCCCTTACCTTCACTGTGGGTTCCCTGTACATTATCCTTTATTTCACTTTGTAGAGCCTTCATTTCTTCCTTTATTTTGTGATATACTCAATCATTTTTGTGAACATCCTGATTATCAGTGTTTTGAACTCTGCATCTGATAGGTTGACGATCTCCTCACCACTTAGTTCTTTTTCACAGAGTTTTTATTTGTTCATTTGGGCCATATTTCTTGGTCTCAGTGCATCTGTTATGTTGTAAGGTGTGAGACCTTAGATATTCACCAGGGAGGGGAAACCCGCTTCTCTGCATTGTGGCTTTATATGTGGGAGGAGGGGTTAGAGAGGGAACGGTGCCGCTTGTTTGGCTCTCACCTGCTTTCAGTCACTTCCCTTGCTTCCTGCAAGAGGACTGTGCCCTTTCAGGTGCTGTCCTGGTGCTAATTCCTGGGCGTGTGGGCTTATGTACATTCCAGGACCCTGTGGGTCCCTCCAATGGACTCTCCTGTGAGACTGGTGGTTTCTTCCATTATAGCAACCCCCACAGAATTTTACAGCAAGAGATTTTTGAGACTTTCTTTCCCCATGCTAGAACCGAGTTGCACCGTCTCCCCAGCTGTCCCTTCTGTTTTATCCCCAAGCGAATCTGCTGCCTTGCTGCACATCCTCTCCATCCCTCCTACCAGACTGAATTAGTGTTTCTTTTTTAATTCCTTGGTTGTTGGACTTCCATACAGTTGTATTTTTTGGCAGTTCTGGTTGTGTTTTGTTTTTAAATTGGTTGTTATTCTTCTTTTGGTTGTGCAAGAAAGTGAAGCATTACCTACACTTCCATCTATATTTGTACTATTTTTTATAAGTGCCCTTATCTATCATTTCTTAAGTCTATATTTATAATAGACTGTACTTTAAATGGCATCCTTTGACTTACACCTATTACTTACAACACAATTATATTACTCTTTCCCTTTTGTGGCTCTCCTTCCATTTTCTTTTAGTTACAATTGTACTTCCTTGTCAGATGATTTAATGTTTATATACCATCCTCTATGTGTTCCCACTATTGTTTTAGTCTTAGCTCTCCAGTTGAAGAGATGGAATGCCTGCCATTTATTTTTCATCAATACTGCCCTCATCACCTCTTGTTTGAATAAAGCTTGTACTCTAGAGTCCTCAGGAACAGCATATTTTTATACAGCACCTGAGTTTTTCCATTTCAAAACTTATTTTCTCCAGTTTGCATACAAAATCCAATGTTCATCCCTTCTTTCATCAAGCTTCCTGAAAATGATGTTCTTTTATTATCTAGCTCTGAATAATAATGTTGAAAAGTTTGGAATCTATATTTCTTGCCCTTGTCTTTAAAGTCTAATAGTTGTACTAAGACATATCTTGATCATTCAATTTTCCAGGTAGGGAGGGCTTTTTCAATTTATAGATTCAGTAATTTTATTTCGGGAAAGTTTTCCTGGGTTATAGTTTTAAATACTAGCTCTGTTTCACTGTTTTGTTTTTTCTTCAGGGACTCTAATTATACATAATTTAGACTTTCCTTGGCTGTTACCCAATTCAAAAACTTTCTCTCTTACAGTTTATACTTTATCCCATCATCTTCCTTCCTTGATTATTTTTGTTTTCTTCCACGACTCTTATTATTTTCATTTAAACTTGTTTTCCCTTTGGGGATCTTTAATGTAGACTTAATTTCTAATACAATGTTGTTTTTCTTCTCCTCTGTCTTTCTGAGTTCAAGCAACTGTCATTTTCTTCTTGATTGTCCATTTTGATTCTTAGTTGCAATTTCTAATTCATGGTGTTTTCATATCTTCAAATAATTCACGTCTGAGTGTTATATAACAATTTTCTTACAGTTCACATTGGTTTGGGGTTAGCATTTTTATTGGCCTTAATTTTTTTATTCATGCTAATTTTTTTCCCTTACAGTTTGGCATAGAAAGGGCCTTCTTTTTTTTATGTTCTGATTCACTTGGTGGATAGGGTTCCTATTTCAAGCATATCCTCTTCTGTTAGTTTAGTAAAATGTAATTTCTTTAATGGGTTATGGTGGTGGTAAGAAAGAAGGGATAAGAATGTCTTGTCTACCTTTTATTTCAGCACAATCCTTAATTTTCCTCCCATTTTTTTCTTTTGCTTCTAAACCAAGTCTTCAGATTTGGCTGATTCTTTCCCCTAAAAGTAATGCTGCTCTGAGAATGTTACTTCTGATAACATCTACTTTCAAGCTCTTACCTGTAATGACTGGTAAGAACTACCAAGATCCAAACCTATGTTCACCATTATGTATGGCTGTCTCTGGTGTGTCCCCTGCCGGGAACTGGCCTGCAACCCAGGCATGTGCCCTGACTGGGAATCAAACCGCAGTTGTTTGGTTTGCAGGCCTGCACTCAATCCACTGAGCTACACCAGCCAGGACACTTTTATTTATTTTATTATTACTTTATTCTTATTATTTTAATTTTACTTTATTATTTTATTTTACTATTATTTTATTTTATTTATTATTTTATTTTATATTTTATATCTTATCTTATCTTTAGAGGGGAAGGGAAGGAGAGAGGGACAGAAATGTCAATGTATGGCCCGCGCTCAATCCACTGAGCCACACCAGCCAGGGCATTACAGGTCTTTTTTTATGGATTCGGGTCTATTAAGTTATCCTTTCCCTGGCAGTACCTTATTTAAAACAGTAGAAAATGGGAATACTAATGGAATCTGGTTCATTTCTTTACTTAGAAGGTAGATTAAATATCACTTTCAAGAAGCTTGATGAAAGAAAGAATGAACACAGATTTTGTGCCAATCTAAGCTTTTAAGTATGCAAGCTGGAGAAAACAGGTTTGAAGTGAAATGTGATGGTAGTCTCACCCGGTAGTTTTCTATTTCTTTTTTTCGAACAAGTCCTTTGTCCTGAGTACATAGCCTACTTGAAATAGTATACTCTAATGCCTGAAAGAAGTGTGAAAAGAGGAAAACTGTATTTCTAGAGATTGGTACAGATATTAAAGAAATACAGAAGGTAGACAGGGAGACTGGAGCACCAAGAGTAACTCTTAAGGACATCAAAAGGCTCTGAAGGACGTAGATGATAGAGACCAGAAGCAGACTTATAAAATAAACAAAAGGAGGCTATAAAAGTGAGACAAATAAAGTCAAGGTAGGCAAGATCTGGATGAAAAATGATCATAAAATGGGATGGATAAGACTAACATAACAATTTGAGGCAGACCAATCATGAAAAACAAAAGAAATTAAGAATTAATCGAAAGGTAAACATTTTAGAAGACAGAGCAGAAAAGAAGAGGCTCAGAGAAAAGAACAGTAAGCAGAGAAGAAAGTGAGATGTTTTCACTACAAATTTTATGCTGTTCTCTGTTAAGGTATGAAGCATATAAACTACCATGGATAAGCCAAATTGGTAAACACCACTCAGTCAAGTAAAAAAATTATCTTAAAGCTGGTAGAAAAACAGAGTAATTTAGGTAAAATTAAAAACAAACAAGCAAATAGGTTAGGGAAAGGTAATTTGGTAAGTGTAATCAAAGATTTCGCCTGACTGGTGTGGCTTAGTTGTTTGGGCGTCGTCCTACAAAAATAAAGGTTGCTGGTTCAATTCTCAGTCAGGGCACACGCTTGTGTTGCAGGTTCGGTCCCTAGTAGGGGCGTATATAAGAGGCAACCAGCATATGTTTCTCTCTCACATTGATGCTTCTCTCCCTCCCTTTCCCTGTCTCTAAAAATAAATAAAATCTTAAAAAAAAAAAAAATTCAAAGTGCCTTCCTTCATCTTACTAATTATACTTTCAAGAATATTTACTTCAGGGAAATTCCAACAAATATTAAAAACGTGAATATAAAAATCTTCATTCTAGTTTTGATTATAATGGAAAAAAGAAAAATCTAAATGCATACTAACGTGGTTGAAGGTTATATATTAATAATAAGAGGATGTTCATGTTAATGTGAAGTGGAAAAAAATGAGGGAACAGAGAAGTAACATAACACAGTGCCTAAGAACACAAGTGGAGTCCAACTGCCTAGATTTACTACTGCTGTATTACTGACTATATATCGTCTTGAGTAAGTTAATTAACTTCTCCAAGGCTTAGTGACTTAATCTATAAAAGTAGACTTTTAATATATCTAACTTACTGAACTGTTGCAATGATTTAAAGAAAAAAATCCATTAAAAAACTTAGCACAGAGCCCTGTGGCTAGAGTGGCTCAGTGGATTGAGTGCAAGCCTGTGAACTCATAGGTTGCTGGCTCAATTCCCTGTGAGGGTACACGCCTGCGTTGCAAGCCAGGTCCCTGGTTGAAGGTATGAGAGAGACAACGGAATGATGTTTCTCTCCCTATCTATCTCCCCCCTTCCCCCCTCTCTAAAAATATAGAAAGAGAAAGAAAGAAAATCTTCTTAAAAAATATGTCTGACTATCCTATGAAGTAATCTAAAAATTGTGCACAACCAGACTTTACATTTCACATAATAAACACTTTAGGTAAGATACTATTATTATTATACTGTGATCTTATTTTTGTATTAAATAAAAATATAAGAATGAAAGGACTGGGGAGGATATAAATAAAACTTAATACTGAATTATCTCAGAAGTAGGAAGAAGTATATGGGATTGGAGACTACTCATTTTCTGCTTTATGATGAATATTTTATATGTATATATATTCAAAGTTCAAAAATTTGACTAGATAATGAACTTATTTATGGATGTGATAACTCTTTAATAAATAAGCAAGTATTTTATAACTATACTTAACATGATTCCTTTCAACATTTTTTATACCAATGAAAACATACTTCAGTTGAATCACTTTATAAAAAGAAAGCAAAATAAAGAAATTTACCTACCCCTGAAGTTGCTGTTGGTGGGAGGAAAGGGGTACTCTTGGTTTGTTCCAGCCGGTATAATCTTGATTACACCTCAGTTTTTTAACAGAAAGAGGAGCCGGCTGAGGAAGAAATCCCAAACTTCTTTTGGCAGAGGGAATTTGGCTTGAAACGTTAGTCCTAAAGACAAAAAAAGAAAAGAATAGAAAATGAAGAAGCAAAAGAATTTTAAATGATACTTTTTTCCCCTAGTAGATTCAGAGAAGTCAATGTCTAAGGAAAAAAATCTAAATTTGGGGAACTATCAATAATAATGATCAATTCAGGAAAAATTCCACAAGTTCAAGTCTGTTGACAGACTGAAGAGGCAGGTAATATTGTACCTACTTAACCTACAATCAAAGTGATCCAAGTAAATGGCTATTCAGATTTATAGTCAAAAACTATAAATATAGTTTTACTTCTTATTCATTTTTATCTACTTTAAGAAGATCATGCATTAGTTTAGCTGGCCTTAAAAGTTTGGGCAGTTAACTTTTTCCACTATTACAAAAAAAATAACACAACCAATATTACCCAGCCTCTTTAAGAATTTCCTCCAGTTTACATGCTGAGAAGTGAAAATGGTAGAAGTATTTTTAATTTTCCTAAGATAGTGTGATTTTTTCCAAAAATCCACCAATAGTGAATTTCCATTTCCTCACATTGTCTCCCATTACATTACCAATCTAATGAGTAAAACATGATCTCATTGTTATTTTCTTTTCCTGATTACTACTGAAATAAAAAATGCTTTTATAATATAATTGTTTCCTCTTCTCTGAATTGCTTTTTGTAAGCTCTTGGGTTATATATTGGGTTCTAAAAGATTTGTGATTTTTTTACACAGTCTACATTCTAATCCTTGGTCTATTAGATATTTTAAGTTTCAATTTCTGAATAGTAAAATTTATTATTTTTCTTTTATAGTTTCAATTTTCGTGTCTTAAGAATCATTCTGTAGCATAAGTTCACAGAAATATTTTCCTGTGTTAACATTTTAAAACCTGTTTTGGCTCCTATTTAGGTCTTTAGTCTGCTTGGACATTTATTTTTTGTTATGTTGTGAAACAGGAATGTGATTTATGTTTTTATAAAAGAAAACTATCTCCAAACAATTTTCTGGGGAGGAAGGGTGGGCTGGGATGGGAGTAAAAAAAAAAACTGTACTTGAACAATAATTAAATAAATTTAAAATATATATATATATATAAAATAAAATAAAATACAGAAAAAAATTTTCTGTCTGGCTAGGCAATCTAATAGTAAATATCTGGTTTTGTTACTTTAAAAATATTGTGAAACAATATTTATACAAAAAAGTATATAAAAATCAAATGTGTACCACTGTGGTGCAGGATGTCAATAGTGAGATAAGTTGCATGTGTTTTATAAAAACTGCACTTTCAATTTTACTCTGACCTTACAACTATTCTAAAAAACAAGGTTTATTAATTTTTAAAAAAGTAAAATGTAGAGGTTAACAAATTTTTATAAGGCAAATACCTGTGTAACCATCATTAATGTCAAAAAGCCCCAAATGCCTCTTCCCAAACACAACCCTGTTCCCCTACCCTAAAAGGTATCATTAGCTTTCTCAGTGTTATTCCTTTCAGTGAATGCACTCCTAAATACTGTAGTTTGGACAATGCAGGGTATATTTATTTCCACGTTCTTGCTCTCAAACTATCTGCATCTTCTTATTGCAGTTATTTCTTTTATAAATAGCAAATAGATTATTCTTCTTCTTTAAATGTTAATTAATTCAAAATCCAAGCTATCCTTCTCTTTAAAACATTTAGTATATTTTACATATAATACCATTACTGATTTGTGTTAATAACTGTTTAAAAATCTTTGTCTACTAATTGTCATGTTTGTAATTTCTGCCTCAGTACTTGTGAATTTTATCTTGTTGGGTGCTCGGTATTTTAGACTTCTATAAACATTCTTGAATTTTATTCCGGGACGTGGTTAGGTTACCTAGAAACAGTTTGATATATTTTAGTCTTGTTTTTAAGGTTTGTTATGTGGAACCAGAGCAGCAATTGGTCTAGGGATTGTTTTCCTCACTAATGCGGCAAGGCCTTTCTTAGCATTCAAACTGCTTTACAGAACTGGATCTATGCCTGGCTTTATGTGAACTCCCTAGTATTATTCCCTTAGATCTTTTGGGTGGTTCTTTCCCTGGGCTTGGCTAGTTTTCTCACCAGCAGAAGCTGATTGGCACTCAACTGAATACTCAAGATAGACCTTGTGCAGATCTCTGCAATTGTTTCTCTGTGCAGTTTTCCCTTCTGGTACCCCATGTGAACTCCAGCTCTTTGGTCTCCCTGGACTCCTAGCTCCATTTCCTGAACTAAGGAAGACACAAGGTTTTGCATGGTTCCCCCCACCCTGTGTGGCAGTCTGAGAACTTTCTCTAGGAAGAATGCTCGAGGGGCAGTCATAAGGCTAATTTCATTTGCTTCCCATCTCTTAGGGATCAATGTCCCCTTCACTGCCTCATTTCCAATGTCTTAAGATCCACTGCTTCAAATGATTTGTTCAGGTTCTTAGTTGTTTCATGGAGGAGGACACTCTGGTCCCTGTTATTCCCTCTTGGCCAGAAGACCAAGGAAGTCATCTTTAACCTTCTAATATGTCTAACTTGTTGTGGCCTCCTCTCAAACAAGAAGTTAAAATATTTTAATTTTCCTGTATTCTTCCTCACTCCTGAATTTCTTTATATATATATATATATATATATATATATATATATATATATACACACACACACACACACACACACACACACACACATACACACACACACACACACATATATTAAGATTTTATTTATTTATCTTTAGAGGGGGAAGGAGAGAGGGAGAAAAATATCAATGTATGGTTGCCTCCCATGTGTCCCCTGCTGGGAATTGGCCTGCAACCCAGGAATGTGCCCCGACTGGGAATTGAACTGCGATCCTTTGGTTTGCAGGCCCGTGCTCAAGCCACTGAGCTACACCAGCCAGGGCTCTTCTTGTCTATATTTTATTATTACTTTTTTGCTTTTAATACTACCACATCCTCGTTTTATAAAAACTACCAAAATCTATTTCCTGCATGGAATAACCCTGTAAGAATAGTAAAGCAGTTGCCATGGAAAGAGGAAATGCACAACTAGGAGTTGGTAAACAAAGGGGAATTTACTTTTCACTCTAAGCACCCTGTCACTTAGTTTCTATCATATGTACTTATTAGTTATACAAAAAAGTTTTTAAAGTATTTAGATTATTTAAAAATTATTTTGCACACTGCTATTTCTTACTTACACTCTTTTTGATGAATAAATTATCTTTGTATTATCTAAAAACAGCATTATTTGTCTTCATTCTTCAATCACAATTCAGCTGGGTATAGAATTATTTGATGCTATTACTTCATGTCTTCTGTCCCTACTGTTGCTAATGTCAGTCTGCTTTACCCTTACAGATGACAAATTCTCCTGATAGCCTTAAAGAATTCTTTACCCATCATATTCTACACTGTGGATTTTTTAAAAAAACGTATTTGCTGTTTGGCATATGTTGAGGTGGCTTTTCCATGTGTGGGCTTTTATCATTTTCATCTATTATTTGATAAATTCCTTGTTTTAATTCTCCTTAGTCTTTTTTCCTCAAAATGCTATGAAGACATGGAAGGTAGACCAAGGAACCCAATATAAATCTCTTAATTTCATTTACATTCACCATCTCTGCTTTGCTGCATTACATGATCATGCCTGCTTGACCTGCTTAGTAGCTGCCTTAGTCTGGACCTCTCTCTAATCTGCATGGGACTTCCCGCTGGGGGTTCAGAATTATTGTCCCTGTGCAGGTAAGATTAAAGCAGACACCATTCACTGCAATTCCCATTTCTGTGTATTTTTGCTCTCTGCTCAGGGAACATCAGGCAAGCAGCACATTTATGGTTTTGCCCTGATTTACTAGTACAGAGAGCAGTTCTAGACACCTACCTTCATTTGGCTTCACCAGTTCTAGTCTGGGGAAAGTTCAGTTCCCAATCTCATGTTAGTTTTGAAGACCCAGCCCTAGATACATGACTCCTGTCTATGTTTTCCATGTGCCTTATGGAGTCAATCTTTATTCAACATTAGTTTTCTCACTGATCTTGAAATTTTCACCCTATCTTTGAGTGCAGCTTTGCATTAAAAGAAAATTTTAATGCAATGAATACACTCATTCTATTATTCTGAGAAGAAATTTGTACTGCATTTAATCATTTGTAAACCAAATTTAGAAATAAAAAAAAAACCCAGATTCCTTAAAAACCCTTCTAATAAACAGAAATAAGCCAAATTTCCTCCGTCTTAAATTCAAGTAACTTAGTTACCATTGCAGTCGTAAAGTGCTTGAACAGATACCACCCAAGGCCTTATATACCTGTGTATTAACAAGCTGTTTACTTCACCTTAACCACTTTATACAAATAATCAAGATGTTTTTTTACCACTTTGATTTAAATTCTAGTAAAAACCAAAATATGACTTAATAGGTCATTCATTATATACCATATTTATTATATACCAGCACTACCCTCACTTTTTACATTTACCACGGACTCCTCCGTGCTGTACTCTGTAATCATGACTTCTTGACAAGTGCTTACCAGTTGTCTTATATATTTATATCCAACAGATCTCAAAACAATTAATAGATTTGGCAATTAAATTTCTGACTAGCCTTTTCCTATAATGTAAAACTTTTTTAAAAGAAAATGCCTTAACTTTTGATAGGCAGCTTAAAAAATATACAGGTGACAAAGGCAATTCATTGACATCTTAATATTTGGGATGATGAAGAATATATACACTAGTCTCAAATCTGATCATACTGCCCCTCACAAGCTGGGGGCTCAGTACAAATCTTCCTAGAACTCAGTTTATTCATTCCTTAAAAAACATAAAAAAGAAGAGCATAAACTAAAACATTTGTAGAGTACTTTCTAATTAAAATGTCATTAGTCTATGATTCTCATCAATTTTGTTATTTTAAATCAGGTATTCACTTTGAGTACACTTAAAGATGCAATAAGCCTTAACAATGTCAATGGAACATCTTACAAAGTTGATGTGGAAGAGAGAGAAGAAAGGCTGTTTACGAAGTCTACCCCATCATTTGAAATTCTGAAGGAGAGCTCTTCAGTTCTTCACAGGGCATATAACCGATGCATACCTGTCCAGATTAGTGCTGCCAGAAGAGTAGTCCTTGGATGCAGATCTGCTACCATAAAAGGATGATGACTGCAAAGGTAAAAGCCCTATAAACGAACAAACACAGGAACAACTTAATTCCTAACCAATTGCTGAAGCCCAATTAATAATAAAATTAAAATTATACATCAGGCCTGTTTTTACTTAATTATTTTCTCTCTTTCTTTTCATTAGTTATATAAAGGTCAAAAGATCAAATACTATGGAAAAGGTTACAATAGCAAAGAATACTTTCCTGCCCCATAAGCTCCAAAAATTTTGCTTCTAATTTCTAACCATTTTTTACAACCTAGTTTTTCTGGTTTCCTCTGTAACAGTAGATATTGTTTCTACTATTTCCTTACTTACTCATTTTTAACAGTATCAGTTGATTCCCTATCAGGGAAAATTAGAAATTTCCCTACTCTTGCTTACTTCCAACCAATTATTAGTTGTGTTACTTTAGTTCTACTGACTCTGTAACTTTAACATTCTTAACACTTTTACATTTTGTTCCATGAACCTTATCACTTGACCACTTCCTTCTCTCTCCTCTTCTACATCAAATTTTGTAAGATGTACCTTAACTTCAATATTGTTAAGGCTTACTACATCTTTAAGTATCATTTTCTACCTATCGGCTTATTATGAAAGTTGAAAACCATCAAGTGAAGTTTACATAATGTTTTATTTTTCAGAAATAAGAATTATATTGGAGATACTTCTTTTTGTAGGAGTCCAATATCACAACTCTGAACTGCTGAAAGATCATTCTTAGAATCTTGATCAAATGAATTCTCCTAAACTCCCAATTTATCAAAATCATGCCATATTTTAGTTTGCTTCAACTTAATTTCAAGCTGACATAATATTCAAATCAACAGCTGAATGTCTAAGTAGTTCAGAATATCAGGAAGATTGGTTAAGTGTAAGAAATGCTGACAAAAATTCATGGGACAGTCTAACTTTTAGATTTTGTAAAAACAGGGTACAGGTGAGGTTAAGCAATTCTTCAGGCAATAATTTCAAGATCTCTTAGAACTTTTAGTAAGTGACAACACTGATGAACTTTAATTTCAACCACTTTAACTCCTTGGATTCATTCTATGGTGCAGGTACTTTGACAATGAAAGAGCTTAATTCTGGGCAGTTAAATAGGAAAGAAGGTAAAGTCTAGACTCTTTGTGAACAGAATAAAAGTTCCTTTATATTTCTAGTACTTTAAAAGTATTTTAGCAGAGTACTGGAAACAAACTGGATCCCAAAAACTAGCACTGAATTATGGAGTATTCCTAAAGAACAGAGAGGTTATGTGCCAGTTTAGGTTTTTATTTCTAGTCTATACAATATATATTATAACAAATGAGTAGCTTATATAATAAACCAAACACTTACCTGATGTCCTATTCTCTTCTGACTGTTTCAAACTGAGCTGCTTCTCTCTACTGCTGGTTAAATACTTTCTTGAGGGATCTGTCATAGCCTTGTTGTTCCTAAAGTTAATAATTTAATTCAATATAAATGTGTAAAGATACAGTACTTAAATTTTATTTCTTTTTAATTTAATCTTTATTGTATTTTTTCCCATTACCATTTAGTTCCTTTATACTCTCCTCCCCTCCGCAGTAACCACACTATTGTCCATGTCCATGAGTCCTTTTTCTTTTTTGCTCTATCCCTCTAACCCTTAACCTCCCCCATACCCTGTCATTGCCATCCTGTCTCCATCTATAAGTCTGTCCCCATTTTGCTTGTTAGTTCAGTTTGTTCATTAGATTCCACATATGAATGAAATCATATGGTATTTTTCTCTGACTGGCTTATTTCACTTAGCATAATGTTCTCTGTAGTTCTTAATTTTAAATAGTTGTCACTAAAAATTTTACATTTCAAGTGCTGAATTCATGAATTTGTTTGGAAATTAGACTACAAAGTTTTAAAAGCCTCAAGAGGTCCAGACTTAAGCAAATGAAAATTATGAAAATAAGCTTTCATTACCAAGTCAAAAGCCAATCCAATCCACAACCCCTTAGTAATTAAGCAAAACTGAAGGAATATTTTATTTTTATAAAGGCCAAACCAGAGACAGCAAGATTGTATAAATTTTCCTCCTTAGAAGCAAGAGCAGATGAAATGACTTAGCTACTAAAAGACCAAAATAATTGATTAAAAAGCTACTGGAGTTGGATACTAAATATGTTTAAAAAGTAAAACAAAACCAAGATGTTCTTATGAGATACTATTTACTAAATGTCAACATTACTTAAATTCTAGTGATTAAACTATTTAAAGTTTGCCCTGGCTGGTGTGGCTCAGGGGATTGAATGTTGGCCTGTGAACCAAAAGGTCATCGGTTCAATTACCAGTCAGGGCACATGCCTGGGTCACAGGCTGGGGGCATGCAAGAGGCAACCAACTAATGTTTCTCTCCCTCCCTTCCCTTCTCCCTGAAAAAAAAAAAAAAAAAAAACCTTAAAAAAAACAAGCTATTTTAAGTCCATGAACATAAAGTTTAAGCCCGTTTTCCCACATTAGTCTTCCTAAATACCTCAACCTGTATAGAGTGGGTCCATTCAGATAAATGGTCATGTTTTGATGAAATCTGCTTATTTTAGAAGAACCATCATGAATAAAGCCTGTAGCAGACAGATTATGTCCTCAATCCAAATTCCCTATGATCTAATTTTTATATCCCCTCTTTCACACCAATTTAGGTATGTTTTCAACATCAGTACCCAGGGCTATTCCTATTAATATTCTTTTATTTTTATTTCCTTAAGGCAGCAGTCCCCAACCTTTTTTGCACAAGGGACCAGTTTCATGGAAGACAATTTTTCCACCGATGTGGGAGGTAGGAAAAGGTGGTGGAACTCAGGTGGTCACCTTCTACCATGCGGCCCAGTTCCTCACAGGCCACAGACTAGTACCAGTCCGTGACCCAGAGAGGTTAGGAACCCCTGCCTTAAGGGATAGTCTGAGATCACACTAATGCATCATTTCTTGTATTTCACTGTCTTGCTCACCCCATTCCCTTCCTGTTATCCCCTACAGTCTGCACCCTTAATAAATCACTTGTACACTAATCTCCATTTCAGGGTCTGCTTTCTGGAGAACTTGATTTACAACAGCTGGTACTAGGAAGCATAACCTAAGGACAGGGTTCTGGAATTGGATCACTTGCTTGTCAATGGCAATGGAAATCCATTGCTGATGATAACACCACTGTTATCCACAGTGTATCTGTATTGAACTGGGATGGGATAGAGTAGAAGAGACTATGGCTTATGCATATCTCTGGCATCGGAGAAACGTGGTAGACTGCACGATGAATCTTTCTGGAGTTATAGGAATGTTCTAAAACTGGATTATGGTGATGACTACACGACTCCATAAATTTACCAAAAATCATTGAATTGTACATTTAAAACAAGTTTTATGGTGTTTATAAAATATAACTTGATAAAGTTGTTTTTAAAATGCCCCAAATTATTCCAGAACAGCACAAGCATGAAGCAGACTACAAAAGCTGCATGGCCCCAAAGGACAGTTTCTAAGATCTTCAGGTATGGCCTTGAAAGACAACAAAGGAAATCTAGCAGAGGACAAAGCCAGGAGTCATATGGAGTACAATGAACAAGGGCTTCTCCCAGAGGAGAAAACAGAGACTGCTACACGGACTAATCAAGAATTTACTCCCTTGCCTTCACAATTTCTACCTAGCAAGATTTTATTGTTACAGATAAGTGACTCCTCCAGTTTCTTATTGTCTTTTCTAAATGTAAATTTTTATTGTGGATATCCTGTGCCTATTTCAGCAACATATAGGCATACCTCATTTTATTATGCTTTGCAGACATTGAGGTTTTTTTTTTTAAACAAATTTTAGGAAGGATCCTCTGCCAGCTAAGAGCTCAGATAATGAATGGTTAGCACTTTTTAGCAATAAGGTATTTTAAATTAGGATATATATATATATATATATATATATATATATATATATATATAACGCTATTGTACACTTACTATAATATAAACTGAGAAACAAAAAAAATTGTGTAATTTTATGGAAATATTTCCTTTACTGTAGATATGCCTATATAATATGTGTATGAAATGAGAGTAAGGGAATGCAGATTAACTTGCCTTTTTGTTTTTATGTATCAGATCATAAGGTTCATTGTTCAAAAAAGCACACCTGGACCTCATACAGAGGACTGCACATCACCTAGAGATCCTGGAGCTGGATCCTTTGGATCTTGACACAAGACCTAAATGAGACCTGGAGGCTGTCTCCATTAGGGTGAGGGTTAAGAGTGCTCTCTATATATGGGAAAGTAATGAACAGGGATATTTCTGTGGCTAAAGGGTTAAACTACAGCAGCCTATTAGTTGTCTACAAATAACCATGGTACCCTTCAGCTATTATAAAATTTGGGCTGGGAATATTTACTGGACTTTCTTATAAATTGATGTAACCATACGACTAAGTTCTGATCAATGTGATATACTTAAAAGTGGTGTGGCCCTGGCTGGATAGTTCAGTTGTTAGAATGTTGTCCTAATACTCCAAGGTTGCAGGTTCGATCCCTGATCAGGACACATATAGAAAGTGACCAATGAACACATAAGCAAGTGGAACAAACTGATGTTTCTCTCTCCCCCTGATATCAATCAATAAATTTTTTAACTTTTTAAAATATATTTTATTTATTTTTAGAGAGAGGGGAAGAAAAGGAGAAAGAGTGAAAGATAAACATCAATGTGTGGTTGCCTCTTATGTGTCCCCTACTGGGAACTTGGCCTGCAACCCAGACATGTGCCCTGAATGGGAATCAAACCAGCAACCTTTTGCTTCATGGGCTTGTGCTCAATCCACTGTGCTACACCAGCCAGGGCTAAAAATTTTTTTTTAAAAGCTGTGTGTACAAATGTACAATTTCCAGCCTAAAAGAAAGCAGTATGCTTTCCCTTTGCTCCTTGTTTCCCAACAGGAATGCAGACATGAGAGTGAAGGCTGAAGCAACTACCTTGGTTCACAAAACGGAACCTACTTATTAAGGTGGGTGGGTCAACAAGATAAAAGGAATCTGAGTCCGTGGTGATTGTAGCTTCAGATACCACACCAGTCCCATTACCTATGTAGAGTTTTACATCTATTACAGCAGCAAAACCAAGATCCCAATTAGAATATAAAGTTTCTTCAGCTTTTTCCCAATTCCTTTATAGTGACCTTCTTGACCTTGAATACCAATTAACTATCAGCTGATTTTTGTTAAGGTGTTAATTGAGTTATTAACTGATAACTGAGTAATAAGTTTTCTCTCCCTAGAAAAAAAGCATAAGTTTTTTAAAAAGACCCTCCCACAAGGAAGAAGAAAATGTGAGCTCGTAACTGTCCTGTTGCAGGTAAATACCCTTTTGTTCAACCCAGAAAATAGCTCTAAGAGACTGATGCTTCATACCTAAAATTAGGGTTTACATCCTTTTAACCCTAAGCTAACTTTTCACATGAATAAGGTAAAGAAATTTTTACAGGTAAAGGGAAGAGGGTCAGAAGGGTTTCTCACTAAAAGAATGGACAGCAAGAAACACTTATTTAGAGTTTTTCAGCTCTATTCTTCCTCTAAGTGCTGCAGATTTTTTAAAAAGCTACAATGGGGAAAGTGCAATAAAATGATCAAAGTAATAGCACTAGCTAAATCCTTTACTGAGCCTCCAATCTACTATCACCAAAATGTTTCTCATGTGCTCTTCTATCTTTGGAATTCCCATAAACTGAATAATCTTCCCTAGTGGTTGTAATTATCAATATAACACTGGACTAGGACCTTAAAGGTTCTTAAAGCAACTTACGATGATGCATCATTTTCCTTAGGGTAATCTTCATTCAACTCTGAGCCAGACAGCATCCTTTTCCTCTTTTCAGTTCTATAGAGAACAAAAAAAAAAAAAAAGTTAAAAAGCCATAATTTGTACCATTAAAAAGTATAAACCAACACACTCAAGGATTGGAAAGGTGACTGTCTAATTCTCTACACCATAGTTACATTAATATCTGGATGCTCAATACATGTCACTGACATAAACCACATAAGACAGATACTATTATCTACCAAAAATGCACTCTATACTTTCTTCTTTTAACACACTTTACTCACTGGACAATCTCCTTCTTTTTCTCAAATTACTGGTCTTTCCAAAAGGCCTAAAAGGTATTTACAGCCCTGGCTGGTATAGCTCAGTGGATTGAGTGTGGGCCTGCGAACCAAAGGATCGTGGTTTGATTCCTAGTCAGGGCACATGCCTGGGTTGCAGGCCAGTTCCCAGCAGGGGACGCACGAGAGGCAATCATACATTGATATTTCTCTTCCTCTCTCCTTCCCTTACCATCTAAAGATAAATAAAATCTTTAAAAAAAAAACCCCAGATATTTACAAACAGGCATAGCTAATGACTAAGAAAGAAAAAGAAATCTTTCATACCTATTTTCTAATAACCCTGATCTAAGAGGTGTTGATGTAGATGTCAAAGAGGGAATCGTCCGGGGGACAGTTATTCCACTCCCTGCTGCCGTCTTAATTGATCCTCTCCCTGGATTACCAAGAACTTTTCGAAATGGAGTATCATCTTTAGTTTCCAAACTTCCTCTTTTTGAAGAGGCCTGTAAGAAAGTTTGAGATAGCAAATTGTCAAATTACCTGGCATACTTTTAGACCAGTGATTTTCAAGGAGGACATTTAAAAAGATACCAACAACTAGAGACCCATCTCCAGAGATTCTAACCTAATTGATATGGGATGAAGTCCATTCTTCATCATTTTTTTTAAAGCACTTTAGGTGATTCTAATGTATGGTCAGTGTCATAAATTGAGTAACACTTTTTTCCCTGTAGTATTCTTGTAAACTTAAATATTCCACAGCATACATACAAGCAAAAGGGAATTTGCTGTGAATTACTGATTAAAAAAAAAATTTAAAAAAAAGGTTCACACACACAAGATATGCTTCTAGTGACCAGGGTGAAAATACATCTTTAGAGAGAAAAAAATCCAAGTATAATTATGATAAAGTGGTGCGTGTGTTACGTGTCACTGAGTAGTCTCCAACTCCTAGGGACTCTGGGAATAAGTGATATCCACAATGTCCTATCCTCAACTGCTCTGCTCAGCTTCTGCAGATAGACAAATGCTCATGACTATTTTTAGGGTGTCAATCCATCTCATTTTTTATCTTCTTCTCTTCCTGGTGCCTTCTATTTTCCCCAGTATTACCGTCTTAAAATGACATAGATGTGACAAAAAGCAACAATGACATTTGGTCATCGACAACTTAAATGCCAAGTCACGTGTACCTCATATGACATTAGAAGGGGTTCCAGTTTGGAGGAATGAAACAAATATATGTAGTGATAAGGGAAATGAGAGTGAGATAGAGACTACTGGCAGAAGTGGCTGAATCAAAAAGTCTACCTACTATATGAAAGACACAGCAAGAACATTTAGAGAGAAAATAGCAATTAGAAAATATAGGATGGGACAAAAGTAGGTTTACAGTTGTTTGTATGGAAAATAATACAATAATAATTAAGACAAGAATACACAAAAATTATATTTATGAATACAATTAATAAACAACAACACAAAAGTATGTGTTTCACATACTCACAACTGTAAATCTCCTTTTACTACACCATGTATTAGTTGGGAAATAATGCTTTCGACCAGCATTCTGCCAGATAAGTTTCATAACTTATTATGAAGAGCTATGAAAGGTACTTCCAATTGGAAATCTTATTTCCAATCTTATTGGAAATAATGCAATCTTAGGATAAAAAAATCTCTGATGTCATCTTAACTGAACAATTTTAAAAAGTACTATTTACTTTCAAATGAATAATACATTTTCAAGATTCAAAAATCAAAGTGCTATTACAAAAGCCATTTACTGAGAGGTCTCATTATCACCTCAATGTCACCTACCCAAGTTCTTCCACTTCCCATTCTCCTACTACTTATAAACTAATACTTATCCTTACTATGTGTAATACCTTCTCTTCTCTTCTTTCTCTTTTTATTTAATGCCAGTCACAACCCACAAAACTCATTTTGTAATCCCAGTAATGGGAATTGTTATTTATAAAGTTATATTCAGTTGGCCAAAAAGTCCGTTTAGTTTGTTCCATAAAATAAAAGACATGTTTTTCATTTTCACTAATAACTTTACTGATTTGGATCTTCTGAGTATGTTGGCCATCTCCCACGTCGTACAACACTGACTGTTCTTGATTAATGTCTCAATTCAATAACTATCAACTTCAGCTGGTCTACCTGACTTTGGAGCATCGTCCAGTGAGAAATCTCCAGCATAAAACTTTGCCAACTACTTTTGATATGTTCAATCAGTCACAGCACCTTTTCCATATACTGTATAAAACTTTTTTTGCATTTAAGTTGCATTTTTACCTTTCTTGAAATAAGCATAATATACAAAAAAGATGTGTATTTTCTCCTATATGCACTATTAAAATAGCTACATAGAAATTCATGAATTTGGTAAGTTGTTTTTCAAATGCACACTGATATGACAGCTGTCACAATACAATCTAACAAAATTATTCTGATTGAAGTTAAAGACTGCTAAGCACTACTAGAGCCATTTTATGGAAAACAAACAAACTTTTTGGCCAACCCAATACTAACACATTTAAATATTCCAACAGTTTAAATTTCTACCTATAAATGGATGAATCTCAGAGTAATTATGCTTAGTTAAAAAGTCAGACAGAAAATATTACACACTGATCCCATTTATATAAACTCCAGAATATGCAAATTAACCTACGGTGACATAAAATAAATCAGTTTGGCTTAGGGACAGAAGCCAGAGAAGGAGAGAAGAATTACAATTTACTGAATGTCAATTGCACTTCAACTAAAATGTTAAAAAAAAAACACCAGAAAAAACATCCTATAAAAAAAAATAACAAAAAAAATCTAATTCATTGCTTATCCCAGTAAACGAACTAGGTAATCACCTCTCTGCACAGCAAAATAAAATTAATTAGTTTTGAAGTTTCTCTTTATCCCTGGTTTCCCTTTGTAAAACAAATTAAGAGACATAGGACAGCTTAACTACAATACTGCGCAGCAAGTCCATGACCGGCTGAAAATATTTATGAAAGAAAAACTACTTAAAAAACAAAAAAAAGACTTCAACACGAGTCTGGTATCATACTGTGTAGGGGCAAAGTTCACAACGTAGAACAGACACAAAGGGCCTCACAGAAGTAGTAGCAGCAAACACTGATCGGGTAAGTTAGTATGTGGTACCATGGACTAAGAACTTCACACGCATAATCTTATAGCAACCCTTAAAACATTCTTGCTGTCTCAGTTTTAAAGGTGGGTACTAAGACTCAGGATACTTAAGGAACTTCTCCAGTGACCCACAGCTAGTGTTAGCACCAAGCCTCAACCCCACATTTAACTCCAAAGCTATGCTTTTTAAACACTGCAGTTCATAATGACGACCATGAGATGTCGAGCAAAGGTTCAATTGTGAACCTTCAAAGGTTCAATTATGTACAGTAAAACTGTACATAAGAAATGAAACAAATTTTAGAAAGACTTCCATAAAAATAGTTGAATAGATCGATATAACTAAAATGGTAAAGTTCAGGTATTTGGAAAATACCCTTGTGACAATACCAGAATTACTGGGCATTACAGTCTAAATTCTACTTCTTGCAATTACCTCACAGAATGATTATTATCATTTTTTAAAAGCTAAAAGATTGAAATGAACATACCTGATTGTCTGAGTAAGAAAGCTGCCTGTTGGTTTCCTTCTGTGAGGTCCTGCTGCCCAAAATAGCTCCAAAACTACCAGACCCCTGAGAAGGTTTCATGGCTGGTGCAAATACAAACAAACAAAAAAACCCAAATCACTTATTTTAATAGGGATTTGTCACTATTATTATATAATATTGCAGAAATAAATCAAGCACTTATTAGCCAATTCTTTCTGAATAAAAAAGTACACCTGATCTAAATAGTAATTAAAAGTTAGAGCTAGTCTGAAGCAAAAAATTAAATAACGTGCAAAAAATTGGGAACATGTAATAGAAGAATAAAATTTTAAATGCAAAATAAAAATGCTAGAAATTCTATGTCGATACTAGATAATTAACACTACAGAAAAGTTAGTCAATGTATCTATGGCATGAACACTGACACTGGATGCCAAGAAAACAAGGCAGACCCATGACAAATACATTTCCAACACTGTATGCTCTAAAACATTCTCTATAAATTCACCATGCAGAATACATGGGTTCTCTTCCAAAGAAATCAATGCTAGTTTAACGAACAAGTAAGATACTGTATAAACATGAATTTGTAAAATGCTTTTTTATACTTTAGTCAATTCCCACTAATGATAATTTGGAATGTTCTAATTTTTAAAAATTGCTGAAGATCCTTTCACATCTCTTGCACTAATGGTACAATTTTAGTAGAATAAATTCCTCAGACTAAGAATCGCTGTGTTAAAGGACACTCTGGCTAGGACTTCGAATACTATGCTGAATAGAAGTGGTGAGAAAGGACAACCCTGCCCTGTTCCTGACTCTGGGAGAAAATCTTTTAAAAAGTTTTTCATCATTTAATGTTAGTTGTGGGCTTGCATATAAAGCATTTATAGTGTTGTGGTAATTTCCTTTTATTCCTAGTTCATGAGTAAATTTTATTCTGAAAGGGTGTTGAATTTTATCAAATGCTTTTTTTCCACTGAGATGATCATGGGGTTTTTGTCCTTCTTATTTTTGGTTGGTGTATTACATTGATTGAATTTTTCATATCTTCAACCATCCTTGCGCTACAGAAATAAGTTCCACTTGGTCTTGTAATCCTTTGAACATATTGCTGAATTTGGTCTGCTAGTATTTTGATGAGGATTTTTGCATAAGTATTCATCAAGGATACTGGTCTGGAATCTAGTAATATTCTTTTATAACCGCTAATATCAGACCTTGGGAAAATTAGTGCTCACCTGCATTAAGTCTGTTTTGATGCACTGCATCTAGAAACAACCTCATTTCCTCTGCATCCTTACTTGGTACTTTGTCAATAGACAAGAAGCTGTTATCTTGTAGCGTTAACATTAAGCGGCTTTGTTTTGCTCCACTGGGTCGAAGTACCACGTTTTTAATGTTATGACTTAGCTGATCAACACAAAAGAAAAAAGATTTTAACATTAAAAACATATGATAATGAAGTACATAATATATTACACAATGAATACTAAACTTAATACTTTGTAAGTTACATTTCTCACTCTTAACCACATTTTCCCCCAACCAAAAATAGTTCCCATTTCTTGACACATGTAAGTTGAAGATTTCCCTTTTAGGAATGGCAAACACATAGTGTTAACATTTATTTTACATTGTAATTCTAGCAGTCTTGTTTTTATGGTAGCAAATTGCATATTTTCAGGTATAAAGTTTTAGAAACCAGTGAGTTAACTTTCAGAGCCCAGATGGCTATACCATCACCAGTTTAGAAAACCATAGTGCATTAGAGGCTCTTTTTCTTTTAAACAAGTTTGTAAAATATCTGGCAAATGGCTTAAGTAGCTTCAATGTAAACAGTACATATTAATTCAAACCATAATCCTCAAAAGGATTCCACCACTCAAATATACAATGAAATACAACTTTATCAGTATTCAAAAACATGTTTTTCTTTTTTAACTGTCTAAGCACACTCAATTAGCTTTTATTCAATCACAAAGAACATAAGCACCCTGAAATTGTGTTAACTTATTTTTCCCACCTCCCAGAACTGGTTCAAAACTGGTCTTATATTTCTCCAGATTCTGGATATGTACTATGAAGTGACAGCTTTTGTATTCTCTTGGCTGAAATTTTTCAAGACTAAATTAATCAACTTTGTAGTTTCCTTATTATCTAAATAATTACTGTCCATCAGGCATCCTTATTCTTTAACATTCTCCCTCAGCAAACATATACAAAAGTTTCTAAAGCTGCCTTTTGCTGAATACCCTTTGAACAGCATAAAAAAGGAATAGCACTTCCCAATTTTTAAAAAGATTTTATTTATTTTTAGAAAGAGAACAAAGGAGGGAGAAAGGAAAAAAAATCAATGTGTGGTTGCCTCTCACATGCCTCCTACTGGGGACGTGGCCCGCAACCTGGCACATGCCCTGACTGGGAATTGAACCGGTGACCCTTTCGTTTGCAAGCCAGCGCTCAATCCTGAGCCACACCAGTCAGGGCCTCGTAATTTTTTAAATTATATAAGAATGAGAAAACAGTTTTATCAGACTTAATTTATATTTAAATTTTAAGTGATATATAGGCCTTAAGTTCATGTCCCTAGTAGAAATTCTATTATAACACAAAACCTAGTTTCAGATGCATTAACTCCACAATATAAAAGAACAGTTTTGTATCAAAAGGGAAATAGATCACATAACCCATTACTTCAGTCAATATATCATTTTTTTGCCCTGGCTGGTGTAACTCAGTGGATTGAGCGCAGCCCTGCGAACCAAAGGATTCCCAGTCAGGGCACATGCCTGGGTTGCAGGCCAGTTCCCAGCAGGGGATGCATGAGAGGCAACCATACATTGACATTTCTCTCCCTCTCTTGTTCCCTTCCCCTCTAAAGATAAATAAATAAAATCTTTAAAAATATATATCACTTTTTAAAACTAAAATTTAAACATAAGGAGAAACATTTGTTCATTAACAAACAAGGTGAGAGTAACCTTGAACTTGACCACTTCGATAACTGAAAAACGACCTAACACCACAATTTTAGTAACTACCCGTATGGTGAGGTCTCCCGATTCTTTTCCTAAGTGCACACTTCTCTACTGGTGCTGTAGTCCTGTCCACCTAATACACACGGGACACCAGTATCTGAATGTCTGATACCTGAAACAACTCATCTCTCCCAGTCCCCAATCTTCCCCTCTGCTCCCTATCACAAAGGACAATAAAGGGACTGCCATCTACTCAAAAACTTGAGAATCTGCCCCAAACACTCCCCGCCCAATATAATGAGGTAAGTCTTCTTAAATCACTTCGAATCTATCCTTTCCTCTTCCAGCTTCTCCCACTGTCTTTTCCTTTGTTCATGACTTTCATTCCTAATTTAAACTACAATAACCTCCTATCTGTCCTTCTTTTCCCATTATCTCTTGAAATAAAGTCATCTGCTTAGCCCTCAAATAAAAATGAACTTGAGATTCTTGGCTCCCTAGAATCTAAGCTCCACTTACGTATGACAAATAAAATATTGCAAGATCTGGTTCCTATCCAGCTCTTTAGCCTTTATTTCTGCTAGTCCCTAATGTTCATTTATTTTAAAACAGTTTTCTGGTTCTGAGTGTTGATTCCCACTTGCACATGTCTGTCCATGTATAGAAATCACCTCCACCGTGTTTGGCAAATTCCTATTTATCCTCTAAATCCTCAGAGCATAAACTACTTCCTTCATGTGTTACTTCAGTTATCTTTTAAATATATATTTTTATAATCAAAAAGTTTTCGGAAATACTTTAATTTTTAGAATATCTTATTTATTTTCATAGAGAAGGGAAATAAGGGAGAAAAGAGAGAAACATGATGTGTTAAGAGAAACAGCAATCAGTCGCCTCTCTCACATCACTAACTGGAGACCTGGCCTGTGACCCATGCATGTGCCCTGACTGGGCATCAGAGTAGCAACCTTTTAGTCTGAAGGCCAGGGCCCAATCCACTGAGCAACACCAGCCAGGGCTAAAATTTATTTTTTAATGTAATTTAGTACAGGTGTACAACATAGTGATTAGATATTTATACACCTTACTAAGGGATCGCAACAGTAAGTCTAGTACCCATATGTACCATTCACAGTTATCAGAATATTATTGACTGTATTCCCATGCTGTACTTTACATTCTGCGACTATTTTTCTAAGTGGCAGTTTGTATTTCTTAAATCTCTTCATCTTTTTTACCCATCCTTCTACCTCCTTCCCATATGGCAACCATCAGTTTGTTCTCAACCATCAGTATCTATGAGTTTTTCTGTTTTGCTTTGTTGAATCATTTATTTTGTCTTTTTTAAAGTTACACATGTAAATCAAATAGTATTTGCCTTTTTCTAACTTATTTTGCTTAGCATAATATCCTCTATGTCCCATCATGTTGTGGCAAATGGCAAGATTTCATTCTTTTTTTATGGCTGAGTAATATTCTGTCGCACACCTACGTACCACATCTCTTTGAAATATTTTTTACAGCTGAGAATGCATTTGATTTTAAGTTCAAGAAGAAAAGTGTCTCATTTAGCTCTACATTCTTAGCCCATAGCACAGTATCCTCCACAAAATTCTGTAGGTGTTTAATGAATGCTGAATGCAAACTGATCGAGAAGTGAGATGAGGGTGGAATCACAGGTAGAACCATTATGCTCTTAAATATGTTTTTGCTTAAATATTTATACATGTACTGAGTGCTAATTTGGGCTGAGGACTGAAAAAACAAATCTCTATTTGGAAAAAATCTTTCACTGAGATGGGTACTTAGTAGATATACGTATGTCAGAAATTGCTATTGTTTCTATTACCCATGTCACCACTTCTAATCTATTTAAGAATATCTTGCCCTGGCTGGTGTAGCTCAGTGGGCTAAGCGCAGGCCTGCTCAATCGAAAGGGTCACCAGTTCAATCCCCAGTCAGGGCACATGCCTAGGTTGCGGGCCAATTTCACTGGGGTGAAATATACCTTCACCCCAGTAGAGGGTGTGCCAGAGGCAACCACACACTGGTATTTCTCTCCCTCCCTTCCCCTCTAAAAATAAATAAATAAAATCTTTTAAAAAAATCTTTAGTGCTTACAGCTCATTTAGAATTTATCTATTGGGTCTTCCTGTTCTCACCAGTAGACCCGCCCCCCCACCAAATCTGATACATAAAATCATAAGCAATTTATTTTCATATTTGAAAAGCAAAGACAAATGAAAATTTTACCTCCACTCAAGTTCTCACACATAAAGTTTTATATATTGTTCTTTAATAGAGTAATTTAGAATGAATATACTTTTGTGTAATTTAATTAACAAATGTAGAAAATTAGAGTGCAGAAAAATATACGTAAAACATTATGTTCTTTGGGGGGGCTGGGATGGGAGAAATAGACAAAAAACTGTACTTGAAAAATAAATAAAATTTAAAAAGAAAAGAAAACACAGAACAACAAAAAAAACATTATGTTCTTAAACTCAACTTATATCAAGATGAGTAGTTCTTAGCTGCACAAGATAAACAGTATAGAAGTGAAAACAAAATTATATATTTTTTTCAGTGATAAAATAATGAGATCTTCTAAAAGCTTACAATGAGAAGAAAAAAGATGTAAAGATGACCTTAAATAATTATCCTTGAATGGTCCATACCACCTCTCTGGCACGATTATTTAGAAAGTAAACATTATGATAACACTAAGAAGTCCTATTAAAACTAACACCAAATACTGATGAATCTATCCTATACATTAAAGAAGAAAAGAGAGAATAACTATAGTTATCCTAACGTGGTTTTTAAAATAGCTTAGACAGTATCCAAATTCAATTCATCTCATCTTCCTCCCACCAGCTTTCTTTTCGATAATGGTGACTACTTCCTGTTCTTTATAATACGTTATCTATAATGCTGCTGAAAAACTTATAAAACATGAACATAACAGTATCAGTGTCCTGGAAATAAAAAATAAGAAAAATTAATCCAGTAGGAAGGCTACCATGATAAAGGTTGTGATTAAAGATCTATTCCAAATTAAAATTTAGTAATACCTGAAATATCCTTGGAATTCCTCCAGTATTGTAGTGAACTACTAGGCTAACTTTATTCTCTTTTTCCACAATTTCAAAGGATCCTTCTTTCCATTTTGTAATCCCAGTCTGCATACTTCGAATTCTGATAGGACCATGTATCTTCAGAGGAGACATACTTTCTTTAAAAAATAAACCGTTTCTAGCCAAATTATAAAGCAAAAATATACCTTCACCTGACAGATTCTGAGAAAGAAAAATAAAATAAAGAGTTACAACTTATTATTGATTAAATTAAAAGTTTGAAAGAGAACATTATATGAACTACTTTATATCCTTTTCTGTATTTCCATATTTCAATATTTCCATATTCTGTATTTCAATATTTCCATATTCTGTATTCTGTAAGTCATATTTTATTAAACATACTCAAAGGCCCTGAATAGCTGGATGGCACAGGTAAGAAAGACAACTAAAGCATCACTGACGTTGAGTGTATGAATCGAAACAACATTTAGTTCTTCCGTATATGTTCTCTTCTTTGCCATGTGTCCAGAATCTGCATCTATTATTGCCTAAATTTTGCATTTTGTACCATTAACAAATCATATTGCTGCCACTAAACACATGCCAAATGGGACTGCTGAAGATTCCATTCTCAATGTGACCCACTTTTACATTCCCTCATGAATGCTAAAGGGTCTCAAAATTCAAATATAAGTAAAAAAAAAAAAAATTTAGTCAACTGACTCCATTTCTTAGAATAGAGTTCCTCTGAAAATATCAAATCATATCACTAAGTAGTCTTAGCATATCCACATGTATAGAAGACATTAACAGAATCCAAAACTGTAAGAATAATCAAATTAGTTTAACTTCCAGAATTATTTGAGAAAATAATTTATTTTCTAGGGAAAACTAACAATAAAACCTCTCTCCCTAAGAACCACCTACCATATATGTTTAATATTTACCATTCCTGGCAAGATGCTTTACCAATTTTATCCATGACAAATTTTCAAATTCCCCAAATGAACTTCTAACACTTAAAAATGGCTTACGATAAAAAGTCTAAGATTTTCAAACTAACCTACCAAATGTCAACAAGTACAATTCTAGTAATATCTCAATGCAATCAAACAGTGTGTGTATCATACAATACCCCCATGTACCTTCCAGATACCTTTATGATGAACTGCAAATTGAAATCATATCAAAATGTTAAAACAAGTTTTATTGACATTCTCTTCAAATCTCTAAAAATACTGCCTCTAACACAGATTCTTGCTTATAATAAATTAAAAATCATTAAATTTCACATCTGCCAAAACAGCTTAACTATAAAAGTTTTAAAAAAGTAGTGTACAAAGGAAAAACACTCTAGATCTAGTTATCAGGAATCTGTCACTTACTAATTTGTTACTTATCTTTTCTAACCATTAGTTTTAATTGTAAAATAGAAGTAGCAAATGCCAGTGTTGCAGAATTAAATAAAATAACATACATTAGGCACTCAACAGACCCCAGCCTTAATATGAATGAAATTACTGCCCACTTTCTGAATTTATTCCTTGTCTGTAACACCTCTTTCACCAAAGACACCAGATAAATAAGTTAACAGAGGTTACCAATTCAATTGTAGGGGCCTGGAAGGCTACGCACAAATGACTGAGGCAGGCAAAAAGATGAAAACTGCTATTCAAATGCAGCCAATTTTATCATGTGAAGATCGTATACCCAACATTGACAGATCATCTAATTAAAAAAAAAGACATCTAAATTTTGGGGGTAAAACTGCCCATTTTTCATTATGAGCAATGAATTAAGTTATTTTTAAGAACTAAAAAAATCAAACAAAACCCACCTGTAGACAGGGTATATATATAGCCTGCAGACTGCAGTTCGAGGCCTCTATATATTGTACATCAAATAACTAGAAATAAAATTGAAAAAGATGTAAAAACATTTTGAATAGTTATAAAGTGTTATACACTGTAAGTCCTCTATTACTATCGCTTATCTCATCAAAATCTTTTGATGGCCAGATTTAGACAGTTTAACTTACTGAGTATATAAATGCAGCAAAGTTTGTAATAGAGTCCACTACTGTTTATAGCCAGTCCATTAACATATTTTGCTAAAACCAATAACTACAGAATTTTGGGTCAACGTGTTTGTAATACATTTTTTTCCTGGCAATTAATAATTTGGTGCTTCATTGTTTGGATATGTCCTTGAGATTTTTTTTCCCATTCTGTCTTTTAACATTGCCAATAATATGTGGCCCCTCCCATCCTAGTTGCCCATGAAAGAAACATGAGAGTTTTCTTTCACTACTCTGTTGATGATTGGTGGTATTAGTGTTGATGATTAGGTTGGAAATTGGAAGGTGAAGGTAGAATACTGTCAATTCTACCTCCATATACCTTCCAGACATCTTTATAATGAACTGCAGATCAAATCACATCATTTTCCTCCTTAGTACTATTCAATGACTCCCCACTGCTCTCACAGTAAGAGGGTATTAACATGATATAACCCCCCCCCCCATGATCCAGGCCCTCATTATCTCTCCATTCCCAACAAGCTCTCCAAATCCAGCTATCTGAACTACTTATAATTCCCCTAAAAAAGCCACATGTTCTCATGCCACTATACCTTTCCACACACTGGTCAATGTCTACAGGATTTTTATGTACTTTCCCCATCCCCATAATTTCTTTTCCTGTCTATAAAATCAAGATGTTAACTTAGATGTTATCTTGTTTTAGAAGCCCTTCCTAGGTACCTTTCACTTTTCTCTCACCCACAGCCACACCGAGACTGTTTAATGTTTATTCTCCTGTTGTACCCTGTGCTTATTTATAGCAGAGTATTTATCACATTATATTGTACAAACTGTCTGTTTACCCCTTTGTCTCTCTCGAGACTCTGTTAAAGACAGGGAATATGCTCTTTAATCTTCACATCCCCATTCGGACAGTGGCTGACATATAAGAAACAAACTCACCATTCAAGAATAATGAACAAATCACTACTAACAATTTAATTCAATTTGCTGTTAAAATATACAACAGCAGATACTGGAACCATAAATCCTTTATATATGGCCAATACAGGGTTTTTACTCAGTTTGATACAAGAGTATCACTATGCAGTGTATTACATAACTCATCTTTTGAACACTTAAGTTTTTTCTGTGTGCATCCAAAGTTTTCCAATAAATGCACAGATATTTCTATATCTTAAGATTCAATGAGAGAAAAATCATTTATGAAGAACAAGAATATGCAGTTACAGAATGCATTATTAAAACAAAAACATTAGTAAACTTGCCTAAACTGGAAATCATTTTATTCACTGCTCAATAAAGAAATTCCATTTTAAAATTTTGTCAAATTACCTCACCTTTTAAAAAAATTTTTATTTATTTATCTTTAGAGGGGAAGGATTAGGGACAGAAATATCAATGTGTGGTTGCCTCTCATGCGTCCCCTACAGGGAACTGGCCTGCAACCCAGGCATGTGCCCTGACTGGGAATCGAACTTCGATCCTTTTACCTCACCTTTTAAAAAATGTCAGTATGTCATGGTACCAAATGAAAAGGAAATAAAATAAAACCCCATTATCTCAGTGTTTTCCTTACAGACCAAAAGTAAGTGAAGATGATTGATCTTAAATTCCTCCAACAAAATATACTTTAAAAAATTACATTAACAAAAATTTGAGGTAAAAAATTCAATATTCACTAGAGTACATCAGAAATAAAAACTTTGTTGGTTACTTGTTTCTCTATATATAATTTTCTCTATAATTTCTCTTGATATAATCCTCAAACGTCATCTGATGCAGCGTTTTGATTAAGTATGTAAAATTTTACTTCAGATAGTTAACATTTTCTTAACCCCATTTAATAACCTCTCTTTCTTCAAAGAAAAAAACCCTGAAAGGTATACGACATACAACTGGCAGAACCAATAAAACTTTTTCTTTGAAAAAAAAATGCCCCAACTTAGTTCATCACCTACTCTTGCACTACATAAATTAACTGCATTTATTTTTGTACATTCATCATATTTCCAGGGTTTTCCCTAATCAAGGTGAAAAAAACTAAGTTTCTTTTTCAGCATTTAGCACACTAATCCTTAAACTTTCTATAAACCTAGGACAAGACAAGGTTTCTCTGAACTCTGTAATGCTAATTCACTATCAAAGTGATATTAGGAAGACAAAATATAATAAAACCTGATGAGATAGTCCCCTTTCATTTCTTCACAATTATTAATATTAATGTTCGACTTTGAGCATTCTATGAAAACACAGTAACACTGCCAAAAATTCTTCTATACTCTGGACGGACATTTAAATGCTCATAATTTAGGTGCTACTTTGAAAATACACTTATCCAGCAGGGCACTTTATGGTAAAGAAAGCATGCTACAGCATGAAATCGTTACTACAAAATAGAAGAAAAGTGTCAATTCTTGTCAGTATGCATAATCTTGGAAAGATATATCTAAAATAAAAACATTACTTACTTTTTCAGTGACTTTTACTGAAAAACTATATGCAACAACAATTTACCTTTATTCTGATGCTTGTGCCAAAGGCAATGCAATCTTCTTGGGGAACTACTCATATTCTGCAGCTATCCCAGTTCTCCGGAAGCCATCAACTCAACTAAAGAAAATATAAGTGTGCCTTTTTAACATAATCCAATTCACAAAATGAAAGTTATTTTTATAAGTGATGATTTGTACAACAAAAATTCACCTTTTCTTTATTTAAAAACCACATAAAACATAATGCTCAAGGTACACACATGTGAAAGAAATAGAACTTTAGGGATCTGTGTGCAAATTGAGGAATTCAGGAAGAGCTGCACCTTTATCAATCTGTGTCTTTGTTTGTTTATCCCTGCTACATTTCGAAACTAAGAAGGCAGTGAAAAAGAACACATCCTTTGTTGACTTCATAAACATTGTTACATAATGATGTCTTATGTCTTAAAGTACAACTTTCACAGAGCTGTTACCCATTTCAAAAGGTGGATAAACTTAGCATTTACTTTTCTTTCAAAGCTAACTATGGATTTCTTTCTCAAAATTAGGCTCTTCTGAAATCTCTCACTGCCTTCTTGAAAGCTGTAACATCAACTTTAAACTCATTTGTTCACAGTAAAAATCATTATTGAGCCACTCCAGGTTGATAGCAGTGTGGTAGATATATAAATGTGAAAACTATACAGTCTATGCCCTCAAGAGGCTCCCCAGACTTCCCTATACTTGTCCTTCCACCATCATTCAGGAAAAATAAATAAATAAGTAAGTAAATAAATATGTAAAAAACCTTAGCATCAGCTTTCACCTCATTCTCATTTATCTAAAATCCAACTTTTCATCTATCTTTTCACAACTACTCCCCTAATTTAGAAATATATCATTTTGCCATCACTCCTAATATTTTTAATACAACATAAACTAAGCACAGTGCTAAGCACCATACATGTATTTATTTTCACAAAAATCCTAAAGTACAAGTATTTTATTATTTCTATTTATAGATGAAGAAACTGGGCCTTCAAGAGATCAGGTAATTTATCCATGGTTACAGAGTAGGAGACAAAAGTCTAACACCAGAACCTATGTTTTTTACTACGACCATACTGTATCCTCATCAATAAGAGTGGCTGCAGCAATCATTTTCCAGTCTCCTCATTTCTTCCACCCAATGAATCCTTTACTCTTTCTAAAAAACTACTCCTTTTATCTCTTACCAAAGAAAGTATGCACTAGCTGTCTCCTTAACTTTCTCTGTAAAGGACAGGGAGAGAGATAGGCGGGTCTGTCCTATCTTCTTTTGTATTCCTGAAACATAACAGGCACTTTGTTAAGTGCTAAATACTTGCCATTGATGCTAGTTCCCTCCCAAACATTTTTCAAGTTTTTATTGTGGTAAGAATACATAAGATCTACTCTCTCAACAATTTTTTAAATTTTATTTATTTATTTATTTATTCATTTATTTATTTATTTAATTTTAGACAGAGGGGAAGGGAGGGAGAAAGAGAAGGAGAGAAACATCAACGTGTGGTTGCTTTTCACACGCCCCCCCCCCCCCCCAACCAGGGGCCTGGCCTACAACCCAGGCATGTGCCCTGACTGGGAATCCAACCAGCGACCCTTTAGTTTGCAGGCCAGTACTCAATCCACTGAGTTACATCAGTAACTAAGTGTATAATACAGTATTGTTAATTCTAAGTGTATAATACAGTATTGTTAACTACAGGTACAATGCTGTACAGCATTATCTCTAGAAGTTATTCAACTTAACTGACACTTTCTCCCATTTTTAACAGCTCACCACTACCTATAAAATAAATCCAAATGCCTCTGTTTTACATTCATATGCTTCCTATGTTTTATTTTTTACTTTGCAACAAAAATCTTGTTTCACATACACAAAAATTACTAAATTTTAATATTTTCTTCCACATTCATCACCAAAAATTTACTTAAATATGACATTTTCCTTTGTTTATGAGAACATCATTCTCACTGGTCTCATAGTTTAACCCGTTGTTAAGATATATAAACCACTGCTCTGATTTCTAAGGGCTTTGTTTCTTAAAAAGATCAATAAGACAAATGCACAGAGATAAAATTAGTGTGTGGCTGAAAAACAGAAGTTGACCTAAATAAAGTTTACCTCCAATTCAAAGAATCTAAAAGCTGACTGGTTTTATGCCATAAGCACATAAAATCATCCAAAGCCAGGAAAACTCTTTGTTTTTTTCTTTTGTGTCCTTTGATTTGTCTGCAGAGTGAATATTCAAATGACAAGAATATCATTAAGTTGGTGCTTCCAAAAGACATGATTGTTCTTATAGTAAGCCCCAGCTTATTTATTCACTTAACAAATTTTTGAGAAATAAACATGAAAAAGTTACTAGCTTATATTCTAGTAGGTGACAGACTTTAATCACGTAAGTAAATATATAGTTACTTTAATCACGTAAGTAAATATATAGTTACAAGTTCTAAAAAATGATACAAAATGCAGAGTGTGATGAGCAACATGATGCTGTACTTGATTTAAGACTTGGGAGTTAGAGGTTAGAAAGCATTGAGACGGTTTCTCTGAGGAAGTACCACTTAAGCTAAAAACTGAAGAGTGAGTTATATGAAGGGTGGTCATGCTGGAGCAATCCAGGCAAATAGAAAAAAATGTGCAAAGGCCCTGTAACAGAAAATAACTTGGTGTGACTGAAATGAACAGCAGTGTGACTGGAGTTTAGAGAGGGGGGAAAAAGGAGGATGGTGCAAGATGAAGCTAATAAAGCAGGTAAGAATCAGGTACGCAGAATGTGGCAGACCATTGCAAAGACTTTGAATTTTACCCTAAATAAATAAATACTCAATGATGGGATATCCACTGAAGGGTTTTAAGAAGAGAAATGATATGTGACGGTTGTTGAATGGACAAGTTTATGTGGTTTGTTTCAGTTTGGGGAAAACAGGGAAAGGAGCAAGAATGAAAGAAAACAGGGCAACCAGACAGGAAAGTACTGAAGTGATTCAGCTGTAACAACAATTACAATAACAATTAATCCTTACTAGCTATTTACTGTGTGTCATGTGCTTACTATGGTTACCTTATTTAATCCTCATAATAATCCAATAAGGTGATGTTTATTCCCATTTTACAGATGAGAATACTAGCTACCAGTAACATTAAGTTCAGGTGAATAAGGATTGTGGCTTGAACTAGAAAAGTGATACGATGTAGAGAAATAGATTCAAGACATATATTGGAAATAGAATAAATACAAGTTGAAGAGGGAGAACGGCCTTCCAGTGTCTAGCCTATGTTAGTGGATAAAAGGATGTATGTATCATTTAATGAAATTAGATGATGGAAAAGAAAGAGAGTGAGTATAGAGGGAAAGATTAAGACTTTGACTTTTAGACATGTTATATTTGAAATTTGTAAAAAAAATAATTAAGCTGAGATGTCAAGGAGATAGCACCTATTTAGATCTTAAACTTAAAACACAGGGAACAGGGTGGAAATAAAAACTCTTAAGTCACCAATATATAGGTGCAATTTAAAGCTTAGGGCATAAAAGGAAAAATAAAAAGAGAACAGAACCTGGGACCAAACCTGGATATTCACTTTTACTCCACTGTACTCTTGCTATGACCATCGATTACTTTGATTTCACAGGGCTTCGGTCCTCATTCAACTATCAACTTTCAGCAAAATCCAGCTCTGCTGATTACTTCACCTCTTTCACAAGACTTGCATTCCTCTATCCAGTTACTAAATGCCAAGAATCCCTTAGTGCTCCATCTTAGGTCCCCTTGTTGTCTAGCACTATACCCTGTTTTAGGCAGTTTCATATCTATAGCTTTGATTACCATCAATGCAACATACAGATATATATACACATATCTGTATGTTCAGCCCAGAACTCTCCTCTGAGCCCCGCCGCTGTATGTCCAACTGCCTATTCAACATCTTCTCTCTTTAAATTTTTTTTTAAATTATTGATTTGAGAGGGAGAGGAAGGGGAAGAAGAGAGAGGAAGAGAGAGAAACATCTATCTGTTCTTCTACTTATTTGTGTATTCATTGGTTGTTTCTTTTATGTGCCCTGACTGTAGATCGAACCCAAAATCTTAGCGTATGCAGATGATGCTCTAACCAACTGAGCTAAACGTTCTCTCTTAAATATATCTTCCAGTAAGATATTTTTGAGATACTGTCACGCAGAAATGGACATTTACACCCAGTCACATTTTTTAAAAGAATTGCCTCAAAACCACCACAGGACAACTCTCCAAAAACACAGGACTTTGTCATCAATCATCATTTCCTTTCGTAGACCAGTAACTAAAACAAGTAAACTTGACAACCTGACCTGATGGCTAGAGACGAGGAGCAACCAAATGCACGACAAAAATACAATTCATGCTTTTTAGTGAGAGATGGTTAGGAGAGAAAGAAAGTGAAGAATGTCAAGAGCGTGGAAGAGTACTCTGTCCAAGGCCTGATGGATGTGCGGCAACCCAAGTTCCCCCTAGAGACAGCAGACCTTGTAAGGGGCAAGTAGCGGACGGCGACAGCCCCCAGCGAAATGCGGCAGGTTCGGGTTGCGGAGAGAGCGAGTGACAGTAAAGACTAGGTCAAAGGAGGAAAGCCTAGGGGGAAGACCCAAGTGGAGTACCGGTGAGGCGCCAAGGGGATGAGAGCTGGGCTGAACAGCAGCGGCGAACTCCAGAAGAGTGAACGCCGAGTGGGCGGACCGCACGGGTCAGGGGGGAGGGGGCCGGAGGAAACGGCTCAATCGAGGAGTTCGCTGGGCCCGTCTTACCTGTGTCTGCGCGTCCGGAGCCCCGACAGGCCTGGGTGGAAGGGGAGGAGAGGGGGTTAAGGAAGAATGAGAAGCCGAACACGAAGAAGAGGAACAGCTAACTCCCCCGAGTCAGGGAGAGCGGCTGATGGCGGGAACTGTGACCACACGCAAACACGCAACGCACGCACGCACACTCGACGCGACCAAACGAGGCGCGTGCGCGCAGGCCTGCAAACTCCGCCCTTCCACGCCCTCGCTCCGCCCCAGCACTGATTGCGATCTCACGGAGGAAGCCCCGCCCCATTTGACGGTAGTACGCACGCGCATTTTCTACAGCACTCACTTTCTCCAGTCCACCGTTTTCCCCAGCTCAGGCCAGTGGGGCATGCGCATTACTTGTTCTCCTAAACCAGCTCGGCTTTTCCCGCCCTACGCTGGCCTCCGGAGGAGGGTTGGAGTTTATGGTCCTCTCTGGGGATGCTTGCTGGGGATGCAGGAACTGGTGGGTAGTGGATGTCCTTTAAGTCTTGAATATTAAGAAGCAAATTTCATTCTTTGAGACTAACTCCTAAGGGCCAGAAGGCGGGAAGAAGTTGTGTGGGCGGGGTCAGGGGGTGAAAGGTCATAGGGCTCCGGAGGGGCGGAGCGAGCCGAAGACCGATGGCGGCTGCGACGGCTCATCACATTTGGCGGCAGAGTCGCTGAAGCAGGGACGTGGGTCGGGAGCGTCCGGCGGTGGGAGTAGAGCAGTGGCTGCCCCCAACATGCACAGTCTGGCAACGGCTGCGGTAAGTAACTGGGCCGCCCGGTCTAGGCCAAGAACCGTTCCTCAGCCCTGCATTTCGGCCTCCTTTCGTAGCTCCCTGTGTCGAGCCCGGAGTCCAGCTCTGCCAGTCCTCGAACCACGAGGCCCGGGGCTCCCTGGCTCCCTCCTCGCCGCTCTGTGGCCGAGGTGGCGTCAGCTCCCGCTTAACTCGGCGGCGGGCTTTCATGGCCTCTCGCGCGGCGTTTCGCGTTCTTTTCCGGCCCCGGGGCCTGGTCCTGCGTCCCGAGCGCCTCTCTCACGGCCCTCTAGCCAGCCATTCATTGACTCATTGCGCTGACCAAGAGTTTCCGGGGGTGGCAGTTGCGTGCGCGGTGTCGGCGAGGACGAGGGGAATTCGTAAGCAATCTTGACAGGACCCTGGGCTCTCGGAACTCACTGCCCGGGCGCATCGCAGCGGGAAGGCAATGGCTTCTAGCCCAAACCACACGCTTTACAATGGCAAATTTGAGACCCGGAGAAGTGAATTATTATGTCTGACTTATGGTTGTCTGCGCTTCAGACTTTTTTCCACACCATCGCATTCTCTCAGCGAGGTCTTTCAACACAAACGGATCGTGTTAATTCATCAGTCTGAAGTAATCCTATGGCTTCCCATTGCAATTAGGTAAAATCCAGACTCCTTGCCATGACAAGGCCCTCCCTGGTTTTTACCCACGTTTACAGTCTCGTTTTATGTCACTTGCGTGGTAGGCTCCAGTTACATTGGCTGCCGTTGTCCCTTCTAGTGTGCTTTTCCGCTCCGCGGTGCAGTTTCTGATCTCTTCCTGGAGCGCTCAATCTACTCCGGTCCTTTACACACACACACACACACACACACACACACACACACACACACACACACACGTACCTACACCGCCCCCTCCCCAATATGGGCTTAGCTGGCTCTTCCCGCGGGTCTCTGCCCGAATCTCATAGAGTTGGCCTTCCTGTAACCATCTTTTTTAAAGCAGTTCTGTGACCTCCAGCTTTTCTCTTTACAGCGCCCTTTACAGCATTGATTCCAATTCATTCACTTGGTTGTCATTGTCTCTCTTGAGGACAGAAATATTATGTAGGTCCTGTTTTTATGTTTACCCCTGTTGCTGGCACAAAGTAAGGGCTCACTTTGCTGAGTGAGGGGTATAGATGAGAGAGTTGGCTACTGAGAGCACTCAGCCTTAATGGGAAAACGGGATCATATGATTTGAGCACACTCTTCTAAAATTCCCATCCCACTTTTTCTGTTTCATCAAGATGAAGTGACTTAGAAACATACTGTAATTACATTATTAGGCAGAATGATGTAAGTACCACATAGAGAACCAAAAAATTGCCTTGACTTTAAATATAAAAAGTGAGCTTAGTGAGATTAGGCTATAGAAAACTGTCATTTCCAAAGCCAGGGGCCATCTCTGCCTCCTGTTACCAGGTTTCTGAGTGTTTGTAACTATTCAAAGTGGAGAGGTATTTTTTATATCTTTCATTTGGTGTTTGCAGTTTCCCAGCTTTTCTTTTTTTCTTTTTTTACTTTTCCTTCTCCCAAATTACATGTGTAATTTGGAAAAAGTAAGTTAAGATGAAGCTGCTGCTGGTAGGGGAGGAGCAGGTTAAACAAGGGATTCTTCTAAGGCTGGCTTGTCTCTCCATCTCTTAAAATCTGATTGTGTCTTCTTCACACTTTGGTACCAAGCTGCTCTGTTCCCTGTGCCTCCTCGAACTCTATACCTATTCAATTCCTTTTATTTTTCACTTGCTTTGAATACATCTTTCAAACAGCCATTAAAGCTGTGGTTTGTTTATAAATACCAAATCCTTCTTTCTTCAATTAAATTTATAATACCTTACATTCATTTAAAATTTGAACGTTTAGATATACTTTCACCTGCTATGCACTCTGGACCACACAGAAGCTCTGACAAGTTCCTCTGTACCTCTCATTCACTAGAGTACTTGGTTAGTGAGGACACTGAAGCATAGAAAAGTTGAGCAGCATGAACATTTTTAGTCTGAGATTTTTATATATTCCCTATCTCTGTTGTCTAAGTCACAGAAAGTCATTTTTAGCTCAGACCTTATATCTCAGTTAGGTGAGAAGCAGCATTAGCAAAGCAGTTAAGAGTGTGGACTCTGTTGCCAGGCCACCCGAATTCAAATCCTGGCTTGCCACTTAAGTGTTAAGTAATTTCTTTGCTCCTCAGTTTCCCCATCTTTAAAATGAGGGTGGTGATGATACTCATTTAATTAGGACAGTGCCTAACAAAGTAAGCTCTCTATATATGTTAGCTCCCCTTTTTAAGAAAAAAGATATTTTAAGAAATATTTGTATTTATCCTGTAACAAATACTGTATTTTGCTGTGTATAGTGCATTTCAGCGTATAATGCGCACCCATGTTTTTGGCCCAAACTTTCAGGAAAAAAATCTTTCATTTTAATTTCTTAACTCAGTTATTTATTATATTTAGAAACAAACCAGTTACCATATTCTAGGGTATTAATTTGCTTTCTAGAGTTACTTTTAACCCAAACATAAATAAAAATTAAAAAAAAGCATATAGATACAGAATTAGTATTACCCATGTATAATGTGCATCCTTATTGTCCCTCAAAAATTTGGGCAAAAAAGTGTGCATTATACATGGCAAAATATGGTGGGTATTCAGTGGGATTAAGCTAATATCTGCTATTAAATTGGGGGCAAAATTCAATAGGGATGATGAAAAGGAGTGTCCTATTTCCTGGTATCAAACTGCCCTCACTGCCTTCCCATTGCTAGAATGGCTATAGAACCCACAGCTCGAAGCTAGTGAGGCTATATTACCACCCACTTGACATCCCTAGCTCTCTTAGAACCAAGTTTTCCTGGAGGCTGCGGCTCCCACATGGAGTATTGCTGGCAGCAGGTGGTCATGGTCCTAGGAACACAAAAGTAGTCACCAGGAATTGACCACCCAGAATTGACCACTCCATTCAGGAGGCACCGTCTTCTCACTGGAGTCAAGTCAGCTCTGGAAGTAGAATATGGGGGATGGCAGGTATTGTTCAGAAGCCATGATATGCTGACCGGTGGCTATCAGTACAGCCTGGAGGTGTCCACCTAAGGTGCCCACGGCAGAATGGGGTACAGAGGTGCTGGGTACAAGTCACAGGCTGGCTGTAGTTGGGGTGATGGAATTTATTGATGGTGGTGTCTGGGTGACAGGACTTTGAGGAGAGTTGACCAGAATGAACAATGGGTAAGCAGGATAGATACTATATTGCTGAATAGTGTCTGAGAGGCCCCTTTAGTTACAGAATTATGGGTCATTCAAGAGACTGGGCAGCAAACCCAAAGCTAAAATTTTAGCTCTTGTTTTTATTGAACTTTTAAGGTGATATAATAGTCTAAATAAGCATATCCTATCTTCTGGTGGGAATTACATTTCCAAAAATAATTTTTTTAGGTTGAGGCCTGTCTACAGCAGCATAGAAAGGACAAGTGTTTAGACAGTACTACTTTGGCTGTAGGGAGGGAGAAAAGTACCCAGTTCTTTCTACCTCATCTTGTTGCTCTAGGAGGAGCAACAAGTGTTTCCTTGAGAAGCACCACTGATGGGAGTCCAAAAACAGTTTTTAACAGATTACCCTATGGTAGCAATTTTCGACTGCAGTGTCCCAGTAGGCATATCAGTGCGCTGTAGGAATTCTTAAAACGTGCAATACCTGACTATGTAGTCAGGGGCACTGACCTTTTTTTCCTTAGGCTGTCAAGTTAAAAAGAAATGATAACAGCCAACACAACAAATAGCCATCTGGTCTGAATGAATCAAAGTTATACCCTTTTTTGTCAGGTCAGCAAAAAGTATATTTTTTGGTGTGCCGCAGAATTTTACTTACTAGTTTTGTTTGTGCCATGAGAAAAAGGTTGAAAATCGCTGCTGTAAGGCATTAAGCTGCATTATGTTTCAGTTCATTTAGCAGAATACCTTGTGGCTCATTCTGTCAAACAAGTGAAATGATAAACATTAAGTATACATTAAGCTAAAAGGTTATAATCAAGCTTCCATTTATAGAAGGCGATTGTTTAGCTTGGGTAAAGTAAATGTGAATATACCTCAAAGTCCATCTTAGACTTCATTCTGCTCTTCAAGAAAGACATTTGTCCTTTTTGTTCCTCATCTTTCCATTTGTGTAATGGATAGGTCAACATTCTGTCACAGTAAGGTATAGTGGGAACATGTAGATACTGTGAGAAGCTGTCTAATTCAGTTCAAGAAAGCATTGGAATATGCACCTTCATACTTGTGTGAACCGAGGAGCTTTATTCCTCTGAGCATAGGGCTCTCATCTGCAAGAGCCCTTCTTCTATCTACCCACCCTTTCCTTCCTCACAGTTTTGGGGGGTATTAAATGAGGAAATACTGGACATAGAAATAGAAGTCACCATGAATTTGGTAGGACTTTAAAGCTAGAAATAGCAATGGTAATTATTTTTCTACTCTACTGTATTATTTTCTGGATAATTAAGGGGACCTGGCTGGTGTGGCTCACTTGGTTGGAGCATTGTCTTTAGACTGAAAAGCCATGGGTTCGATTCCTGGTCAAGGCACATCCCTGGCTTACAGGTTATGTCCCCAGTGGAGGAGCATGCAAGAGGCAACCGATTGATGCTTCTCTCTCACATTGATGTTTCTGTCTCTCCCTTCCCTTCTTTCTAAGATCTATAAGCATGTCCTCAGGTGAGAATGTTTAAAAAGAATAATTAAGGGATAAATCAAGGTGATAAGGCTATTTGACATATGTGAAGAATTATAGAAATCCTCAATTTGGTGGGAATATGTGGGGTTTTTAAAAGATTTTATTTATTTATTTATTTTTAGAGCGAGGGAATGGAGGGAGAAAGAGACCGAGAGAAACCTCAATGTGTAGTTAGTTGCTATCATGCACCCCCTACTGGGGACCTGGCCGGCAAGCCAGGCATGTGCCCTGACTGGGAATTGAACCAGCAACTCTGGTTCACAGGCCCACACTCAATCCACTGAGCTACACCAGCTGGGGCTACTGCTCATACTTTTAATCTTCTTTTTCTTAGATAAGTCCCTTTAACATTTCTTATAATAAAGGCTCAGTGATGATGAACTCCTTTAACTTGCCCTTATCTGGGAAGCACTTTATCTGCCCTTCCATGCTAAATGATAGTTTTGCTGGATAGAGCAATCTTGGGTATAGGTCCTTGCCTTTCATGACTTGAAATACTTCTTTTCAGGCCCTTCTTGCCTGCAAGGTCTCTTTTGAGAAATCAGCTGACAGTCTTATGGGCACACCTTTGTAGATAACTCTCTCCTTTTCTCTTGCTGCTTCTAAGATTCTCTCATTTTAAATCTTGGCCAATGTAATTATGATGTGCCTTGGTGTGTTCCTCCTTGGGTCCAAGTTCTTTGGGACTCTCTGAGCTTCCTGGACTTCCTGGAAGTCTATTTCCTTTGCCAGATTGGGGAAGTTCTCCTTAATTATTTGTTCAAATAAATTTTCAATTTGTTGCTCTTCCTCTTTTCCTTCTGGCACCCCTATGATTTGCATGTTGGAACCTTTAAAGATGTCCTGGAGGTTCCTAAGCCTCTCCTCATTTTTTTTCGAAGTCTTGTTTCTTCATTCTGTTCTGGTTGAATGGTTCTTTCTTCCTTTTGCTCCAAACCATTGATTTGAGTCCTGCTTCCCTTCCTGTCGCTGTTGGTTCCCTTTGGTTTTTTTTGTTTTTTGTTTTTTTTTAATTTCACATAATGCAACCTTCATTGCTGCCTGGGTCTTTTTTATGCCATTGAAGTACCCAGTGAGTTCCTGGAGCATCCTGATAACCAGTGTTTAGAACTCTGCATCTGATAGGTTGACTATCTCTTTGTCACTTAGTTGTGTTTTTCCTGGAGCTTTGATCTATTCTTTGATTTGTTTGGGCTTTTTTTTTTTTTTTCTGGTCTTGGCACACCTGTTAGTAGTTAGGGGTGAGCCTTAAGTGTTCACCAGGGCAGGGCAACCCTTGTGGTTGAGTTGTGGCACTGTATGTGGGGGAGGGGTCCAAGACGAAACGGTGCCACTTACTCCATTCTTTGCCAGTTTTCAGTCACTTCCTCCACTATCCACAATCAAATTGAGCCCTTCTGGTGCTGATTCCCAGGTGGGTGCGTTTGCTTACCTTCTGAGACCCTGTAAGTCTCTCCAATGAACTCTGGTGAGGCTGGGAGTTTCTCCCACTGCCGCCTCAGCCCCCACAGGTGTTTTCAGTCAGAGGCTCTGAGGCTTTATTTCCCTGCGCCGGAACCCTGGGTCTCGTGGTCTGTCATGCTCCCTAGTTGTTCCTCTCGGTTTGTCCGCATGGGAATGTCCCCCAGCCACCGCCCAGTCCCCCAGCCACCGCCTTGCTGCGGGTCCTCTCCACCGGGCTGCCTGTCTCCACCCCACCTACCAGTCTGGATGAATGTTTCTTCTTTAATTCCTTGGTTGGTGGACTTCCATTCAGTTCGGTTTTCGGTCAGTTCTGGTTGTTTTTGTTCTTAAATTTGTTGTTGTCCTTTTGGTTGTGTGAGGAGACACAGTGTGTCTAGCTACGCCTCCATCTTGGCAGAAGTCTGAATATTGTGATTCTTTAGCATGATAAGGAAAGTATGGTCTGTCAATCTGTGTATATAATTCCTACGTGAGTGAGTAATGAATGGTATCCAAAGGAGAGAATCTTTAAGAAGGGGGAGCTTTTCTGAATTACATAGGTTTTCTGCTCCATGGAGGAGGATCCTGGAATTACTGGGGAAGGACCAGCAATGGGTGGGGAGGGTGTAGCTTTTTTCTTTGAGAAACTGTTATAGGTACATAGTTTTAAAAAATTTATGCAGAAGATTTTATTATATATAATGAAAAGTAAGCCTCACATATGGATTCCGAACTTAGAGGTAACTACTGTTAACAGTTTCTTCTGTCCTTCTAGAAATGTTATGTGTAAATATATAGGGATGTATGTGTATATTAATGCAAGCATATATGCTGTTCTACACCCTTTTTATTTATTAGCGCATGAAGAGGTATCTTTTTTTAAAAAGCTGCATAGTATTCTATATAAAGATGTACCCATACATGTTTAACCAGTTCCATTTAATGATAGCCATTTGTTATTTCAAGTTGTCTATTTTTAAAACAGAGCAATGGTAAATATCCTAGTATGTCTTCAGTACAGCCCAAGTATAACTATAGGATAAATTCCTAAACATGGAATTATTAAAGGATGTATGCATTTTAGATTTTGATAAGATCAATTAGTTTGTTTCAAGTATATATATTTAGAAAAGCTCCCTTGGTATTTATGAAAAGTATATTCCCTCTAAAGCACTACTGCAGAATAAGACTTGGTTTGACTCTAATGAAACTGGCTTGTTTACTTTCTTGTTTTCACTTGAAGCCTGTGCCTACTGCACTGGCTCAAGTGGATAGAGAGAAGATCTATCAGTGGATCAACGAGCTGTCCAGTCCTGAGACAAGGGAAAATGCTTTGCTGGAGCTAAGTAAAAAGCGAGAATCTGTTCCTGACCTTGCACCCATGCTGTGGCATTCGTTTGGTACTATTGCAGCACTTTTACAGGTGGGTATGTATCCATTAGCTGTAATTCAGTTCTGTTCATCACAGCTGTAACTCTTTGCCTTGGCCCAAATGATTTTGAAAACATTAGTAGGATGTCTCTAAATGTTGGCATTTGCAAGACTATCTTAGACAAGTCTAAGGTGCTTGTTAAAATGCAGATTCTTGGATCCTACCCAAGAGATTTGGTTTATTAGTATAAGACTAAAATCTATATATTTTTAAGCCCTGGCTGGTGTAGCTCAGTGGATTGAGCGTGGGCCTGCGAACCAGATTATCTCGGTTTGATTCCCAGTCAGGGCACATGCCTGGGTTTGCAAGCCAGTTCCCAGCAGGGGACACATGAGAGGCAACCATACATTGATATTTCTCTCCCTCTCTCCTTCCCTTCCCCTCTAAAGATAAATAAATAAACTCTTTAAAAAAAAACTTTAAAAAATCTATATATTTTTAAAGAGAGGAAAAGGGAAGGAGAAAGAGAGGGCGAGAAACATCAGTGTGTGATTGCCTCCTCCACACCCCCTACCAGGGACCTGGCCCACAACCCAGGCAAGTGCCCTGACTGGGCATGGAACCTGTGACTCTTTGCTTTTCAGGCCCACACTTAATCCACTGAGCTATACCAGCCAGGGCTAAAATTTGTATTTTAAAAAAAATGTTATTTTATTGATTCTAGAGAGAGGGGAGGGGACAGAGAAAGCTAGGGAGAGAAACATCAATGGGAGAGAAGCATTGATCCGTTGTCTCTTGCACGCTCACCAAATGGGGATTTGATTTGACCTGGAATAGAACTAGTGACTTTTTGGTTTGCAGGATGATGCCCAATCAACTGAGCCACACTAGCCAGGGAAAAATCTGTATTTTTAACAAGTACCTCCCTGCTGTCAGGTGATTCTGATGCGGGTGGTCTAAGAACTACACTTTGAGAAACACAGCTTTAGGAGTACTACAAGCCAGTTCTACATGAGAGTGGCAAGAAGGTGGAAAGTGAGGTGTAAGGACCAAAAGGTATATGCTAGGGAAAGAAAACATTAAAGATGTAGGATTAAAGGTGGGTACATTTGTACATTAAAGAATAATAGATTTAAGCCTGACTGGTGTAGCTCAGTGGGTTGAGCGCAGGTCTGCGAACCAGAGGGTTGCAGGTTTGATTCCCAGTCAGGGCACATGCCTGGATTGCAGGCCAGGAACCCAATGAGGGCTATGTGAGAGGCAACCACACACTGTTTGCCACCAGAATGGTCATTTGTGGGGAATAAATTGATATGTTATAATCTAGGGAATAATGATCTTTTCAGGCATTGTCCAAAATACCTAATATTTAGATTAACTTTTTAGATCTGTTAAGTCACTTCACATTCTGTCCCTACTGCATATAGCCAAGAATCTAGTCTTTCTTATTGGAATATTTTCTGTGTAAAAGTTTCACATTAAAATTAATGAAGTTGTATTCAACAGATTATCACCTTTTGATAACGAGTACATATATTCACTGCATATACCCATGTTCTTATCTTCGTCTTTGCAGTTGCTACCCAGCCAAACTCAAACTCCTTTATGAGTCACTGTGGTTGATTTACTCACACTTTTTGGCCAGCTACTTCATCACTATAACAAAGCAGAATGTTGACAAAAAAAAGGGATTTTAAATGTAAGAGTTCCTCAAAAGTGAAAGCCTCAACAGATGCAGGATATAAGAAAAGTATCAGTGACCACAGTTACCCCACAGAAATCTTCCTAGAGAACTGTAGAGATGTCACAGATAGTCTCAGTTGAGCATCTTTCTGATGAAAGGATAGGAGCATGTTTCTGTTCAATTCTAACAGGGTATATGGAATTAAGAGGGGTCTTTTTTAAGTTCTTGCTTTAATATGGGAATTAATTTTATAAGTTATTTGTTCATCCGGTGCTGGTTTCTCTTTTTTTAGGAAATTGTAAATATTTATCCATCTATCAACCCACCCACCTTGACAGCACACCAGTCTAACAGAGTCTGCAATGCTCTGGCGTTACTGCAGTGTGTGGCGTCACACCCAGAAACCAGGTAAAGGCTTCAGATGCGTCTTTTAGGGGATGTTTGTACTGCGTATGGTCTTTAACTCTTTCTCAGTGATGACAGAAGGGGCGTGCAGTAGGGCGACTGTGTGTGCATATGGGTCTTCAGGATCTACATTCACTTGTTGTTTTCCTGAAGAATATCTGGTCTCTAATTAATTAAATTTAGTGTAGTAACATTATAGTATTGTTTAACATGTTCTTTTTTCACCTCGTTTGGTGCACTGTTCCTGGAAGTACTGCAATACCAGGTTAATGTATGGAGTAGACAGAACGAGCTCCTATTCCATTTCCTAGTTCCCAATAATCCATTTAATGTATCATCCTCAGATAGAAGACGTATCAGATATTAAACGGATAAAAACAGATACTACACTTGGTCTTAGCCACAAGGCCGAGAAGCGATAACCCCTTTTTATTATGGTAAAATATACATAACATAAATTTTACCATTTAAGCCATTTTCAAGTATGTAGTTATTTACTATTAAATACACTTACAAGTGTTCAAAAAACACCATCATCCAACTCTGTAACTCTTCATCTTTTAAAGCTAAAACTTTATACCCAGGAAATGATAGCTCTTCATTCCCCCAGCCCCTAGCAACACAATTGTACTTTCTGTCTCTGATTTTGAACACTCTGAGTATCTCACATAAGTGGAATCATACATTATTTGTCTTTTTGTGATTGGCTTATTCCACTTAGTATCATGTCTTTTAGGTTCATCCATATTATATTGTGTATCAGAATTCCTTTTCTTTTTAAGGCTAAGTTGTCTCATATACTTTTTACCCATTCATAGCAATGAATTTTAAAGCAGTAGTGTTCACATCTCAGGAAAGGTAAGAGTACTCTGAGTGTTAAAAATTTAGGGTGTTAGCTCTCCTACAAGATTTAACTGTAAATAATAGATTGATTTCATATTTGTTGCCTGACATTAGTTGCAGATTAAAATGTTTTTAGAATATTTAGTGAATCTGAAATTCTGTAACAAAAGGAGTATGCATTTAAGCATAGCAGATAAGCCTGTAATGGTGGCTGCTTTGTTTTGATTTATAAGGTTTTGTCTGACTTTACCTTTGAATATTGTTATTCAGCCATAAATTAGGTGAAAGAAGGCATCTAGGAGAATCTCTTGAACACTTGATTGCATTTTATGATTTTTTTTTAATCTGCAGTTGGATATTTTTCGTTTTTAAGGTACTTGGTGCCGATAAGAGGAAAAATCATGTATTCTCTTAACCATTGGCCTAGACTAGGGTTTTTAATCTTAACACCATCGATGTTTTGAACTGAGTAAGTCTTTGTGGTAAGAGGAAGGGGATTGCGGGGGTCTGTCCTGTGCATTATAGAATGTTTAGCACCATCCCTGGCCTGTTGACTGGATGTCAACAGCACCACCTCAGCTGTGACAACCAAAAATATCTACAGACATTGTCACATGGTCCCTTCAGGGGCAAAATCATTCTGGTTGAGAACCGCTGGTCTAGACTTGCCTAAAGATTCTTTCCAATAACAGTCTGTTAAAGATTCCTTGGTCAATCAGTGGTATAGACCTTATAGAATTAACCATCTGGAAATTTGAATGTTTAGAATCCTTAGAAATTAATTCTATCCTCTGAATGATTATTTTTTTTTCTTCCAGGTCAGCATTTCTTGCAGCACACATCCCACTTTTTTTGTACCCCTTTTTGCACACTGTCAGCAAAACACGTCCCTTTGAATATCTCCGGCTAACCAGTCTTGGAGTTATTGGTGAGTCATTAGGGGTTTTTTGGAAGCCTTAAGTCCTAACTTATAATAGTGGTCTTAACTTGTATGTGTTGTCCAGCATTTTATAGCTTTGTTCACCAATTATTTTTGTCTTTGAGACTGAGTCTATTTTTACTAATAAATGAGTGTCAGGAACATGATGGCTCTTTTCAAGTACCATTCTCAGTGTTATTAATAATCCCCACATCTGGGATTAAATTCAGTTTATATGTGGAAACATTTACTGGAATTTTAGGGAGAGTAAAGAACAACAACTTCCATCAGCAAAGTATAATGGTAGGAATAAGTATTTGAGTTTGTTTTGTTTTATCTTAGTTCTAAACTGTCTGTTAACTCTGAGGGTTTACCTTCTATTTCATCTAGTTAAATTTTTGCATGCTCAAGTTAATGTTTTCCATATATATTTACTATGGGAAATGTGTCTAAAATACATCACTTAAGAAAAAATGTATCAGGTACTTCAGATCTCAGCCTCTTAGGTAGTAAAGAACTACTTTTGGATTTGTGAAATGTAAATACACTCAACGAGGTTTCTTTCTCAATTACTCTTCCTGTTTTCAGTATCTTCTTCTGATAGTTTTTGCTCATGTACTGAGTAAATGATAAAAATGTTGATTATACAAATTTTATTTTGTTAGGATATTACTTTTACATTCAATTTGTGTTCATATCACTACAGTTACAAACCATGAATTAGGAAATATGATTTAAAGTTTGGTTTTTCTAGGATATATTTCTGAGACATTTTATTCTACTTTTAAGCAGTAACTATTACTTCATATATTCCAAATGAATGTTACATTGTTTTTTACCTCTCCCTGCAAATGGTACTCTGATTAGAAACTTTTTTACTGTATATTCTTTTCTGTTTTTAAGCTATACAAATTTTTCATGTAGGATTTAAAGCAGTGTGATTCCAGAAAAAAAATTGTATTCTTAATTCTGATTTAAATCTTCCTATTTCTAGGGGAGACATAGAATCTAAAGAACTTGAGACACGTGGTCATAAACTAAAGGGGGGGAACGGTGGGGGAGGGGTGTGCAGGGTGGGAGGGGAATGAAGGGGGGAATTAGAACAACTGTAATGGCATAATCAATAAAATATATTAAATAAAATAAAACTTTTAAAAAAAGGGTATTACACCAAACCATTGGAAAAAAATCTTCCTATTTCTGCTGTTTTTTTGGCCATTAAGGTTGGATTATGCATTTATGAGATGATAGGATAAAGGTGACAATGGAGGGATGAATAAAATGCTGTATTTTGCTGTGAAAAATGCACACTTTTTGTACAAATTTTTGAGGGAAAAATGAGGCACATTATACATGGGTAGTACTAAATCTGTATATAAATGTTTCTATTTATGGGTATGCATTAAAGTATAATTCTAGAAATCAATAATGATATCCATATGCAAAATTATATCCTGGAATATATGGTTTCTGTTTTGTTTTTAATATAAATAAATTAAAAATTGAATTAAAAAATTAAAAGATTTTTTTTTTCCTGAAAGTTTAGGGCAAAAATATGGGTATGCATTATACATGGCAAAATATGGTACTTGGACAATATTAAGCCATTTTTTCACACTTGTGTATATTTTCTGAAACTCAGTTTCTTTCTCCACATCAGTTGAGGGAACAAGCAGAAGGTGAATATTTGGACCTATTCTTTTTGCTTATAGTTAAAGAAAACATGTGAAACTGAATAAAAATTAAAATACAGCATATCAAAATTTATACAATGCGGCTAAAGCAGGGCTAGAGGGGAAAATGTAGCATTAAATACTAGGCAAGAAGAAAGGTCTTTAATCAAATTTCTTAAACTTTCACTTTAAGAAACAAGAAAAAGGAGCAAATTAAACCAAAGCAAACAAAAATAATAGACACCAGTGAAAATGAGAATAGAAAAATAGATAAAATGAATGAAACCAAAGGCTGAATTTTTTAAAAATTGAAATATAATTAATGTATAACTTTGTGTTAGTTTTAAGTGCACAATATGATTTGATATGTGAATATATTGCAAATTGATTACCGCAGTAAGTTTAGTTAATGCCCATCGCCATAACTTTTTTTTACAATTTTTTTTTCAGTGAGAACTTTTAGGGTCTCTTCTCTCAACAACTTTCAAAATCATAACATAGTATTGTTACTATAATCACTGTGCTGCACGACACCCCCCCGAGGACTTACTTATCTAATAACTGGGAATTTGTGCCTTTGGGCCATCTTTGCCCATTTCAACTGTTCCGAATTTCTTATTGAAAAAAATTCAATGAAATTAATAAACCTCTAACCAGACTAAGAAAAAAAGAGATGACAGGTTACAAATAGGAGTGAAAGAGGGTATGAAAGACTCTACAGACATTAAAAGGATAGGTAATAAGGGAATACTGTTTGAACTTCATACCCATGAATTTAACAACTTAGATGAAATGGACAAATTCTTTGAAAAATTCAGTCTGCCAAATCACACTCAAGAAATATAGGGAAACAGTATAGTTTTACATCTATTAAATTGTTTTTGTAGTTAACAACCTTCCAACATAGAAAACTCCAGGCCCAAATGGTTTTGATAGTGAATTCTATCAAAAACTTTAAAGAAGAAATAATACCACTTCTACAAAACTTTTCCAGAACACAGAGAGGAAGCTTCTTAACCCTGGGAAAGGCCAGCATTACTATGATAATAAAACCAGAAAAAGACATTGTAAGAAAAGAAATCTATAAACCAGTATCCCTTATGAACATAGATGCAGAAATTCTCGACAAAATGCTAACATATCAAATCTAACAGTAAATAAAAAGAATCACGAAGAAGTGAGGTTTATCTTGGTAGTGCATGCTGGTTTACCTTTCAAAAATCAGTCAAAATGACTGACCATATCTAGTGACTAATAAAGAACTATTATCATTTTTGTAGGAGTTTTTTAAGCCTTTGATAGAAATCAGCACCCGTTTATGATAAAAACTCCAGCAAAGTAGGAATAGAGGGGAACTTTCTCAAGCTGATAAAGCACAAAAATACAAACAAAAACCTACTGTTAAGATCGTAGTTAATGGGAAAACTGATTGTTATCCTTGAAGATTCAGAATAAGGCAAGGACGTCTATTCTTACCACTCCAGTTCACTGTCATCTTGGGTACCCCAGCTGGTGCAATAAGGCAGGAGAAAAAAGTAAAGGGCTTGCAAATTAGAAAAAAATAAAATTCTTCACAGATAGCATGATTAACTATTACATATAAAAACTTTGCCGAACCACACAAAAAAGCCACAAGAACTTGAAACCTACATTTTATAATAGCACCAACACATGTAGAAAGACTTAGGTATAAATCTTACAAAATATGTGCCAGTTCTATAGCTAAAAACTACAAAACCATGAAAGAAACCACAGCCTAAATAAATGCAGAGATACACCATGTTGATTGATTGATATACCAGTGATTCAATATTGTGGAGATGTCAAGTCTTCCCAAATTGATCTATAGATTTAGAGCAATTCCCAAAGAAATCCAGTAGGATTTTTTAAAAACATATTTTATTGATTATACTATTACAGTTGTCCCATTTCCCCCTCTTTATTCCCCTCTGCCCTGCACACCCCCTCCCACCCACATTCCCCCCCCTTTAGTTCATGTCCATGGGTTGTACATATAAGTTCTTTGGCTTCTACATTTCCTATACTATTCTTACCCTACCCCTTTCTATTTTCTACCTACCATCTATGCTACTTATTCTTAGTGCCTTTTCCTTTTCTCTGCCCGCCCCCACTCCCCTGTTGATAATCCTCCATGTGATCTACATTTCTGTGGTTCTGTTCCTATTCTGGTTGTTTGTTTTTGTTTTTATTTTAGGTGTGGTTGTTAATAACTGTGAGTTTGCTGTCATTTTATTGTTTATATTTTTTTATCTTCTTTTTCTTAGATAAGTCCCTTTAACATTTCTTATAATAAGGGCTCAGTGATGATGAACTCCTTTAACTTGACCTTATTTGAGAAGCACTTTATCTGCCTTTCCATTCTAAATTAAAGCTTTGCTGAATAGAGCAGTCTTAATCTTGGATATAGGTCCTTGCCTTTCAGGCCTTGAAATACTTCTTTCCAGCCCCTTCTTACCTATGAGGTTTCTTTTGAGAAATCAGCGACAGTCTTATGGGCACTCCTTTGTAGATAACTCTCTCCTTTTCTCTTGCTGCTTCTAAGATTCTCTCATTTTAAATCTTGGCCAGTGTAATTATGATGTGCCTTGGTGTGTTCCTCCTTGGGTCCAAGTTCTTTGGGACTCTCTGAGCTTCCTGGACTTCCTGGAAGTCTATTTCCTTTGCCAGATTGGGGAAGTTCTCCTTAATTATTTGTTCAAATAAATTTTCAATTTGTTGCTCTTCCTCTTTTCCTTCTGGCACCCTTATAATTCGGATGTTGGAATGTTTAAAGGTGTCCCAGAGGTTCCTAAACCTTTCTTTCTTTTTTTTTTTTTTGAATTCTTGTTTCATCATTCTATTCAGGTTGAACTTTTTTTTCTTCCTTCTGGTCCACACAGTTGATTTGAGTCCCTGTTTCCTTCCCATCACTATTGGTTCCCTGTGCATTTTACTTCATTTAACTTAGCATCGCCTTCATTTTTTCATCTAATTTGCAACCAAATTCAACCAATGCTGTGAGCATCCTGATTACCAGTGTTTTGAACTGTGCATCTGATAGCTTGGCTATCTCTTCATCGCTTTGTTGTGTTTTTTCTGGAGCTTTGATTTTTTTTTTCATTTGCCCTTTTAATTTTTTTGTCTCTGCACATCTGTTATGTAGTGAGTGGTGAAACCTTAGGTGTTCACCAGGGCTGGGCAACCCACGTGGCTGTGTTGTGATGCTGTTTTGTGGGGGAGGGGTTGAGAGGAAACAATGGTGCTTACTCTGCTCTCTGACAGATTTCAGTCACTTCCCCCACTACCCACAAGCAAACTGGGCCCTTCTGGTGCTGATTCCCATGTGGGTGTGCTTGTGTACCTTCTGGGACCCTGTGGGTCTATCCAACAACTCTGTTGTGAGTTTGGGAACTTCTGCTGGTGCCTCAACCCCCACAGGTGTTTTTAATTGGTGGTTTGAGGCTTTATTTCCTCCTGCTGGGACCCCAGGTTGTAAGGTCTGTCTTGCTTCCCAGGTGTTCCTCCTGGTTTGTCCGCATGTGAATGTGGAACCACCTACTCCACCAGCCTTGGCCTTGCCAGTCACCCTGTTCCATAATCCACCACTTCGCTGGGTCCTCCAGCCACTGCCTTGCTTCGAGTCCTCTTCACCTGGCTCCCCATCTCCGCCCCTCCTACTGATCTGGATGAATGTTTCTTCTTTAACTCCTTGGTTGTCAGACTTCCATACAGTTTGATTTTTCTGTCAGTTCTGGTTGTTTTTTGTTTTTAAATTGTCATTGTTTTCCTTTTGTGTGAGGAGGCACAGTGTGTCTACCTACGCCTCCATCTTGGCCAGAATCCCCCAGGAGGATTTTTTAAGTAGCAAAATGATGAGCTGATCCTAAAATTTATACGGAAAGGCAGATGAACTAGAACTTTTTAAAATTTGTTTTAAGGACAAAATTGGAAGATGTACACTACTTGATTTCTAGACCTATGGATAACTATAGTAGTCAAGACAGTGTGGTATTGAATAAACTTGTTGATCAATGAAACAAAGTGGAGAAAGGATAGTTTTGTCAATAAATAGTGTTAGAACAATTGGATATCTACATGTAAAATGACCCACGATTCATACTGTATAGTCTATACAAAAAATAACTCAAAATGAATTTTAGACCTACATGTAAAATCTAAATAAAATAGTAATTTGATATCTGCTATAGGTCATATTAATGAATTGTGGTTACATGCTGTTTGCTGTGGAGTTTAGAGATACAGCATCTAGAGATTGCCATTTCTGAGTAAAACAAATGATATTCTTTACTCTCTCCTAAAGTGATTGATTTTAGTTATTACTAGGTCTAATTAACCAAGGCCTTTCATGTAAAGGCTGCCAATGCGTTGGGCAGCTTAGGGAACAGTAATTTACTTATGTATTTATTTGTTTGTTTTAAAGACTTTATTTTTTAGAGAGGACTTTATTTTTTAGAGAGGGGGGAGTGAGTAAGAGAGGGAGAGAAACATCAATGTGTGGTTGCCTCTTGTGCACCCCCACACTGGGGATCTGGCCTGCAACCCAGGCATGTGCCCTGACTGGGAATTAACTGGTGACCCTCTGATTTGCAGGCCGGCATTCAGTTACTGAGCCACACTAGCCAGGATGGAACAGTCATTTGTTTCATGGGGTTCTGCTTGAAACCCCATGTATACAGAATGAAGAAAACACCACTGAACTGTGTCCATCACCAGGTCAATGGTGTCAGTTTAGAGACCATCAGAAAAATAGAATTGAAATAACCCTGGGACAGGTGGCCCAGTTGGTTGAAGCGTTGTCCCCATGTACCAAAAATGGTTTCAGGTTTAATACCCTAGTAGGGCATGTACAGGAGGCAGCCAATTAGTGTTCCTTTCTCTTTTTCTCTCTCCTCTTCTTTCCCCCTTCCTTTCTCTCTAAAATCAATAAATACACTCTTGGGTAAGTATTAAAAGAAGTAAGAATTGGGATTAATTTTAGAAATTATTTGTTCCAACTATTTTATAGATAAAGAAACAGGCTACAAAGTGAAGGTAATTTGATCAAAGTTAAGTAAATTGTTGTGGAATCAAAACTAGAATCCAAGTGTGTGTGTGTTTCTTGTTTGGATATATCCTCAGTGTTTGTGCTGTTTGAGGGAAAGAGGGGCAATTAATAATCAGGAAGTAATGGTTATGTGCATTGTGAAGTAGGATTCTGATACCGTTTATTTGCTGCCTGGGAATATGCTTTAATACTGGTGTAGAATTCTTCTGTCTTATCTAAAATAAATGGAGAATAGATTATGATATTATCATATGATCTACCAAGGGTGGTAGAAAAATGATTTAGATGGCTAAACTGGTAACTCTTCAAATGGATCAAACTTGGTTCCTCATCTTTTAATGATGACTGATAACAGTCAACTTGTGCTATTTGTCCTTTTTTTTTTAACATGGGTATGACTGATTCTTTGACATAGAAACCACAGTTTGTATTCTGTGTTATTTAAGTTCCACAGCTAGCTGGATGAACAATATGAACTTAATTTTAACTGGGAACCATGATACTAAAATACTTTTGTCCATATTTCCTTTAGGGGCTCTGGTGAAAACAGATGAACAGGAAGTAATCAACTTTCTATTGACAACAGAAATTATCCCTTTGTGTTTGCGCATTATGGAATCTGGAAGCGAACTGTCTAAAACAGTATGTGCTTTTAACTTAATTAGACTCTACATTGTGTTGATCGCTTGAGCTACTTCTTTATGGTGTATAGGATAACTATTTTGGAAAGCTGTTTGACAGTATCTGCTGTAAACATAAGCTAATTCCATGACCCAGCAGGCCCAGCCTTAGGATTATATGCCAGAGGAATGAGCTCTCATATACTTCAACACATGTACAAGAATGTTTATAGCAGTTTTACTCATAAAGGATAAATTATAGTATAGTCACAAAATAAACCACACAGCAATTGAAAGAATGAACTCCTGATAATATGCAACATAGATGATGCTTATAGGCATTTTGTTGAGCAAAAGAAGCCAGACACATGGGGTTCATATTATATTACATTTATGTGAAATTTTAACAATAGGCAAAACCAATCCTTGGAGATAAGTCACAATAGTGGTTACCTCTCAGGGAAGGCTAGTGACTGGGAAAAGGCACAGGGAATCTGCTGAGGTGCTGGAAACATTCTGTATTTTAATCTGGTTGTGGTTCATGAATGGGTACATAGGTAAAAAGTCATCAAGATATACTTTGAGATTAATGCACTGTGTATACTTTATACTCTTTATTGTGTATATGTTTTTATTAGTTTGCTATTGCAGGCATAATAAATTGTTACAAGCTTGATGGCTTATAGTCTGGAAGTAAGAAATTATAAATCAGTTTTATGAAAGTCAGGATGTCAGCAGGGGAGAGTCCTTTCCTTGCCTTCTCCAGCTTCTAGAATTGCATTCCTTAACTCATCCTCCTCCTCCGTCTTCAAAGCCAGTGTTCACATCTCTTCCTGCTTCTCTCACATTGCCTTCTCTTCTGTAGTTGAATCTCCCTCTGCCTCCCTCTTACAAGAACACTTGTGGTCATATTTAGGACATACCAGGATAATCCAGGATGATTAATCTCCCCCACCTGTAAGATCCTTAATTTAATCACATCTGTAAAGTCCCTTTTGCTGCGTTAGGTAGCATCACAGGGTTTGGTGATTAGGACCTGGATATCTTTGGGGGCCATTGTTAGCCAACCACAACTTTATAACAGTGAAATAGTAAAATTACATAATTCCCACAGTTGGTTCTGATGAGCAGCCAAAGAGAATCACTGTAATAACTGTTTCACTAGAATTAAGCTACAGTAATTATTTTAAAAATTCTATGTAAGAGTTAACAGCCTTAAATTGAGGATTTTCTTTACTGTTGTTGGAACAATTTTTGAAGGGAGGTTTAAAAATCTTAATTCTTAAAGGTGAGACTAGTTTGGGACCTCACCTTTGTAACTTGATAGCTTTGTCACTTGGGACCTTAACCTGTAAAGTGATTATCAGTTATACCTGACACATAGTAGGCATTCAATAACTGAGACACTTTATTCTTTTTTAAAGAATTTGATAATTACCTAGAACCTACCCTTTTATGTGAAATGAAAGTAACAATGAATGGTACCTTCCTCATAGGTTTATTTTGAGAATAAGGTAAGGCATGTTTTATGCCTTTAGGAAAAACTCTGGCAAATAGTAAATGTTTAGTATGGTAATATTTTTTATTTATTTGTTTGTTTGTTTATTACTACGCCTATCTTGTCAAGTAAGATGTATGTAATGCTAGTTTCTCTCCTTAATTTTATGAATCATGGTTATTTCTGGGAGAGACTAAACAGTTGGAAGGCAAGTCTGAATAACATTTTGGACCCCTTAATTTTGTTTCACTCAGGTTGCCACATTCATCCTCCAGAAGATCCTCTTAGATGACACCGGTTTGGCTTACATATGTCAGACATATGAGCGTTTCTCCCATGTTGCCATGATCTTGGTGAGTTCTGTTACCAGTCTTCTTGCAACTACTGACCACACAATTTAGTCCCTTTGCTGTTGACACTGAGCAATTTCAGTCTTCAGGCAATACCCTAGTACATGCCCTACTAGGGTATTAAACCTGAAACCATTTTTGGTACATGGGGACAACGCTTCAACCAACTGGGCCACCTGTCCCAGGGTTATTTCAATTCTATTTTTCTGATGGTCTCTAAACATCTGGAAATAACAAACCCAGAACATTGTATAATCATTTTTGCAATGTCTGATCTCTGATTCAACTGGGATTATTTTGTTTTTTGCATTTTTTATCCTACCCCACTCCATTTTGGGGGGAAACAGGGCAAGATGGTCCTGCAGCTATCCAAAGAGCCTTCTGCCCGTCTGCTGAAGCACGTAGTGAGGTGTTACCTTCGACTCTCAGATAACCCCAGGTAAACATTTATAGGATTTATAGGGCTTTGGGGTAACACTCTGGTGAATGGTTGCTTTATCTCATGGCATAGCTTCTGTATCTGTAGGACAGGGAAGGGCTATAACTATATTTAGTTTGCCTGAGACAGAACTTGATTAGTTCCTTTTCAAAATCTGAAGTGCTGACTTTAAAAAAATCTATCAGAATTTTATTTTCCCACTATAACTCTGTACCTTACTCTGAAATTCTAGAGAGTTCAGATAGTTCCCAGGGAACCTTAGGATGTATTATTCCCATGATTTGAACTTTGTGTTGCTCCTCTAGGTGTTCAGAAAGAGAAGAATATTTTCAAAGATCTCTTAAGGAAGGAACAGAGCCCAGAGGGTTCTTGATGTATTTTTAGTTCTCTCTTGATTCCTGTAAAGTCCTCGAGCTAATTATTTTATCTCCCAATGTTTATAATCTTCCTGCCAGAAATCATACATTGTAGGTATAATGCATTTTAGAAATGTTTGACCTTTTCCTTTGTAAATCCATAATTCATGTTGAAAGCCACTTGCTCAGATTCTATTAAACCACATAATGGGGTGATTTCTGTATTCCTAGGAATAGGAATAACTTGATTTAATGTGAACTCCTACCACTGAGGTTATTCAAGCCCTAGCCATTTCTTGGACCATTTTGTCCTGTTCTTTAGTGGTTCCTATTTTCACCAAAGTTTGAAAATGTTTATTTGAAATTCCACTTGTACAGAATCGTAACTTTGCTTAAAATAGCCTTATACAGAGTGAGCAAAAGTAGGTTTACAGTTATGAGTACATGAAAGTTGGTTCTTGTATTATTATCTATTAATGTATTATTTTTGTATAATTTATCATATCATTATTGTTATCTCATATCCTGACTTACGAATTATCTTTTCGTTAGCGATGGCTGGTAACTTAACCTACTTTTGCCCACCCCTGTGGTTCACAGTCACCTTTTTGAGGTTTTCAAATTTGACTTTTCTGCTGGTCATCTTTTAAAGAAAGTGGAACATGTGAAAGTTCATCTGATAATTTTGCTGCCGTTGTGTTGTTTTTACTGCTCATCTCCTATTAAGGGTTTTAATTATAAAACTGAAGCAGTTTTGGGAAAAACACAAATTTATATTAATTTAGAATTAAAGTCTACTTATCATACTATGAGTCAAGTCATATTCCCTGTTAACTGTACTGATTTTGGAAATATTTAATTTACTATTACCCATATATTTCTGATACGAGTATATTGGCATTATTTATATAGTCAGAAAGCAGGTTAAATTGAAGTAAACTATTGTACCATTTTATTCTACTTTCTTTTGTCATAAAATTCTGTGTTGGGGCATCATTGGGAAATTGTGTGCAGGCTACAGATTCTGGAATCTCTGGGCCTGTGCCTCATGTAAGCTTTAAAGAATTTTAATGGCTTCTTAAAGAATTTGACATAGTCATAGTTTCCCAGGATTCTATATGTTTATGTCTAAAAGGGGGCTCTTCCCTGTCCCCCAAATGTAGGTTTATTTGTGTTATCCCTGGTTGGTTTGCTTGTTTCTGATGTAGGGCACGTGAAGCACTCAGGCAGTGCCTCCCTGACCAGCTGAAGGACACAACCTTTAACCAGGTGCTAAAAGATGACACCACCACGAAACGCTGGCTTGGACAACTGGTGAAGAACCTGCAAGAGGGCCAGGTCACTGATCCCCGGGGTATCCCCCTGCCTCCTCAATGATCTTCCCCTGTCCCCTCCCACTACTCCCACAAGTTGGGGAAGGGAGGGGGAACCTTCGAGGAAACAGCTCAGGTTTTATTGCCGACTGGGAATAGACAACCTCAATGCTGAACTGCACTGGAGAGAAGGGGTGAGGTACCCCAGTTGAGGTGTATGAGCTGCCATCTCAGGCTGCCTTGAGGACCTGGGCTCCCTCTGCTACTCCCAGGAAATGGGCACCTGACAGCAGTCTGCCACCGCAGCCCCAGGAGGGTGTCAACACCAGCAAATGCTGTATTTACAGCATGCCCAAGACGACCCTCCTCCTCACCTCTACCTAGCCACTGGCAGGGAGCCGAGGCAGTGGTGATAGCAGCAGCACTCTAGGCATGGTGAACGCCTGGGACCAAGCCATGTGGCGTTTTCTTATTTTGCCTTCCTGGAAGACTCAATATGTGTCTCTTCATTCTCTCTCTCTCTCTCAGTATTTGTTTACTTTGGTGTTTGTTTGTTTTTTAATCTTAGAGAGAGATGTGTTTAGTGGACACAAGCTGTAATACTCAGCAAAATTTTGTCAATTGGCACTGTTTACAAGTCTGTTAGCTGCATAAGCTCAATAAAAAGTTGGTCTGGGCATTACATCCCCTCTGGCAGGCCAATAGCTGCATGAACTGTTGGGAGGATGGGAGGCAGGGGAAAGGGACGATGCCAAAGGATACCAGGAACCCACCGCCTATTGCCCTTCCCTTTCCCAGCCTGCTGCCCTCAGTTCTGGATGCCATGAGGACCTTAACCTTGTTTTTGGCTTCAGCTGCTAGCTTTTTCAAATCTCAGCGCTTCCCCCGTTTTCATTTTCCTCCAATTAAACTTAAAACAGACGTCTTAATTCATCAGGCTGTCCTGGAAGGGTATTATATTGAGGGAGGAGAGACGGCGGTGGATCTCACCTTCAACTCAAGTCCTCAAAGATGTTTTCTGGAAGACCTTTAAGAGGGAGGTGCCTGGGATTAAGAAGATAGGCTACTCCATCCCATTTTTTTTTGTTTTGTTTTAGTGTGAATTTCTGCTCCATCTGTCTTCATTTTGTACTTGAAGCAGTATTAGCTGAATTGAGTTCATTTTGTTCAGATTTAAGGTAGAGTTTTGAGTCTACTATCTTAAGTCCACTCAGTCTTTTTTTTTTTTGGACACATTCCCTTTTGGTCTATGGGAATTACAGGGTTACCACTAAAATATTTTTTACTGTTCACATTGTGTTAGAGAAGCCCCCTTCCTTCTCTTGAGCTTTGTGTGACTATTCACAATCCGGTGTGAACTACCTTGCCTTCCCTCCATCCCTCCTCTAGCCAGTACTGCTCTCTTATCCCCAACTCCAGTCAACAGTGGGGTTGTTAATTCAACGCTAGAGAGAGACCAGGTATTTTCCTTTCACATCTCACACAATTGAAGGTGTCTCTGAGTAAGTGTGGGACGAGGGTCTATAAGTTGTGACTTCAGAGAAATCTTTACAGAGGCAGTTTTGCCAACACAAGGGCTCTTTCAAAGCCGACTTTCACAAGGGGAGCCGGCCTTGCTAGTTGGCTCCTGTCTCTTTAGAGCCAAGAAAGTTGAAATTAAGTAGTCTAGGTGTAGGAAGGGTAGGATAAGCACTTATTCCCCTGCCTTCCAAGCTGAAGAGGAGAACGAAGCCAGCTCTCAGTAATCTCAAGTCTGAAGAGAAGAGGTCTTGGAGGAGCAGAAAAAGCCCAGACTGGAGAGACGTCTTGACTGCCTTCAGCCCATAGTTTGTATCTGGAGAGCCCAGCTAGGGTAACCCTGAGTTTTGCCAGCCACCTCCCAGCTGAGCCAAAGTTCTCTCATTCCCCCTCCACTGGACAAGCAGCTGAGGCCCAGGGCCTTGCTCCCTGGGAAAATTTCTTTACTCTCCATCTTTTGGTGCATTGGCCATATTGTTGTGCCAAGAGTGTCTTAATCCTCGTTCCATCTATTCTCAGCTGGCCTTGGGCCCCACATAGGTGTTCCAGGGGAGGGATGGAAATGGGCGTTATTCCCTGTAGTTGATCCTGATATCGTGTGTGTAAATAGACCCCTCCTCTCATTTTGTGTTTTTCATCCCTTGCACTCCCTCAACAGGATTGAAATAAAATATGCTTCTGTTTTTATAAAAGTAAGTTTTTCTTTAAACTGGAGATCTTATTTTGTCAAATAGATATCTAGGCACTTCGGTAAAGGTAATCCTTGTCACCCCTGCCTCTGCCCTTTGTCCATCTACACAAACATACTGTCTTGCCAAGAGGTCAGTGATGGTTTCTTTGTGGATAGGATATTTAGAAGAGTCTTACTGATGGACAAAAGCTGTTTGGGGAGATTGGGATGGTGCCCTTTAACTGGTAAAATATCTCTTGCTGGAACAGAACCTCATTCCTGGCTGTAGTGACCAGACCTTAGTACTGGTATGGGAGAGACTTCTATAAGTAAAGAGGTAACACTTGAAACATTTTATCACATGCCTGTTCATGGCTTTTGTGGGAAAGAGCCAACCTCTGCTTCCAGCTTCTTTTCCCCAAAGCTTTAGAGGGCCTGTGACTTCGAGTGTGGAACAAAGCGCGGAGAGGCGTTAGTAGGGAGCCTTCAGAGCGTGCCTTCCTTACTGTCCACAGTGTGATTTCCTTGGTCACTGTTCCTGCTGCTCAGTGTCTGGAAAGTGGGGAGATACACAAAATTATTGTTGTCAAAAGCTCAAGAAAAAAATCGAATAGGAAAACACAGGATGAAATGAGATTTCTTTCCTGAATGTTGTGTAATCTAATGTTTGAAAATATTTTAGTATATGCCAAAAGCAGATATAGCATAAGTTGAACAACACATCAAACCTGGCTTAACTGACAGAACAATGTCCTCTAAATCAATAGCATACACACTGTAATTAACTGAGCATTTTACTAAAGTTGATCATAATGGGACCATTACACAAGCCTCAAACTTTTTAAAAAATTAATAGAATGTTCTCTGAACTGAACACATGGGAATAAGCTAGGAAAAAGAACACTGGAAAGTCTGTTTCAAAAACATGTAGTTCAACCCTGGCCAGTGTGGCTTGGTTGGAGTGTCCTCCCATAATCAAAAGGTTATAGGTTTGGTTCCCGGCCCGGGGAACATGCAATTGTTGGTCCAGGTGTGTGTGTGTACATGAGGCAACCAATCAGTGCTACTCTTGCATCCATGCTTCACTCTCTCTCCTCGTCCCTTCCTCTCTCTAAAAAGTGATTAAAAAAATGTCCTCAGGTGAGGAGGTTTTTTTTTTTTTTAAATTAAAAATGGGTAGTACAAAATAAGACAAATACCATATGATTTCACTTGTATGTGGAATATAGTGAACAAAATAATCAAAATAGAAACAGACTCCTACAGAGAAGAGACACAATTATCAGAGGGGAGGGGGGTTAGGGGGCTCGGTGGAGAATGAAGGGACTAAGCAGTACAACGTGGTATATAGAATGGCCATGGAAATGTACGTTACAGCACAGGGAATATAGTCAATGTGACAAACTTGTATGGGGCCAAGTAGGTACCTGAAGCAGCAAGGGGACTATTCTCTAAATGACATGAATTTCTAACCACTTTGCTGTGCATCTGAAACTAATACAGAATAATATAAAATGTAAACTAATTGGGAAAAAGATTATACCAGAAGGGGAGGAGGATAGGGGAAGCAAAAGAGGAAATAGGGGGAATAAATGGTGAAGGAGACAAGACTTGGGGTGGTAAACACTCAATACAATATACAGATGCCATATTACGGAATTGTACACCTGAAACCTATACATAATTGTATTAGCCAGTGTCACCCCGTTAAATTCAATGCAACTTAAAATGTATGATCCTAAAAAGTAGAAATCAATTAATACATTAAATTAAAAAGCAGATAGTTCAATTCTAAGTAACCCCTGGGTCATAGAAGAAGTCACAAGGGAAGTTAGAAAAAGTTCTTGAATAAGATCTGCCATATGAAAATCTGGTGTATGGATAAAGCAGTATTTAAAAGATACTTTAAATTCACATTACAAAAGAAAGGCTGAAGTCTAGGTATTTATGTCAAACTAGAAGAGTAGCAAATTCAAAAAATGGAAGGATACAAAAAAAAGAAAAATAGCATGTCAGTGAATTAGAAAATGTACAGTAAAATCAAAGCCAAATATGCCCTTGAAAAGATTGATGAAATTGATAAACTCAGTAAACTGGTTGGGGAAAAACTTATCAACCATTTTAGAAATGGAAAAATGGACATTTTCATATTTTACAGTCACCAATCTCATAAATTTCCAGAGACTATAAAAAGGGAACATTAGAGAACAGGCAGACAATGACCAGAGGGGATAAGGGAGGGAATTTCGCGGGGGGGGGGGGGGGGGGGAAGGATTTACAGGAACTAGTATAAAGGACACATGGACAACTAAGGGGGGTGGAAATGGGAGGGAGGTGGGGAGCACTCGGAGAGTGGGCTGGGATGGGAGTAAAAGAAATCTACTTGAACAACAAATAGAATTAAAAATTATAAAGGGGGAACATCTACCTGGCTGGTTTGGCTGGTTTGGCTTGGTGGATTGAGTGTGGGCTATGGACCAAAGGGTGGCTGGTTTTATTCCCAGCCAGGGCACATGTTGGGGTTACAGGCTGGGTCCCTGGTTTGGGGCATGTGAGAGGTAATTAATTTATGTTTCTCTCGCACATCGATGTTTCCCTCTCTCCCTCAAACTCTAAAAATAAGTAAAATCTTCAATTTTTTTGAATATAGTATATAAAATGATAACGTATCATCTAATTGAGTTTGCTGCAGGAATGCAAGATTAATACAATACTTGAACCAGTGGAACCCACCACATACTCAACATAAGGAGAAAAATCACAATCATCTAGATAGATGCAGAAAAGAATATAAAATTTAATACTTATTCGTGATTTTTTTAAATTGAAAATCAGGAATAAAGGGGCACATTCTTAATTTAATAAAAAGTATCCAAAAATAAAAAACCCTACAGTGAATCTCCCATATTGAAATCATTGTTGATAAAATATTGAAATCATTCTCCACGAGATGAGGAATGAAATAAAGATGTTCATATTATACTTCCATTTATCGTTATACTGGTCCTAACCAGTGTGATAAGACAAGAAAATACAAGATTATAAAGGAAAAATGCTGACATGATTGTTTATATAGATAATGTAAAAATCTACAAGCTCTCAGAACTAAGCAAATTTTGCAAAGTCAATATACAAAGCAACTATGTTTCTAACTATAATAAAGAGACTCCTATAGAGAATTTTTAAAAATATAAGCCCTGGATGGTGTAGCGCAGCACATGAGCACAGGCTGTGAACCAAAGGGTCCCCAGTTCAATTCCCAGTCAGGGTACATGCCTGGGTCACAGGCCAGGTTCCCCAGTAGGGGCCACATGAGAGGCAACCACATATTGATGTTTCTCTCCCTCTCTTCTCCCTTCTCTCTCTAAAAATAAATAAAACCTTTATATATATATGTGTGTGTGTGTGTGTGTGTGTGTGTGTGTATATATACATATACACACACACATATACACACACATATATATACACACACACATATATATAGTGTAAGAAATAGATACAGCAAAAGATATGCAGAACTTGTTTACATCGAAAACAATGAAACCTTGAAAAATGAAACCTACATAAATGGATAGATCATCTCCATGAACTGGAGAACACTAGTGTAAAAGGGCACCAATTTTCTTAAACTGATCTGGTTAAACTCAGTTCTAGCTGGAATCCCAGCAGGCTTATTTTTGTGAAAACCGACAGGCTGCCCTGACTGGCACGGTTTGGTTGGGCATCACCCCACAGAGTGAAAGTTTGCCGGGATCGATTCCTGGTCAGGGCACACGCCTGTGTTTTGGGCTGGGTCCCCAGCTGGGCTGCACATGAGAGAAGCAGCCAATCGTTATTCCACACATCAGTGTTTCTCTGCCTCTCCTCCTCCCTACTCCTCTCTCTAAAAATAAATTAAACTCTAAAAGAAGAACTTGACAAGCTGATTCTTAAATTCGTGTGGATATGCAGAGTGCCAAAAGAGCCAAGGCAGTCTTGAATAAGAACACAATTGGAGTCCTCCCACTCCCAGATTTGTCCTTCAGCGTTCAACCTTTTAGTGATACCTTTTTGTATACATGAGTCTGACAAATAGCGCACACTTTTATTTTGTTATATGACCTTTTCTGAAAGATCTTCTGTGTAAAGTTATGTCATATTTTTTTATTCTAACTTCTATCATCTTAGTCTCTGGTTTATTTTATACCTCCTTGTTTCCTCTATTTTAAAAAATTTGTTTTTACTTTGTTGTAATAAGAAATGGCTATACAAGTATGTCCTCTGTTCTTTTGAAATTATATGTCATTTAATTTTACAGAGTCTCACTGATGACTTTGTGAATGACATTTAACACTTTGTGCCTTTAACACTGATGCTTTTTTGACCACCAAGAGGACAGGATTTATCTCAGAAGTGTGAGCAGTTTGGCTGGATGAGCTGGGAAACTAACTAGTCTCTGACTGTCTAGCCTGACTGTCCCCGAAAGAAAAACGTTGAGGGTGTCTCTCCCCCGGTGTCAGGAGGAGAGGCTAGGCTTGTCAGGGGGCAGCATGAGAGTATAAAGTTTAGGTCTTCCTTTGCCAGCTGTACCTTCATTTAAATTTAAGACTCCTAGGCCTTTCTTGGGCACGGTTCCCAAAAAGTCCCTGTGCTGCTGCTGCCCTGATCAGGTTTCTGGATCTGTTAATAATAGACAACAGTGGGGGAAGGGCCAGGATCTTTATGGTAGTAGGGACGACCAAACCAGATGGACAGACTGCCTGTGCCTGGGGCCATCTGCGCCTTCCTGATCAAAAGAGCATCCTGCAATGCGCACTTTGAGCCACTGTTTGGAGCTATTCCAACCTGTGAAGGTCTCCAAGGGCCTGCCCCCAAAATCGGAACGTGTGATCTGAAAGCATTGTTCATGAGGACACTGAAACAGTATCTGAGTCTGGTTGCTCCCAGGAAACCCAGGATGAATGAGAAGACTCCTCACAAAACACCCAGAAGGGAAGGAGGTTGGGCTGCTATTAGGTGAAGCAAATAGGGACTCAGAAAGAGGCAAACCATATGTAATCCCGGAGTGTTGAAGAGGAGCGGGGAATGCAAAGGGGAAGCGTGGAAAAAATAACATGGGGATGATGTTGAGAAAGTAGAAAGGGGAGAGTGAGACATTGTCTCTATTAAGTAAATCTAAAGTCTGCACAGTTTAAATACTGATACCCACCTCATCTTTCTGCTCTCCGTGATGGGCTCCCTCTTCTGCCTCCCCTCTCTGTATACTCTTCATGTATCAAAACCTGCTCTTACTTACCCACGGTAAGCACAACCTAGGAATACATTGTGAAAAGAAACAGTAGGGTTTCAGAAATTACTATTTGCAAAAATTTGAAACCCTCTTATTATAAAATATAACACCGATATAGAAAACTACATAAAGAAAATGTATAGATTAATAAGATTTTTTTAGCACGCAGAATTGGAAACAGAATTTGGCCAGCTACTTCGGAAGCTAGCTCTGTGCCTTATCCCATCACAGCTCCTGCCTCCTCCAAAAGTAACCGCTATACTGACATTTATGGTAATCACTTAGGAGGATTTTATTTTAATGGGACTAAAGTTTTAGCTATAAATAACCACTAATGGTAGAATATTAGGCACTTGAGGGGTGTTTCGGGGAGCCATTAGGGGCAGCCAGATCTCAGCACACTTGAAATCGTGTCATTTTATACAGTCAGTTCACTCTGTGCCTATGGTTAAGACGCACCTCACTGGAAAAGGATCCTATAAGAAGTCCAAGTACAGGGCTGTGCCCTATGCTGTCAGCTGCCTTACTGTCATGCACCAGTCTAGAAACTGCCATAACCTGCAGTCTTTCCAAAATAGAGCAAAAGTAGGTCCCTCTCACAGTGCTTGGGAGAGTGGGAGGGACTGGTTTTCTCTGCTGCTGCTATGTGAGTCTAGGACATTGCCTACACTTCCCTGGGCCTCAGTTTCTCACTGTCAAGTATGGAGCCATAACAGAGCCCTTTACAACCCCCTATTCCTCTCCTAAGTTGGTCCATCTTGGTTTCTGCTTCAGCTGCCTCTGTGTTCACCCTTATAAAAATCTCATTACCATCCTTTCCCAGCCGGGTGTCTGTGCAGTTTTGTGTGCTTCTTTTTGCCCTTACTTCTTACCGTGGGGAATCTGCCTCATTTCTGCACACAATTTTATAAACACATACGTGTGTCCTTGCACATTGGAGATATTGAACAAATACTTCTAGAAGGAATGAAGGTAAAGAATAATGAATTCCTCTAACATTCTTTAAATGTTTCATGAGCGCCTAACATACACACAGATTAACCTGTTCCTCTACACTCTTAAGATTATTTCTCTCCTTCCTATCTCCTCATCTTATTCCTTTTCCACCTCATTCCATTTTTCTCTTTCCCTGTGCCACGGAGCCGGACTGAGTGCCCTACAAGGCAGGATACAGAGACACACAAGCAGGCCGGCTGGTGGAAACAGACACCATGGCAAGGAGCCAGGTGAAATAAGGGCAAAGACAGCTGTATAACATGCAGAGAGAAACCAACCAGAATGAAAAGCTGTGATTCATGGAGCACTGCACCTCAGACACTCCTTGGATTTCACTTTGCGAGCTCTGGCCGGATTGGGGTCAGTAAGGGCTGGCATCAAACTGAAGGGCAGCCAGGCTCCTCCTCCCTGGAGATGTGGTGCTCCAATCCCTCCCCTTAATCCTTTTCTACCCAGTCCACTTCACAGCTCCCTCACTGACCAATGTCCTGGGCCTTTAAGAGTTGGGTGGGCTGGACTGAGGACAAAGCTCACACTTCTCTCCACCCCACTCCTTCCTCCTGGCTGTCACTCTGCCAGTCACAGCAGCAAACTGCAGTAGAAGAGGGGAGGAAACCAGCGAGTGTAAGAGGAGCAAAGGAGAAAAGGAGCTGGCTGGGTTTCCACATCTCGCAGTGGAGAGCATCAGGAGCTCACAGCACTGGACTGCTACCCTGCACACGGTAAGCGCCTGGAGGCTCTGGCCAGCTTCTGCTCCAAGCTCTGCTCTGCCTTCCACATACTTATCCGCCCTGATTAAATTGCACCCTGGACTCCTTTGCCGGAGCGGGTCTACAAGTCTCTTGACCTCCTGGTTCTCTCTAGCTTACCCTCTTTGACTTACAGTTTTCCTGCTGGCTGGTGTCAGTCACCTCTTTATATGGGACTTCTGAGCTACCCAGGGCTGCCTCTTAGAGGTGAGCCCCACCCTAGTAAGGAAAGAGAGAACTGGAGTAGTTGTGCTTTAGCACACACTCATTAACAGATTGTTGAGAATTACAAATGAGGGCTGGCCAAGGCCCGCGGGGAGTATAGGAACCCCTTTTAATAGGGGGAGAGTTATGAGACTTCCTTGGAAAGAGCCAGGGTTTAAGTTCTATGCCTCCTCGTTCTTCACCTGCTCCCTGGACCAGGACAGTTTGTTGGCGTGCCCAGTGCTGTGCTGGGAACAGCACTTGCTTCTAGCCCTGACTTTGCCATCAACCAGGACCCCAATTTTCTGATTTGTGCAAAGAGGGAGTTTAGGGCTTCCCTGACTTGCCTGCGTATCAGGAGTGCTTGGTAAAAATAAATGTACCTGAGCCCCATCCCTGGAAATTCTGACTTGGTATATTTGGGATGGGGCTAAGGAATGTCTGCTTTAAGACACTCTCCAGGGAATATTGATATAGCCAGGAACCTCTAGATTAAATGTGTTATAAAAGAGTCTTCAGCCCCAACTGGTGTGGCTCCGTTGGTTGGAGCATTGTCTGTACAATTCCTAGTCAGGTTCAATTCCTAGTCAGGGCACAGACCTAGGTTGCTGGTTCAGTTCCCAGTTGGGGCATGTGTGAGAGACAACCAACTGGTGTTTTCGTCTCTCTTTGCCTTCCTCTATCTCTAAAATTAATAAACATATTTTTAAAAATTAAAAAAGAGGCCCTAACCAGTGTGGCTCAGTTGGTTGGGCATTGTCCCCACAAAGCAAAAGGTCACTAGTTCGATCCCCAGTCAGAGCACATGCCTGGGTTGCAGTTCTGGTCCCCAGTCACAACAGGCATGAGGGGCAAACCCATCAATGTTTCTCTCTCTCTCTTTCTCCCTCCCTTCCCCTCTAAAAATATATGAAATCTTTTTTTAAAAGAGTCTTCAAGCTCTTCAAACATTCTGAGGGCTATGACCTATGATGGAGCCTTTTGTCCTCTTAATATGAACCAGGTCAGGTATAATCTTCTCAGAAGCAAGAGAGTAGGCAAAATGATTCTCTTCCTTCCTGCTCCTCACAGAGACCAAAGACACCTGAATTTCACTGTAATGCCGCTGGTAATTTTGCCAAAGTCCATGTGTAAGTGACATAAACCACCTGGAAAGTGAGAACCAAATCTTACTCAGCGACCCTGACCACTTCCCACCTTATTTTGTGTCTCTTTTTTCATCTATAGTATAGAGGAAATTGTCTGTATCTTCAAGGATCTCCACATGCATGTCCACGAGTGACTAGTTAAGACCCAGTCTCTCTCACTCTCAGTCTTCATTCTCCGCTCCTTGCCTCCTGCTCTTGCTCCCGCTCCCAAATCCTTTGTGTCTTCTCCTAACTGCACCTGTCTCAACTGTGAGCATCCTTCCCATTCACCTTCACACACCAGAGGGAGCACCAAGACCTAGAACACCTGGGTTCTAAGTTGCAGTTTGTTTAGTTAGTTTCCTAGGATACGGGAGAAAGTGAGGCTGAGCAGAGGGATGTACTACTGGACCACAGTTTCAAAATCCTCAGGGGGGCTAAGAACCAGAAAAAAGAGAGGAAGAAGTGATGGAGAGAATGATGAGAAGAGAACAAAGAGAGGCTGACAAGTGAGCAAATAGGGAGACCAGAGAGGATAGGAGAGAAAAGAGTGAGTTGGGGAGGAAGGAAAAGGAATGGGTCAGAGAGGATGGGGAAGGGAAAGGAAATGAAAAGAACAAAAAGGCTGTTTTGTGGGGTACGGAGGAAACAGGAAAAGATGCAAGGAAGAGACAAAACTTTGATGTTCCTCATTGATTCTTAGCCCTGCTGTAACCTGCTTTCTAGAGGAAGCCCTTTCTAGGTGTAGAGTCTTGGGGGGATCTCTGAGCTGGTCATATGGAGACCGCGGTTCTCGTCCCAGTTCTGTCACTTAATTCACTAGGTGACAGGCAGTCCAGCACTCTTTCTAGTGTTCAGTCCCCTTCTCTGTAAAATGAAGTCCAGCTCTGACATCCCGCAGCTCCCCGTGTTGAAACTGGCCCTCTTATGGATGGCCACACGTCACCTGGATACTCATTTAAAATAGTGATTCAGGAATGGGAGCAGGACGTGAACATGCCATTCCCTGGGGTTGGAAGAGTTTGACAAAAGAGGATAAAACAATTTTCTAAGGTTGGTCTGAGAGGAGGTGGCCTTAGAAAACTAGGGGCATCCTGGTGCCTGGGCTCTGTGTTTAGGCCTCCCATGTTTTGGGACATTATTGTGTGGCTCCTGGACCCAGACATGAGGGAAGGTAATTCTGTTTTCTCCCAGGGCCAAGGCCCACCCCACCCCAGAGTTCCTATGCCCCAGATATGGCAGTTGCCGTTCAGAGGGGAGATGAGGCAGGATGTTGGCAAGGGGGGTTGGACTTTGGCCCCAGGCTAACCCACCCCCAACCCACCCCAGTCTGAGGGCTTAAGATACTTAATGGGGCACCTGTTTGTTACGTTCTTCTTCAGTCTTCACACAGCTTTTGCAAGACTCTGGTTCCAAGCTGTGCATCTCTACCCAGAAAGGAAGAGAGGCTTTCCTGTCTCCCAAGAAGTACCCTGGGCCTCTCCTTCCATCCAGAGGTTGCTCAGCCAGGCTCCCATATTCAGTCTCAGCCAGCAAAACCTTTTCTTCTTGGAATCATTGCAGGGTTCTTTCTCTCCCGAGACATGCCTTCAGTTTTCTTTCCAACTTAGGTACAGACTGGTCACCAGCCTTGCCTTCTCCCTCTGGGCCCCTGCACATTGCTACTCATTTAGAAAGCCTTCTCGAGGTCCTGCAGTCAGGGCAGCTATTATTTGCAGTGACCTCTACCTTCTTCTCAAAGACTCAGTTTTCACCAGGTGGCCTGGTGGGCTTTTCCCACTAAAGAGACAGAGGATACTAATATGCTGTGTGACCTCAAACAGGTCACATCACATTTCTAGATTTTCACTTTTTCATTTATAAAATACAGGGAGTTGAGTCGTGTGCTGTTTCAATGGAACACTCAATGAATGACTACCTCAGAGATGCTTTTAGTTTTGAAGATGTTCACCAATGTCAGCATTTTAAACTTATTCGTTAAAAAGATAGACCACGCCCTGGCTTGGTGTGCCTCAGTGGATCGAGCACCAGCCTGCAAACCAGAGGGTCACCACTTCAATTCCCAGTCAGGGCACACACCTGGGTTGCAGGCTAGGTCCCTAGTAGGGTGCACACAAAAGGCAACCACACATTGATGTTACTCTCCCTCTCTTTTTCCCTCCCTTCCCCTCTATCTAAAAATAAATAAATAAAATCGATTTTTTTAAAAAAAAGAGAGACAACCTGGTAGGTCACAAAACAAGCCTCAACAAACAATAAAATTGAAATCATGTCGAGCATGTGCTAGGATCACAACAGATTGAACCTAGAAACCAACCTTGAGGGGAAAACTCAAACAACCTAACCTTACCTGTACAAGACCCAGAGGAACAACAACAGATGAAGCTCAGAGTGAGGAGAAGGAGGGAAATAAGCAAGATCAGAGCAGAATTAAATACACAGAAACTAAAAGAACAACTCAAAGAATCAATAAATCCAGGAACTGGTTCTTTGAACAGATAAACAAAATGGACAAACCTTTAACTAGACTCGTCAAGAAAAAGCACAACATTTCTGTTCAAGCACAACATTTCTTTGCTTATACAAAAACAGAGGGGTTTATGTTCCTAGGCTTTGCCAGTTTCATGATGATTTGGTCAAGTATTTCTTGACCCCCAAAAAAATACTTTTGGCCAAGTATTGCAGTATTTGAGTATTTCTTATTGGGGCAGGACTAGAATCAATGGCCATATATCAAGTCTTCTAGTTATTTCCAAGGGAAGTTTGTTGTTACTTACTAGAACAAATGAACTAGGTCCTAAATTAGCATGTGTCATATAGGAAGTACTCTTTATTTAATAGGTAGAAAAACTTAAAAATGCAGCTCTGAGACTTTGTAATTTATATGGTCCATTAAAACTGTGAGAATAACTGTTATGAAGAGGAGCATAAAGTGTGCTTTACCATGTGAAGGTGGAAGATGGCTTATTTAGCTACATACAGCACCAAGTGTTGCAGGAGCGACAAAAGAAACACTTCAGGGGTTGGAAGATCTACATGGGAGCGCGGAGAGGCTTCCAGAACAGGGGAGCTAGGGTGATTCCACCTGGATTAGAGAAGACTAGGATGCAGATATTCCAGGTTCTGAAAGGATAGGCAGCAAGATGCTGGTTCCTAATAAAGAGGAGCTGAGCAGTACGACACAAGGTTATCTTGCGGATTATGGGGTATTGGGAAAAGAAGGGGTATTTGGCAGAAAGCCCTTGTTTCGCCCTTTCTGGAGATG